AAAGTTTAATTAGATTAAAATTAATTGGTGCCGGGAGGTAGAATGTAGATTCACGTTTTTGAAGTCGACAAACGAATTACCCATGGTTTGCTCTTTGCCCTGTCACAATCTCAAACAGTTTCGTTTTAAATGTGAGCGCTTCACTATTTCAGGCTCATAATTTCGGCTGAGCGTCTCGCTTGACCAGTGTTTTATAATTTGACACGTGCACAACAATTAAAAGTGCTACATAGGTAAGACTGAGAGTGAGGCTCGGTCTAATGAACTCCTTCTCATATAGAATTATTGGTGAGAGTAAATTGTACAGCGTGTACTGTAGTCTGTACTGTACACTGTACAGTTTACTTGTGTAGAATGTGCTCTTTTCTACAGGTGTCTTTCGTTCCCCCGCATTTACTCTCGTTTACTGATCGTGACGTAGAGTACCTCCCAGTAAGGGCCCGCTACCTCCCGGGGAGGAGCTTTACGTAACAACAGGGGGTTAAAGTGAGAAATAGCCTCTCTCTTCCCAGATCAGGAGTTTCACGCGTTATTCTTAAATTTCACGCGTGATTCGATTTGTCCGGTCGAGTGTGACGTGAGAAATTCAGATTACTTTAATTCAAGTTCTTAAATTCCATGAGTTCTCAAATCTAAATTAGGTTACAGTTCACAGTTAACACGGTTGTACTGTATTTGCCGTTGTGGTGTTTAGTCCAGTTTCGTTATAAATTTCTTTTGCTTTCTGGTCGGCATTCCAATGAACCTGAAGAAGCTATTATCATACGAGTTACGTTGAAAAATATGTAGATGTGACCGAATCCTTACGTTGGACGCATGTGTGTAAAGAATTTCTAGAACAAACATCAAAACTCAGCTCAGAGAGCTGTTATAATGTTATGTTTTCGGCTGTTCTCGTTCGTTCACAGGCTTCACTTGCGGAGCTTTCAGCAGGTCCGCAATACCAGCCGTCATCAGCCGTCATCAGCCGTGCTTGCAGACTGTTGGAATCAGCCGTCATCAGCCGTCATCAGCCGTCGTCAGCCGTGCTTGTAGAATGTTGGAATCAGCAAAACCGGGCAAAAACTACTCAGTTTCCGAGACGGAGTTACTGTAATTTGTCCTGATTTTCGTGGTTATCAATACTCAACGTCCAGTACTACGATTTGCCATTTGTTAGTAAAACGCATAATAATTCAGTTTCCCATTTTGGGGTGGGGTTAGATTTTCGGGCTGAGACAAGTTTTCCCTGAGCCGCTGTTTTGTTACCGTATTTTTATTCAAATGTTTGTAACAGACATTTTATACAATGTCATAATATGGCGTAGTTTTACTTTCGCGTGAATTTTTCATTACCAGTAACAACTAACAAAGGCCGCGTTGGACCTCATGAATTTATACTATTGTAGCCCATGTTTAACGTACCAATAGTTTAAAAACCTTTTAGCCATTCATTAACTCTTTCGACACTCCCCTTATTTATTAAACGTTAAAACCTGACAGTATGCCAAGTGCCAACACTTAACGACATTAGGGTTTGTTGATGTGCCCACTGCTGGCAAGTGTTGCAATTTTACCAACTAATAAAATGTTTCAATTCTTTGCCGAGTTTCAAGTTGACCGTTCGACTTCATTACTTGCAAATTCAACTTATGTCTCCTCAAAATACATACAAGTTTGTAACTCATGTCACTGTTTGTAACTCATACACTGTCATAGCCTGTCTCGCTTAAACCCTCCATATTACAGTCCTGATAGCATTCCAAAAAGCGCTCTGGAATGCCAAATGACGATTATAACAGCCTCACTAATTCAGGACTCAACAGTCTAAAGAATCTGGTCACACGTAGACATTGAGGTGTTATCAGTTTAGTGATCGGGCGATATCAGCCAGCTATACTGACCGCACAGTATGTAGTATCTGACAGATTTGTGGGGGAATCCTTACATCAGAATCGTTCGTTATAAATACCTTCTTTTAAAATATGGTAACTTAAATAACTCATGTAACTTAAATAACTTAAGTAATTATAATATACTTGCTCTCTAAACTTACTGCGGTAAATTCTCTTCTCTCCACAATCTCACAGGTCACCACTATGATAATCCCGCGTTTAATATCATTTAAACTTGCGAATTCCTCAGATTACCTCATGATTTAAGAGTGTCAGCACTTATCTGACATTTCCTCACCGTGCACAGGAAATTGACCATATTTGGTCTGATCTACAAATATAGCAACGCCACTGTTAGGGCGGCGATCAATTTTCCTGGGTAGTTCCGACAGTAATAATTGCTACACTTGCCCGGGCATCGGGAGTTTATTAGCCTTGCCCTTACTATACGAGACTCTCATTTCATTGGGTTACTGACAAGGAGAATTGATGTGCATTAGGTTTCCCAGTGAGTTGTCTCCATTGAAGGTATTCTATTTTGTCGTTTGTCATTTTATTACAGTATTCGACTTTTATTGCTTTTTGTGTGTCAATTGTCACATGCTAGTTTCTCTTCCGTAGATGCTGGGTTTGATAATTAGTGTTTGGCACAGAGATCAACAAAGCATCCTGATCATTAATTGTAATAATTTTACACTTGATGATTTATTGTTAACGCAAGCTCAGCTGTGATCATCACTCTTGTGTTGTATACTTGTGAGATTATTTGATGACTCAGCTAAATTTGACTTTGAGTTTCGGCTATTTATATAAAAAAGAAAAAATCAGTAGTTCTCTAAATTGTTCTTGTTGTAGATTTGTGTAGAATTCTCAATTCTTATGTTTTGTGTTCATGTTATATGCTCTAGTCTTTGCCTGCTTCCCCTGTTATATCAAGTGCGACAAAGCAGATACTTTTAATATTCTCATAGCCAACATAGTATATTTCTCGGAAAAGATGTTAGTTTTAAAATGTCTCATGTTTCTCGGCAACGGCTGTCGTCGCTCTGCAGAAAGGAAATAAGTTACAAATTTATTTACGTGGCAGTGAAATTTCAGTATGCTGGATTCTTTGGACCTTTCTTCAGAACGGTTGCACATTTGATGATAGATAGCTGTCTCATCTTACACTGTCAGGATGATTCGGTGGGTTTGTGTGGTATATTGACCATGAGCTCTCAAATACCTCTCAGTACTCTCCTTCCGCTTTATACTGTTATTTATAAATACTTTCGTGTCCTCAGCGGAGATAGCGAGACCGCTGTTTAATGTAATGATGTTTAAATACCTGTTTTAAAAGCTAAAGATATAGCCTTGTAGTTGTAGCCTTGTATCCTGGCTTGACTCTTTGCGGGAATATATTTTACTCTGAAACTCTGACATTCATACTTCACTACATTTGATCTCCACCACCAGGAGGATAGCGAACAGCAATTTGGAAACACTGTCCGTTGAAATGCGAAAACTCCAATATTTAATGATTGTAAGGGTCTGGTGACAGTTTCCGTCACCAACTGGGCGAACTAGATCGGGAGATCTCCGTACCTTAACTTGGCAAGTACTCACAGTTACCATGGTTACAGCCCTTATTCAACACTCACCAGCTACTCACAGTTACCATGGTTACAGCCCTTATTCAACACTCACCAGTTACTCACAGTTACCATGGTTACAGCCCTTATTCAACACTCACCAGCTACTCACAGTTACCAGCCCTTATTCAACACTCACCAGCTACTCACAGTTACCATGGTTACAGCCCTTATTCAACACTCACCAGTTACTCACAGTTACCATGGTTACAGCCATTATTCAACACTCACCAGCTACTCACAGTTACCAGCCCTTATTCAACACTCACCAGCTACTCACAGTTACCATGGTTACAGCCCTTATTCAACACTCACCAGCTACTCACAGTTACCATGGTTACAGCCCTTATTCAACACTCACCAGCTACTCACAGTTACCATGGTTACAGCCCTTATTCAACACTCACCAGCTACTCACAGTTACCATGGTTACAGCCCTTATTCAACACTCACCAGCTACTCACAGTTACCATGGTTACAGCCCTTATTCAACACTCACCAGCTACTCACAGTTACCATGGTTACAGCCCTTATTCAACACTCACCAGCTACTCACAGTTACCATGGTTACAGCCCTTATTCAACACTCAGTGGACGCATTGATTCGGCTGTGTTCAGTGTCGGAGGTTCTCAAAGTGTCATGCAAAGAACCACTTTGTTTTTGTTTTGTTGTTTAGAAGGGCACAGGAACAGTACATGACGTGTTAATGCACCATCTTATCAGTAGTATACACTACACTATCTCTACATGTACAATGTACTGGTCCATGTAAATTGTAAGGTGCTAAAACCCCCTATCAAGTGTAACCACCAATCAAGGTTCCTGAAAGATCCAGTTAACCATATCATTTTACCACTGTATTTTAATGTATCAGTTTACATCACCTGGTATGATGCTCTGTAGTACTGTATTTATCAAAACGGTTGCCACAGTGCCACTTGCCACAATGCCACCTCTCACTCTCTGTGCTCTGTTCATTACCGTAGTTCCATGTGATAAAATCCTTTGCTGTGTTGTTACAATGTCACATCCGACATGGTGACTTGTGATGTGAGCTTTGTTGATAGTTTGTTTGAACGAAATTATTGTAGTTTTGCTGCTGTGTTGTGCTCCAAGAAATGTAATAATATACAGTGAAATATATTGATGCATTATATAATTCGCTCTTATTTGCTACATATAAAGATCTTGTAAAGAGCTGCTACATTAGTGAGATTGTAACAGAAAGCTGCTTCATTGAATAATGTAAATATTCTGTCATGAAATAAATATTACAGGATAAATTACTCATCTTTAAAGTTATCTACAAATACTTGATGGGAATATTTCAAGTGATTTTAAGAGTCAAGCCGTGTATCTAACTATACCCAATTTGGTCAAGACACCAGTTTTCGTTTAGTACTTTACTGTATTAAATATTTACAGTATCATTTGATTTCAATATTCTCTCTTTTTCTAGAAGTTTGATTACTACTAATCTACCCTTGTAGAAGATTCTAGAATGCCCCGTGTATTTGGAGGAGCACCTAAATGCGCAAACTGCGAGAAGAGCGTTTACGCTGCAGAGGAGCTGAAGGCACTGCAGAAAATCTGGCACAAGTAAGTGTGGTTTGTACGTACACTAGAAACTAAACTACTACTAAACTAAACTAGTGGTTGTCACATTAACTTCCGTGACGTTGTGTGTGGTGTAAGATGTTTAGCAGCTGAGCTAAGAGGTTTAAACTCTGCTGTTGCTGTTGGTAACTAGTGTAATACCATTAGAATTGGGATATTATGCATGTCATGTTGCGTGGTAAGTGTTGGTAAATGTTCGTCCGGTTGCTGCACAACACAGTTACGGGAAACGACAGACAGATTAACGAGTCTACATACTAAATGCAAAAGTAGAAACTATGAAAACTATCGACCAAATATTTGTGTAGTGGGAGCCAATGTTACACATAAAGCTGGAACTGTACGATATATGATTGGGATTATGTCGCTGCGTAAGAATATAGTCACATACTGTTAGAATTTACTGTTAGATTTAACTGTCCCATTTATTATTACACTTTTTCAACACAGCCATGTCTCTATTTATCTTCTTCTGATTGGTCGGCGTCGACTGTAAGCCTTCCTTACGGTGGCTTTTACAACGCGTCCCTATTTCTCCAACTCCTGCTGCTGGAGAGAGAGACTCCCAAATTATATACCATACATATATTAAACATAGATATCGACAACAGACTCCGAGAGTCTTGAAGTTCTGTTACCACCGCCCCTGGTGCAACCCCGCCGGGTTAACGACGTGGAGACAGGGACTTCCAGGGACGGTAAATTCCTAATAATCTGCAAGTTATCCTAGGTGTTTCAGTGGTTAATAGGGTCTTCAAAAAGATCCGCTCTTAAAAGTCGATTGGTTGCCTCTATAAATTTTATAACCGTACTGATTCTAGCTGTGACTATATCTTTCCAAGTTATAAAAATATTATCGAAAATTCTCAACCTAATGGTCATGTATCCTATACAGTGACACATGAAGTGTTCCGAGGTTTCCTCTTCTTCTGGACAGTGTTCACAACGAGGGAATGTGAAATTGTTTGCCTTGTATTGGAAGTAGTCCAGGGGGCTATGTCCTGTGAAGAGCCAGGTTATCCACCTTTGATGTTTTCCTGCTAATCCAAGATTCCTGTACTTATATTTGGTGAGTAGGATTTGACCAAAACCCATAATCATGGGTAGAGTGGACCGCTGCCAGTGCCAGTGTCTCTCTTTCCCAAATGATATTAATTCGAATAACCGTCCGCAAATGCAACTATGCAAAATGATACCGAGAATGAAATCGGTCGCTCGCTTTTCCCATTCATTCACGGCTTACGAATTGTAATAAATTTCGATTAATTACATCAATCACATGCTGTAAGAATCTCTTTGGGTTGCTTTCGGGTCGATACCTAGTATTTCGGGATAAGGGTGGTAGTTAGTGTCCAATTAGCTGATGTTTATTGAATCTGTATTGCCGAGTACAGTTTTTCTTAATCTATTACAATTGTAAATGAATGGAAAAAGCGAGCGACCGATTTCATTCTCGGTATCATTTTTCATTTGCGGACGGTTATTTGAATTAATATCATTTCCTTTTGTTTGGGAAAGAGAGACACTGGCACTGGCAGCGGTCCACTCCACCCATGATTATGGGTTTTGGTCGAATATCATTTCTTTTTGATTAATTTCAGGGTACTTGTAAACTCATAACTTCATTAATAAGAAGGTAATTTCAACGATTTCGAAATTTTACCTTTTCCTTGTGTTTAGGTAAGCATATCTGTCGATCACTGACTGAATATGCCACTATATACTCATTCAAGTTGGCATTAAATTCATATATAATAATGCCATTTAACTGTCGTGGGAAAGCAGAATTTGTTCGAAATCACGAATGAGCAAAATTCTCACCTTGCGCACGTGCAAAATTTGAGCGGACGTTGCGTGCGCATACAATATTGAATCACCGTAAATTTTTGCATATTGGTGTTTTATATATTGTTTTATAAGCATACAGAGTTTCAAAAAATTTCAACGGGACTCCAAAGTTGACAGAAAATAGTGAAAATAGCAATTTTCAGTGATTTTAGCAATTTTATATCAATTTGGGCGTGTCCCCACGTGTAAAACTTTTCGATTTTTAACTTTAAAACTAACCTTATTTTAATAGAAAGCAGAACTGAGCTCCACAACCCAATGGATGGCCCAACACCAGAGAATACTAAATCACAACTTTTGTATTTTTATAAAATTATTCTTTAAAAAAGCACTAACTTCAATAGCAAATATCTTTATGAAGGAGCAAGGTAGGAAAACTTTCCGGTAGATTTTCAAAATGCTTAAACAATTATCTACCGTCAGTGTGTCCTCAAATTTTGAATAAAATTACTCCTTAATGTTGTAAAGTCGATTTGAAAAGTTGCTACTTTGTCAAAAATCAAGTTTTAAAAACGGTTAACTTGATGACGTCATCAAGTGGTGATGATGACGTAAAATTATTTTGTAATATAATGTAACCTGAAGTCTAAACAATTATCTTCAAGAACTGTGATCCGAGATGGCTGTATCTTTAAAGCTTTCGAATCTACAGACATTTCACATTTGAATGACGGCTACAATTGACTGCCAAAGCCTCTATATATATATACAGGGTGCACCACAGAAAGTGTGACTTTTTTGAGAAATGATACAAAATATTATGAAGGAGCAATTGCTAAAAACTCTTCATCACATTGTGTCAATATTTTGTCAAAAACTATTAAAATGGAAAAAAGTCACACTTTATGCGGTACACCCTGTATATATATGATTTTTGATTTGATTTGAAACTTTTACAAATAGTAATATTATACAATACAGCAAAGAGAATTTAAAATAAACGACATCATGAGGTATTATGCTGTGTAAAATTCGTAGACCATATCGTAGAAATACTAAAAGCATGGGTAAGCAGGGACGTAGCCAGGATTTTTCTTTGAGGGGGGCTGTCGGCGAGCGAAGTGAGCCGACGCATCCAATCCAGCTGCTTGCTCGCTTCGCTCGCTGCGCTGTGGCAGGGGTGTGGGGGCGCAGCCCCCAGCGGGGTCCAGGGGCGGAGCCCCTTGGCGGGGGCTAGGGGGGCGCAGCCCCCCGGAAAATTTGTGCGAAACAGGGTGTTTTAGACGACATTTGGCATTAAAGAAATTTGTAGGACAGCAATAAACTGGGATTGAAAAGAATCAAGTACTCACGTAAATTTGGTAACTTCACAACAGCAATCTGCATTCTCCAATCAGAATTTACGACTTACTGAGGCCTCATCGTCTTAAGATTTTTACATTTCCTACGGTCTAGGGGACACTATTGACTATTTATAGAAGTCTTCTAGAATGTTTGCTTGGATTTTATGACAGATATTTACTAATCCACAGTTCAAATCTTTGACTGACTGCAGCCATAAACACAGCCCAGTTACCAGGCGACCATGGGGACTAGGGGGCTTATCTTTTTTCTGAGGTTCGATTTTTTCCGGGGGGGGGGGGGGGGGGGGGCTGCCGCCCCCCTAGCCCCCCCCCCCTGTCTACGTGCCTGTGGGTAAGTGGTACAAGTTCTGGGGGTATACGTATTACAGGTAATATTTCTACCCCCAGAATCACTAACACCACCTCCATCTAAACACACAAAATTAATCTAAAACACACAAATTTAGAAAAAAAAATTATAAATATTCTTCACGACCAATCTATTGTAAAACAGGGGTACCAGAAAACCCATTTCCCGATACTCCTGAAACTTGAAACTTTTTTACAGTCGATTTGGTCAACATCTAGACGCCCTGCAAAATTTCAGATCTCTAACTCAATTTTAACATGGTTTAAAGGCACCCGAATACGGCGATTTTGGGTTTTCTACCGAATTTCGTATAACAGTGCTGGCGCGTATTTTGCGCAAATTTCTTAAAAACCTCCACAAACTATTTCTTATTCCTGTCATCTTTGACATTGAATTAGAATGTTTTTAACTTAAAATATGCCTGCTGAACGACTTTCGATCAGTCTTAATGCCTGAAAAACAGTAAAGGGGGTATAATAGTATAATAGGGGGTAAATAGTATAGTGAGTATAATGGCGGCGGTCGTGCTTGCCAGCACTGTGATTGTGAGAGGGATCTTCCCCTTCTCCCTGAGCGACGTGTTTCTGTATCTGCGGAGATGGATTCCGTGTAAGTACTCCTTTACTGCCGTCTTAATTGCTCCTTCGGATATACTGATAAAGGGTTCAGAACCTAGGGCAATTATATCATAATGTACATTCCACAGCAACGTGTAACGTTCCTAAATGTAGTAATATCCAGAATGTATCCTAAAATTATGCTGCTATATTAAATTCCTCCTCAGAATGTGCTTCAAGTGCACCCACTGCAGCAAGAAACTGACCCCTGGAATGGAAACTGAGCATAATGATAAGCCATACTGCAAGAACTGCTATGGAAAACATTACGGACCTAAAGGTATGTTGGCAATGTTTTACTTGCAGAATGTTTTGCTTCCATTAAAACACCGTGTTGGAAACTACGACAAATTTTCATTATTTGTATATAAGAATGTGTTGTTGTTCTCGATCAAACGTTCTATAGAACGTTTGATCGAGAAAGTTATTCGATTAAAACAAGTGAGTGTTACATTTACTGTAACACTTACTTTTTTAATCGAATCACTGTAATGGTGATTGGTTTATGTGATCAAGTATTTTTCCATTTTTAATATCAATATTCACCTCATAACATACATAATAACATACATAATAACATACAGTAAAATTATAACCATGATTATTACACTCATTCATCCAGTAGAAGGAGGCAACGAACCAAAAGGTATGTCGGAAATGCTAAAAATGCGGAATATCTTGCTTCCATTAAAAGTTTACACGCTGGTGAATGGAGTACTATCAATCCACTGCACCTCAAAACTCAAATGTGTATTTTCGTACAATCGCTCATATCTTTTAATTAAACACTATTTTTTAGAGAGATGAAACTTCTTATTCTCTCAATAAAATATCACCTTTTTATTCTCATCGGCGCAGAGATGGGTTATAAATTATAACCCATCTCTGCGCCGATGAGAATTATAATTAAATATACATAGTTAATTATAACCCACATGTATTATACAGTCATCACAAAACAATTTGAAATGTAATCATAGACATATTATATCTACCCATCTTACTATATATAAAGCGAGACGATATATATATATATATTTCATGGCTGGACTTCTACACAATAAAAGAAAGCGGTTGTGATTAGATCTTCGAAAGTCTTTGCATCGTTTATTTACATCAATTCTCAAATTATTTGTTATATAGTAGTGTTGAAAGTATTAAAAATTTTTTATATATATATATCTGTGCCATTTTACTGACACCACGGCATCAACTTTAACGCGACTTTCCGCATAAACCGTAAAAGATATACAACTGGAACTTTTTTGGCTGGGTCAAATGCTTTAATGGCCTTCAAATCAGCATGAAAAAATAAAAAATTGGCTAAGGAATAATGATTTTAGAGCCGAAAATTTGGACCCCAAAGTGGTGTCAAAAACGCCAATTAAATAGGTAATAATTATTTTAGTATTTTGAGTCTTGACACCGTTTAGGGTTATATTATACGGGTTCCTGCTAGTAATTAATAATGGGTATATTAACTCATATTTAATAATGGGTATATTAACTCCTATTTAATAATGGGTATATTAACTCATATTTAATAATGGGTATATTAACTCCTATTTAATAATGGGTATATTAACTCATATTTAATAATGGGTATATTAACTCATATTTAATAATGGGTATATTAACTCATATTTAATAATGGGTATATTAACTCATATTTAACGACCACCTCATAAAATGCTGTTAACCATTACACTCACTCACCTGCAGACGGTACTGACCCCCAACCGGGTGAAAGTTGCAATAGTAAGTTTATTTGCATTATCATTTTATTCAAAGGTTAATTATGGTAATTATTACTAATAGCAAAAAATCCACAAATAAATTTACACCGCTTATCATGTCTACAGTTGCAGTAAGAAGTTGATTTTTATTAACATTGGCACGATTTTTGAATAACTGGGTATGGTCAACAAAACTTATCACAACAGATCATCCACGAATATAGTAATAATGCTAATCATGTCTACTTTGACATAGTTTCAGCATACAATCTGGTTAGCCAAGTATCCTATATAATATGAAAACTCACACTCCCTAGATAAATTTAAATATTATTTTATTAATTAACTTTGAATTTGCTATAAATGATTTAAACAACATTTTGTTTTATAAATTAAGTCTAATTTGTTCAGGTGTTGGCGGTGGAGCCACAGCTGGATGTCTGACCACCGACACGGAGGATAACGCCGTCAGCAAGTTCAAGAATACGCACGAGAGCAAAAATACAGTAAATAGTGATTAAGTATTCGTGATTAATGAAACAAGAATTTTTAATGTAATAATAAATATTGGTATTAATAAGTATTGACAGATTTTTTTAGCTTGTTAGTTTTTGATAGGTTCTAGGGTGGAATGGAATCAACAATCAACATGGGTTGTTCCATTTTAGCTTGGAGCCACAATTTATAATTTTATAATTTTAGCTAATTCATTTTTTAATAATAATAAGTAATAACAAATTTTCAATACAATATGAATATTTATGATATCTCGTTGTATTGACTGGCTTTATAATTCAAATGTTATGTTATTAAATTTTGTTTTATTAACTGAAATACCATACATTCCTATCTTTTATTCCACAACTGATCTCAGTACCATGGGTAGTCATCGTAGAAGATCTTTCATTTTTTTATATTCGACAGGTCAGTATAACAGCACAAGAGAAATGCTACACATGTGAGAAGACTGTTTATGCCGCCGAGAAGCTCGTCGTTTTGAACAAGGTACCATGTGAAGCACACTTGTCGCAGATATGAAAAATGTTTTTTAAACGCTGGAAATGTGCATTTATAATTTGGCTACGCTAAATGTTTTCCAGGCTTTTAGGACGACTAATCTGACCAAGTTTGTTGCCAGGCCGTTCATCTATTGGGTCTGATTTTAAGCTTAACCTTGGGTCGGTAATTGTTCGGGATGCTTCTTCCAGATGAGAGCCATTTAAGGTCTTGGATCCTTCCCCATTCTGCATTCATGCAGCACTAATTTCAGGAAAACATCCTGTAACATGCTGTATGTACGGAACGCGCGATTATTTATGTAAAATTTGTAAAGAGGTTCGCGCAAAACCGCCATAAATCGCGCCGCGCATAGGTCGCGTCGGCGGTTTTAATTACCGACACTAACCATAACTCCGAAGCTAACCCTTTTTTTTTCACAAAAATTTAAAAAATTTGGGCGAGCGATTTAGTGTGTAGTGTGTACTAGTCGGACTCCCAGTCCGACTGTGGAGCGGCGGTTTTTTAATTGGAAAACCAGCTTAAATTTTTGGCTTCTATCTCTCAATGTTAATTGATAATAAGACTTTGTACAGCTTCACCCCCCCCCCCCCCCCCTCCTTAAACAGGTTAAACTCCTGCATCCATGCCACTTACTCGGGTTAAAAATAAAATTTAAATGGCCAATCCATCGATACGATGATGGGTCGGGTGTCTGCACCCAAGTTTCACAAAATAAATCCAACTGCAGAAGTTAAGTCATGACATGACAGCAGGCAGGGTGAAAACGCTTCCCTAATATATTAGGGAAGCGTTTTCACCCCTATAATAGTAATAATTAGAAATATAAGGAGTTTTGGGCAAAAACCGTTTCTATCATGTGAGTTGTGACACGAATAGAAAGGCTAGTATATTAAGCGAAAATTCGATCGTGTAAAGTTACTGATAGGGCTATTTAATGGTATTGGTAAGCTTTGGTCTTATGTGTTATGTATTATTATATTAGGGTTCCAGTTTGAGTTAGGTTAAGGTTTAGGTAAGACCGATTCGTTCGGCTGCAAAACTATTTACACTTAATGAACCAAGTGCAGCTGATGTACGTAACAATTGAACGACCCGGAGGCTGGTTCCATCTAATCGTTCTGAACCTCTGTCCTCACAGTTGCAGTCACTACCTCATTTTCAGGTTTTCCACAAGCCTTGTGTCAAATGTAAGGCATGCAGCAAGACCATGACCCCCGGGGAAGTCCTTGAACACGACGACGAGATTTACTGTAAAAGTAAGTTCAAAGTTTAACTATCGCCCATGTGCCATGCCTTTATTATATATTATAGGGGGGGGGGGGGGTGACATGTCTCCAATGTCTCCAATGTCTTTTGTCTTTTTTGAAAAGATAGGGTGCAGAGACATGTCCTGGAGACATTGGAGACATTGGAGACACAGCTTTTGGAGACATTGGAGACATTGGGGACATTGGAGACATTGGAGACAAAGCTTTTGGAGACATTGGAGACATTGGAGACACTGGAGACGTAGATGTATGATTGGAGAAGGAGGAGGATCTAGGAGGAGGATGACCCAGGAGGAGGACTCAGGAGGAGAAGGAGGAGGATGAGAACTCAGGAAGAGGACTGAGGAGGACTGAGAAGGAGGAGGACTGAGGAGTACTGAGGAGGATGGCTGAGGAGGATGGCTGAGGAGGATGACTGAGAGGGAGGAGGAGGAGGAGGAAGAGGAAGAGGACTGCGGAGGAGGAGTAGGACTGAGGAGGAGAAGGAGGAGGACCTAGGAGGAGGACCCAGAAGGAGGACTCAGGAGGAGGAGGAGGAGAACTCAGGAAAAGGACTGAGAAGGAGGAGGACTCAGGAGTACTGAAGAGGATGACTGAGGAGGAGGAGGAGGAGGAGAAGGACTGAGGAGGAGAAGGACTGAGGAGGAGAAGGAGAAGGTGGAGGAACTAGGAGGAGGATGAACCAGGAGGAAGACTCAGGAGGAAGAGGAGGAGGACTCAGGAGGAGGACTTAGGAGGAATGAGAAGGAGGAGGACTGAGGAGAACTGAGGAGGAGGAGGAGGACTGAATAGGAGGAGGGGGACTGGGGAGGACTGAGGAGGAGGAGGACTGACGAGAAGGATGAGGAGGAGGACTGAGGACTGAGGACTGAGGAGGAAGAGGAGGAGGATGAAGAGGAGGAAGAGGACCCAGGAGGAGGAGGACTGAAGAGGACGATGAGGATGAGGACTGAGGAGGAGGAGGAGGACTGAGGAGGATGGCTGAGGAAGATGACTGAGAGGGAGGAGGAGGAGGACTGAGGAGGAGGAGGAGAAGGACTGAGGAGGAGAAGGAGGAGGACCTAGGAGGAGGAGGACCCAGGAGGAGGACTCAGGAGGAGGACTCAGGAGGAGGACTCAGGAAAACTGAGGAGTGAATAGGAGGAGGAGGGGGAGGACCTAGGAGGAGGAGGACCCAGAAGGAGGACTGAGGAGGAGAAGGAGGAGGAGAACTCAGGAAGAGGACTGAGGAGGACTGAGAAGGAGGAGGACTGAGGAGTACTGAAGAGGATGACTGAGGAGGAGGAGGAGGAGAATGACTGAGGAGGAGAAGGAGAAGGTGGAGGAACTAGGAGGAGGATGAACCAGGAGGAGGACTCAGGAGGAAGAGGAGGAGGACTCAGGAGGAGGACTTAGGAGGAATGAGAAGGAGGAGGACTGAGGAGAACTGAGGAGGAGGAGGAGGACTGAATAGGAGGAGGAGGGGGACTGGGGAGGACTGAGGAGGAGGAGGACTGACGAGAAGGATGAGGAGGAGGACTGAGGACTGAGGACTGAGGAGGAAGAGGAGGATGAAGAGGAGGAAGAGGACCCAGGAGGAGGAGGACTGAAGAGGACGATGAGGATGAGGACTGAGGAGGAGGAGGACTGAGGAGGATGGCTGAGGAGGATGACTGAGAGGGAGGAGGAGGAGGACTGAGGAGGAGGAGGAGAAGGACTGAGGAGGAGAAGGAGGAGGACCTAGGAGGAGGAGGACCCAGGAGGAGGACTCAGGAGGAGGACTCAGGAAAACTGAGGAGTGAATAGGAGGAGGAGGGGGAGGACCTAGGAGGAGGAGGACCCAGAAGGAGGACTGAGGAGGAGGAGGAGGAGGAGAACTCAGGAAGAGGACTGAGGAGGACTGAGAAGGAGGAGGACTGAGAAGGAGGAGGACTGAGGAGTACTGAAGAGGATGACTGAGGAGGAGGAGGAGGAGAATGACTGAGGAGGAGAAGGAGAAGGTGGAGGAACTAGGAGGAGGATGAACCAGGAGGAGGACTCAGGAGGAAGAGGGGGAGGACTCAGGAGGAGGACTTAGGAGGAATGAGAAGGAGGCAACCCTTATCAAGAACAATTAGGAATAATGCAACCATGTCTACTTGACATAGTTTCAGCATAGATCTGGTTAGCAAGTACTGATGAGATGAAGAACTCAGCCTAGATAAATAAAGTAGTATATTAATTAACTTGATTGCTAGAAAGATTAAACACCAGTTTGTTAAAATTAAGCATTGTCAGGTGTGGCGGTGGGCACAGCTGAGTCTGACCACGAGGAGGATAACGCTGTCAGCAAGTCAGATAGCACTGAGAGCGAAAGTCAGAATGTGATTGAAGTGATCGTGATTAATGAAACAGGAATTTTAATGTAATAATAAATATTGGATTAATAAGTATTGACGAGAGATTTTTAGTGTTAGTTTGATGGTTTAGGTGGAGGATGGACAATAACAATCAGACAGGGTTGTTCCATTTTAGCTTGGAGCCACAAGTTTATGATTTAAATTTTAGCTAATTCATTTTGTTGAAAATAATAAGTAGATAGATTTTAATCATATGAATATTATGAGGTATCTGTTGATTGATGGCTTATAAGATATCAAAGGTATGTTATTAAATTTGTTTATTAAACTGAGGATACCATAGCATTCCTATCTTTATTCCCAACTGATTCAGTACATGAGGTGGCTCGATGACGTAGGAGATCTTTAATTTTGTATATCGAAGGTCAGTATAACGACAAGGGAATGCTACAGGAGGAGGAGAGATGTTTATGACGCACGAGAGAGCTCGTCGTTGAAAAGGACCTAGTGAAGCACTTGTCGAGGATATGAAATGTTTTAAACGCTGGAAATGGCATTATAATTTGGAACGCTAAAGTTCCAGGCTTAGGAGGACTGAATTGAGGCAGTTTGTTGCCAGGCACGATCATGCTATGGAGGAGATTTTAAGACTTAACCTTGGAGTCGGGTAATTGGTTGGGATGCTTCTTCCGATGAGAGCCAGTTAGGTCTGGACCTTCCATTCTGCATTATGCAGCACTAATTTCAGGAAAGACACCTGTAACAATGCTGGTATGTAGGAACGCGCGATTATTATGTAATTGTAAGAGGGTTCGGAAACGGCCATAAATCGGCCGCATAGGTGACTCAGGCGGTTTAATTACCGGAACTAACGAAGATCCGGAACAACCCTTTTTTCAGAAAATTAAAAATGGGGCGAGCGATTTAGATGTGTAGTGTGTAAGCGGCAGTCCGATGTGGAGCGGTTTTAATGGAAAACGGCTAAATTTGGTTCTATCCCAATGTTAATTGTAAAAGACTTTGTAAGTTCACCCCCCCCCTCCTTAAGGTAAACTCCTGCTCCATGCCACTCCGTTAAATAATTCCAATGGCATCCATCAACGAGATGGGTCGGTGTCTCACCAAGTTTCACAAAATAAATCCAACTGCAGAAGTTACGTCATGACATGACAGCAGGCAGGGTGAAAAAGCTTCCCAAATATTAATAATTAGAAATATAAGGAGTTTTGGGCAAAAACCGTTTCTATCATGTGAGTGTGACACGATAAGAAAGGCGAAGTAATATTAAGCGAAAATTCGATCGTGTAAAGTTACTGATAGGGCTATTTAATGGTATTGGTAAGCTTTGGTCTTATGTGTTATAAATCAAGAGGCTTGCATATAATGAACATATTGACACGGGTGCAGAGTTGAGTCTGTACGGAACCTAGTAGTTTCAGATCCTTGTTTAACTTGCCGTACTGCAAGGTCTTCCACTACTTTAGCCCGCGAGGCACATAACTCCCTCTACAACTCCATGACAAATGTTTCATATATACTAGCCGAGTTCACAAGTTATATCCTTGTGTTTGAGAAGAGCTCGTTAGAACTGCTTCCTTTCCCTTCAGTATCCCACAGTCTCTCGAGTTATGTATTATTATATTAGTTATGTATTATTATATTAGGGTTCCAGTTTGAGTTAGGTTAAGGTTTAGGTAAGACCGATTCGTTCGGCTGCAAAACTATTTACACTTAATGAACCAAGTGCAGCTGATGTACGTAACAATTGAACGACCCGGAGGCTGGTTCCATCTAATCGTTCTGAACCTCTGTCCTCACAGTCACTACCTCATTTTCAGGTTTTCCACAAGCCTTGTGTCAAATGTAAGGCATGCAGCAAGACCATGACCCCCGGGGAAGTCCTTGAACACGACGACGAGATTTACTGTAAAAGTAAGTTCAAAGTTTAACTATCGCCCATGTGCCATGCCTTTATTATATATTATACGTCTTTATTATATATAATAGAGCCTTTTATAGTTCATAGCTCGCACCAAAATTAAGCCAAACATCATTTCTAACGATCCTAAGCTTTCCCAAAATCACTTGATTAATGATTTATACCACATGCATCTTGTATTAAGCAAAATATCTTCTATAGTCTATGTAATACTAATGAGCGCCATGGGTTAGCACAGAATTTTTTTCTCTGATGTTGATAAATTTGGTACCAAAAGTTGCCTCTGACTGAAGTGTGAAAATTAATAATACAAATTCGCCGTGCAGCACGATAAGGTCGAGCTGTATGTAGGACTCCTGTGCATTGCAAGTGTGTAAAACTAAAAAGGACGAAAAACGGATAATGTTTCGCTTAAAATGCCTATAACTTCTAAAATATCAAATATTTTGAAGATTTTTAGCGAAAATTGCTGCACGGTGGAATTGTCTTATTCGCATTTTTAGACAACTTTTGGTACCAAATTTATCACAATCGGAGGAAAAAATTCTGTGCCAACTCATGGCGCTTATTACATAGACTATCATTAGGGCCCCTTTATTGCTGTTACACTTAAATTCGAATCTTATTTTTAAGTTACAATTTATTCTTAATACTTTTGAGATTTTAACCCGATTTTGCGTCAGCTTGCTATGCCCAAGACTTTGGTCCTCACGGCAAAGTCTAGTGAGTGTGTGTTTATCGAGTGTGAAGAGCGTGTATATTTGGTGCGATTGAATGGTGAAGTTGTACATTAGTTGTTTATTGTGAATGAGAATGAGAAAATCACAAATTCATTGCAGCCCTCCAGTTTGAACTTTGATATACATGTGATCCGTCATGACTCATTCAAAGTACATCACAATCTTTATTGTTATAAAAAATTATGACGTGCCGGAAACATCATGTAAACCAATTATTCCTCTTCAAAATACACATAAAAATAGCAATCATCTTTCAATGTCAGCACGAATGTTTTGTTGTATTAATTTTACTGTCGTAATTTTTCAGAGGCACACAATTTGAGTTTGTTAAATGTTTATTGTTCAACGATTCGTGACGCATTTTTAATTACTATCACCCTGCAGATTGTCACTCAAGAAACTTCGGACCCAAAGGTGTAGGATTCGGCATATCACCTGCCACGATGTCGACGGGAGAGTATGCTGTTCAAAACGACTAATTAAATTACATAATTAATTGATTGTGTGATTAGCTTGTAGCATAGACACTGGCTAGTGTAGTGCTGCGATATTTAATTAAATCTACGATTTTATTTGTTACATAGCGAAAATATTGATAGAAGAAATGCACTGTAAATAGATTTTGACAAATTATATGAATTTAATAACCTAGCATTTATTTAACATACTTTAAGTTTAATATCATTTAAGTATTATGCGATCGGAAATTATATTATTTGACCATGAGTTACACATTTTATTTGAATTTAAGTGATCACTTTTTGCGCTGAGAATTATCAAGTTTACTCATTGCTCATGGAGCAAAATGAATGTGATTCGAATGTTTTGTCATGTTTATAAAGCTTTATTATTTTGTCCCCGTTGATAGTGATCCCAGAAATATCATCTACAAAGAGAGAAACGAAAATTCGAATGTGCGATTCGTAAGATGGATGAGTTGCAAATCAGTGGTTACAGTACAATAAGAAACATAAAAATCATAAAAATTTAGTTTATATTTATTATTTAAGGGGACGCGACATGGATCCAACGTTTGCAAATGCCAAACACATATATATATCATTATATATTGAAAACTAAATGCATTTACACTGACAAAAATGAAATACTAAAAATAAATCGATTTTCCACAATTTGAAAGGCAATGTCAAGAGTTTTACAGATCGCTTAAATCATTTTATATTTAACAATCAAATAATTTCATTTCTACTTTATATTCAAACAAATTCATTCTTCAAAGCACGGACGTATGAATGACACTCAAGAGACCCCTCTTACTTTGACATTAATGTTTCAAATGTTTTAAGAGCTCGTTTTGTTTTCATAACGCTGTTGAACTTTAGAGTAGTTCTAGATTCGGTTCAGTTGCGCGGCTCCAACAAGTTAACGTGTAACACGTGGAGCCAACCGAACTGACCCAAGAACCGAATCATCACTAAAGTTCAACAGTGTTAGTAACAATTTTCCCGCAAATTAAACGAGTAATTTCTGTCTGCCTGCATAGTAAATGTATTAAATAAAGTTAACCTACACTGTTCAAAACGTTAATTCTATCAAATTCAAGATTATCTTAGAGAGTAAATCGCGCCCCAAATATCCCACAACCACCACGGAACTAGTTTCAAGTTAATAAATGTTAACAAATTTATACGTTAACAATAACCCATCTTAAGTTTACCACTTGTAACGATTCTAACTTTCTGTCCCATGAAATAATCTAACCAAATTAGTTATCCGGAAAAATTGTACCTAAAATAATCAACACCGGATGGCTCAAATACACATAGTTTATTGGCACGACTAAATCCTGAACATAATTGGCCAACACTAAAGTCGGCATAGTATCCATTTAATGTATTGTATATCCATAAAAATAACTAAACTTATTGCGATTATTCTCCGCATCCATTGACACCGATAATGGCTCAAGATAGGGCTTTGAATATAAGCCTGCTAATAGTCACCAACATTCGAACAATCTAGTATATGTTGTATGAATAGTCCATGTTATTATTGTTATTAGTATAGTCGTTAACATTTAAACTATCGTAAGTTTTATGACGTAAAATGTTTAAAGGAAACAATCTGGATACCTATAAGAAAAATACGTCCTGCAAGGTAAAGTTAAGATACCACTTTATTGGTCGGATAAATTGGCGCAGAGACAGTTTAAAACGTTCTCCAAAACACACGAAATCACTGCACGAAACTGTCCAACCTTATATTAATTGGAATATAAAATGGTGAGAGCTATATCAAGTTCATCGAATCAACCTACATATCTATCCATTATTTCTACGGTTACTACATTTAAAGTAAAGTGTACTCAGATTAAAGAAAGTATCTTCAAATCACGGAGCTACTACGTAACATAAGTTCGCAAAAAGTCGTTGTTTTTTTTTTCAAGTAAACAAAATGAAGATTATGACAGGTGACGTGGGGGGTATCTAGTGACGTCTGATTGCCCAGTAGTACACTACTACGGAGATAGAGATATAGGGTCTACTACTACGCGTATTCCAGTGAGAGAGAGAGGTTGCGGGCTGATAACTGTGAAGCAGTAATGTATCTGCCTGACTTTTCACATCTGAAATTAAGGATTTGATTAGTTTTTTATATTTTTTCATTGTTTTTCAAAATTATTGTTAATTTTAGTCTGTATATATTTTCTGGAGATCGCTATTTTTATCGCTGAGAGTCAAACATTAAAATGCTCACCTAAAATAGACGGAATCAAAGAGCTCTGACCCTCTGAAGCGCCTCAGAAGCTTTGGATTCACCCCGCGTGTTTGTCCGCTGTCTTCCAGACCGCTGAAAAAGAAATAAGATTAATTAACTAATTGGTAATTGATTAATTAATTGATTGATCATTAATGACTTGCAGTGTGGGTTAGAAGCCAGATACCCGTAATCAGAGAAGAGAGAAGAGTGTGGGCTTGATGATCAAAATTATGGATATCGGAGTGAAACACCATAATCATTTCCGGGCTAGTTTATGTCAGATGAGTTATAAAATTTTAAATTCAGGATTTACAAGCATATTATTTTGACTTGTATTGCATGAGAAAACTTTAAGACATAATTTAATAATAAAAACCGTCACAAGGACAAATCACGACTTCGCTTTAACAACATTCGAGTCGGTAGCGGCACTTCAACAGATCAGTGTCATGTCCCCTTAAACTTATCAACTTTCATTTCAACTTCACTCCTAGAAGTAGACATTTATCCAGAAAACGAATGAGGTTAAGTTTGGCGGGATTATTGATTAATCATAATTTTTAGGAAGTCCCACACTGCATGACTACTGCGTACCCAGAATGAGGTGATTTGTTTGTGGGGATAAAATTGGCCAATGTATTTGTTCTTGCAGGCCTGTTCAGCTGATTCAGCCGGATGAATTCTGCATTTAATTAAATGAGGTGATAACACTTCCTATCCTGCCTTGCAAACTTATTTTATGCATGTTTTAATGTATGAATGTTTTAAATGTAATAATATGAATATGTAGGATATAGTTTGAAATATTTGATGTTGTTTTGTTATCCAGTCGTATGTGACTGGATAATACCGGTGAACTTTATAGGCTTAATAATTAATATGGACAACGTCGAACTAATATAATATCTGATTCCATTAATTACAAACTAATCATGTCAACTCGTTCTTTGTGGCCTACGTTTAGGTTAACATATCACTTTTTACGAAGAAGATCAGCTTCAGGTTGTTTTTTGTTGTTTTGTGTGATATTGCGTTGATTATATAATCAAAAGTCTCTTCGGGAATCTGAATCAAATTAATCAAGGATTTTAAAATTGCAGTTTTCCATTAAAAAATCGAAACCTCTCTACATCGGTACCAAACCATGTCGCCATTCATCGGATAATACATATCATATTTCTTTTGAGACATCTGGTTCCGATATCATTGTTATAATATTTCATTTACATTTGTGCATAACACCTGGTTACATTTCAACTTCTATATTATGGTTATGGAGAATTTGATCGCATTTTACTTGTTTTAATCATACTTTAGATTGTTGTTGCTGAAAGACTACTTTTATAAATCAAGATTAAAGAGAGCTGAAAATCGTCACTAATTTCAAGTGATTTGCTACAATTAAATCTGCTCTTATTCGTCACTAATTTCAAGTGATTTGCTACAATTAAATCTGCTCATTTCAAGTGATTTGCTACAATTAAATCTGCTCTTATTACCTTTCCCCTCTTTCTCTCCTGACTCGGACTCCCACCCTGGGAAGTAAACATTTTTGTCCGTTTCAATCCATGTAACGTCTCTATATTAAGTGTACTTTTTGACAAGTTCAGTTATTATGATTATACGATTTTATGCCGATCAGTGACTTTAACAGCTCAATTATAATCCAGTATGGGCGTAACGACAGTCCTGCTTATCCTCGGGACAAGTATAGTGCTACTGTTTTTCAAATGGTGGTTTTCTGTCAGCGGCCAGTTGTATCGAAACAAGTCAATCCCAGTCCCCGCAGGTGATTATTTCATAAAACTGCACATAGTAACTAGGTGACCTAGTTACTAGGTAACTGCACATAGTAACTAGGTGACCTAGTTACCACCTAGTTACCACCTAGTTACCACATGAATTTCAGTATTTGATAATCAATCCCATTGATCACTTTATCCCATTTTTCTTTTATATTCAAACACTATATTTTAACAGTCGCCATTCCATTCAGATATAGAGTTCATATTTGGACATATCAATTCGCCGGGGAACACGCTGTGATCGAATGAAGGAGCAGACTGGTTACGGAAATGGGGCACTATCTATCCTAAACTTTTCAGGATCAGGTAATTCAAACAAATGATACACAGCTTTACCTTGAAAGACTCGTGAGACGCCCCCCTAATTTTATGTTACACTCCGATTTCAAGTGATTTTTGTGGTACACTGTATAGTGTATACTGTACAGGTTTTCATCTAAAAAATTATTACAGAATCGGACCATACAACTTTGTTGCAACATCACATCCCAAGTCTATCCGAGCATTGCTTAAAGATAAGCCAGAAAAGACGTGGCTTTACAGGTCAATTATAACTACCTCAGTTCATTCAACAAATTAAATCTTACAATATTTTAACGTGATTTTTGGGTCATTTTTATGGTTATCATTAGCATTGATTTGTGATAATTAAAAAATTTTATAGCGCAGATTCGGGATTGATTGGTTGGGAGATGGGCTTCTCTTTTCAAAAGGGAAAAAGTGGTTTACTAGGCGGAAAATGATGACTCCCTCTTTTCATTTTGACTTGCTGAAAAGTTATCTCGACATTTTCAATGATACCACGAACGTAATGGTCGACCAGATTAGAGAAAATGGTCAGGAGCCAGTCGAGATCTTCCCCAAGGCATTGGCTATGACTTTGGACACAATTCTAAGATGTCTTGTACATTATGAGACAAACTGCCAAACTCAATATGATGAATACGCCGCAATTATGTATCGGTAAGAAAATTGTCAATGAAACTATTGCAGAATTCCAAACAAAGATCGAACAATAGTTCATGCTCATAAACATTATATTAAAGTTACTAAAACAATCATTATTTTCTCATACCATATCAAATATTTTTTTCTTTTCAGGATGACCATAATAATAGCTAAAAGAATATTTGACCCAATGAAGTACCCCAATAAACTCTTTCACAATACAACATTGGGCGCTGAATATCTACAACTCAAAGATAAGTTTTACGAAATTAGTAGAAAAATCATACAAGATCGAAAATATGCTCATCTGAAAAACCCAGATATACTGAAGGACACCAAGAATCTCAGCTTCCTGGATATGCTACTAACTGTCAAGTACGTCTTGATCTACCAATCTTTCTTAATTACAATTTCAAATCTAGTAACATTTACAACCTAAATGTAACAGTACAGAATTTATCAAAATTATGTCACACTTAAGCTTATCTGCTTAAATCTCAAATTTCAATCCTACTCTCTTCAGATATGACGATGGTTCAAACCTTACAATGGAGGATATCCTGGAGGAAACAAATGTTTTTATATTTGAAGGACACGATACCACGGCCGCTGGGATTAGTTGGAGTTTGTTCCAACTGTCTCAGCAACCAGAGCATATGGCCAAATGTTACGAAGAAATTAAAGAGGTCTTTGATGACGATAGTGGCGATCAATATGTAACTCAGCAGCAGATCAACCATTTGACTCATTTTTCATGTGCATCAAGGAATGTTTAAGAATGTACAGTCCGGTCCCTCTCATCGGAAGACAGTTGCATAACGAAGTGGTTATTGGTAAGTGTCATGGGACTAAAGCGCTTCAAAAACACACTTGCATACTATTACGTGAATAATTACAATTTAATCCATGGAAGAACGGAGTTTTGGCCAATATTTCAAATTACGAAGGAGTTAATATATTTTAGGGCTCTAGGGCTGCAAAAAAATTGTACATTGTGGAAAAATACATAACCTCAGACGGACAGCGGCTACCTAAAGGAACAAATGTTGGAATTCTGATAGATGCGTTGCATCGGGTGGAAGAGTTCTGGGATGAACCAAATGAATTTCGACCAGAACGTTTTAGTCCAGAGAATTCTAAAAACCGTGATCCTTACAGCTACATCCCCTTCAGTGCAGGTTAGTATCAATTAAATAATCAATTCAATCCAGTTTCAGTACCCGCTACATAGTACAGACAGACTTAAAAATGTCAAAATCGTTTGAAAGCTCGTTGTGTCGGTTAATCGATTTTTCAGATGGATCTGTCTGTACTAACAACTGATAATGGAAATTGTTGGCGTTGCAGACATGTCGCAAGCTATACAAAAATATAAACTTTGTATTTATACCACGTTAAGTACATTAAGTACATAAATGTCTGTTAAGTACAGGGTGTTTCAAAAATAATGTCCTGATTTAAAAAACAATAAACATTTTTATAAAGGAGCAAAATGCCCATTATCGGTTGCCATTAGTTCATAAAGCTTACAAATTTAATTTGTTAAGCTCATTTAAATTTTTTGGCTCTGTTCCAAAAAGTCGATTTTGGAAAAAAAATGTATAGAAATAGTCTGCTAATTGGGCTATTTAACAGAATAATTCATCTCTAACAGGTAACCGCAACTGTATTGGACAGAACTTTGCCATCACAGAATTGAAAATGGCCGTGGCAAAGCTAATCTACAACTTTGAAGTGGTAGCTCATCAACCGGAGAGGGTGACACGTATTAGTACAGGGATAATGAAACCTATAAACTTGTACTTGAAGTTCATTCCACGGCAAAACAGCAACTGATGGGACAAAATGTACTTAACAATTATTATGTTTTTTGTACGGTTAAGCAAGGATAATAATTGTATAATGTATTATTTGTCCAGGCTTAATTTGATTAAAGGGATTACGGAACATCAACTATTTAATTATAAGAATATTCAACGACTTTTAAACACGCTTTATGTTTGTGGTAGCAAATCGAATCTCTACACTTTTAGTTACTACCAAACCGTTTAGTCATAACATAATCAGATTTCGCATATTCCAATTCTTATCTAAATTGTCATTGTATACCTATGTATAATTTCATTAGTATGTGCCATTTGAGTAACCGTTTCAAGTCCCAAATTATTCCGCAGATTCCAGTGTTCTCCTTGTTGCTGGGTCTCGCTTTATGGCCACATTTTCTATTTCCCGAGGCGTTGAAAATTATGAATAATTTTCTTGTCAATGGTACGTTCCTGATTCTATGTTAAGTACACGCTTTTGACGAAAGTTTTAATTAAAACACTACGTAATTAGGCGTGACAGAATGGCCGTGACGACGGTTCTGCTCATATTTGGAAGTGCCCTAATTCTACTGGTCATGATGTGGTGGTTTTCTGTCAGCGGCCAGCTGTATAGACTCAAGTCAATCCCAGTGCCCTCAGGTGATCTTTTTAATAACATGAGTATTGTGGTTCTCGTTGATTATTCCAAATGATCGGTTAATCATTTTCCCAACAATCCTTTCACGTTGGATGTCAACTTAATCGCTTAAACGTATCTTCATACAAATACCATAACACTCGCCACTCCATTTAGGTATAGAGTTCATATTAGGACACCTCAATTCGCCGGGAAACTCGCTTTATTCGAGTGAAGGAGCAGACTGGATACAGAAATGGGGCACTATCTATCCTAAATTGTACAGGATCAGGTAATTCACAATTCAAACAGATAACACACTTATGATATCCTCTCCTTCTTTAAAGTAATTTGTGCATTATTTCGACCTAAAAATGGGGTGAAGTCGAAGTAATATCATCTTCCATCTTCATTCTTCATACAACCTCGTTTACTTTGGGTTAATTGTGCGGGTTAATGTACCAAGTAAATTTCAGACTTGGACCTTTCAACTTTTTGGGCACATCACATCCCAAGTACATTAGAGCATTATTGAAGGAAAAGCCAGAAAAGATGTGGCTGTACAGGTAAATTATATATCTCACAATATTTTTTTAAATGATGCTGGGTGGTATACACCTTAATTGATTTGAACAAACTAATATTTGATGATGAATTATGATGCACCGAATCTGTGACAATATCATTGGTTTGAAAAGTCCTTTATTACAGATTCGCAATTGCCTGGTTAGGAGATGGGCTTCTCTTTTCAAAAGGAAAAAAGTGGTTTACTAGGCGGAAAATGCTGACTCCCTCTTTTCATTTTGACTTGCTAAAAAGTTATCTCGACATCTTTAATGAGACCACGAACGTCATGGTAAATCAGTTTAGGGAAAATGGTCAGGAGCCAGTTGAGATCTTCCCTAAGGCATTGGCTATGACTTTGGACACAATTCTAAGATGTCTTGTACATTATGAGACAAACTGCCAAACTCAGTATGATGAATACGCCGCAATTATGTATAGGTAAGAAAAGTTTATATTGTATACAGAAATAGATAATGTTGGTTATGAAAGTTTTTCGTAAAAAATGTTAAAGAATCATTTGGAAATTTGGAGAAATGTAATATTTCAAGTTCATATTTATTCATTTAAAGTTATCAATACCATTATTATCTTATTGTACATTATTATAAAACTTGGATTCTTCAGGATGTCCCTCATAATAACTGACCGATTTTTCGACCCAATGAAGTACCCTAATATTCTCTTTCACAAAACAACTATGGGCACTGAATATCTACAGCTCAAAGATAAGTTTTACGAAATTAGTAGAAAAATCATAAACGATCGAAAAGATGCTCATCTGAGAAACCCAGATATACTGAAGGACACCAAGAATCTCAGCTTCCTTGATGTACTACTAACCGTTAAGTAAGTTTTCTGATCTATTAGAAATCGTTTTAAGTACAAGTAATTGTATAGAATTCAATATATTTAAGGCTACGATTTTATTCTTACATTGCAAGCTTGATCAAAATCTAATTGTACTTATAATAGAGTTCTGAAACTTGAATTCAGATATGAAGATGGCTCAAACCTTTCTATGGACGATATCCTTGAGGAAGCAAATGTTTTTATATTTGAAGGACACGATACCACGGCTAGTGGTGTAAGCTTTAGTTTGTTCCAGCTGTCTCAGCAACCAGAGCATATGGCCAAATGTTACGAAGAAATTAAAGAGGTCTTTGATGATGATAGTGGCGATCAATATGTAACTCAGCAGCAAATCAACAAACTGACTCACTTTTCCATGTGCATCAAGGAATGTTTAAGATGAAACCTCCTGTACCTATGATCGGAAGGGAACTGCAGAGTGAAGTGGAAATTGGTAAGTGTTTATAGTTGCTAGGGAGGTCTAGGGGTTGCTAGGGAGGTCTAGGGGGACCTAAGGAGGTCAAGAGTAGACAAACGGGACACTATTTAGTATTCAGGAATCAAAGTGATCAACTAAGGGTTAAGACCTAGGTTACATTATTAGTTATAATAATACTACTATAACTATATAATACTAGGGTGTAAGGGTGCGCCTAGGTAGTGTTTTGAGATATTAATGCAGCATTTTAACTACAAAATTGACAAAGAAATCGTTAAAATCTATCTTCAGACGGTTTACGGCTACCAAAAGGAACAAATGTTGCATTTTTGATAGATGCGTTACATCGAGTGGAAGAGTTCTGGGATGAACCAAATGAATTTCGACCAGAACGTTTTAGTCCAGAGAATTCCAAAAACCGTGATCCTTACAGCTACATTCCCTTTAGTGTAGGTTAGTACCAAACGAATAATTATTTTAATCCAGTACCAGTTATATTCGACAATAAGAGTAGACATGATTGGAAATAGACCATGTTTCAGTCCATGAAAACAATCGATTAGATTCAACATTTATTTCAAATACCCTAATTAAAAAATGGTTAATAATCCCAGAATAAAATCATTTACTGATCAACAGGTAACCGCAACTGCATTGGACAGAACTTTGCCATCACAGAATTGAAAATGGCCGTGGCAAAGCTAATTTACAACTTTGAAGTGGTTGCTCATCAACCGGAGAAGGTAACTCGTATCTGTGCAATGATACAGAAACCTTTAAACTTGTTCTTGAAGTTTATCCCACGAGAAAGCGGAATCTGAGGTGACCAATCATTTTCAGCGGACAAATATGCTAATATTATTGGCTATAATTATGTTTTTTGTATCTTAATAAAGCAATGGAATTTTTTCACAATACAAGTTTTTGTATCCTACTTTGTGAAGGATTTTAAGTATTTATTTGAAGACTCTGGAATGACAACTATCAACCATATCAGCTGAAATTTGATCAGCTAAAACGTACGCAAGAATTGCTTATAATTTATTCCGATCAACAATTCAACTGCCCAATTTTTAGCCGATCATAATTACCGTTCAAATTGTCCGTAATCGTATTTGTTTTTAAAAAGTGTGTACATTTTCCGTGAAGAAGTTTTACAAAATCAAAATAAACACGTCGAGGAAATTGATTATGATTAAATGACGTAATTAATTGCTATTGTGAATTGTGATTGAATACCATTATCTCAACGCATAAACTTTTCAATATAATTTAGTTTCCTTTCTTCATGTTTGCTCCTATGTTTGCTCCTATTGCAGTAAAATAGCCCTAATTAATAATTTCATCAAAAATGTATCAAATACCGCCGAATTAAGGGTTAATCTGGCAAGCCTTTTGCAACCATAGTACTATTAGCTGCCAAAATTTGAGCCGACAAAATTATGCCGATAAGATAATCACTTTAAGTCAAACAAAAGTGGTGCAAAATCCAAGTTTTATAATATACAAGCTTTTAAGCTTAGTTGTAGTGAACGTACGGAACGTTCACTAAAAATAGTTTGTGAACGCGTTCGCTAAAATATTTTAACGTTCGGAACATAAGGAACGTTAATTGCTATTATGAAATTAAAATGCCTGTCGAGGAATTTTTACTGAATTTTATGAAAAATTTTGTTTTGGAGAAAATTTTACACTTCAGATTTAAAATATTAACACGTCGACACACACGTCTGTTAGCAATAAAAGTAATGCATACAAGAATTTGTTTGAGTGCGCTAAAGATTTAGTGTTTGACCCCCATTTCTGGATAGAAGTCGACTATTTATGCTCAATTCTCGAGCCGATAATAGTCTTGCTTAGATTTTCACACAATAGTCTTAAGATTCCTGTTGGTTTCATCGGTGTAATTTATTACAAATATTATCTGTTCACCTTAAAGTTAGCAAATTTGTCGGAATTAGACAGTAAATAAACAATAATGAATAAAAATAAGTCACTAGTATAGCAAATAGTAATGAAATTATTGCTTTCCGCAATAGAAACCATAAAAGTGATATGGTTAGTCAATTGCCAACAAAAGCTGGCTCGAGCTCCATTCCCCCCTACATTCAGAAGGGTTTTGTGTTCACCCGGCTTATCAGGGATATGATCAGCACACGAATCAGGATGTCTGGAAGGAGTTTCTAGATGTCATGGACACGTGGTGTGACGGCGCAACAAAGAAGAAGATACTTTCGCAGAACACGTTCTACCGAGAGAAAAGAGGCTTATTCTCTACTGACGCTGCCTCAAGTTTTAGCCAAGATTCTGACGATCCAATCTCTTGGTGGAGCAACTTCGGTTGCGAGGTACCCGAACTACAGAGTTTTGCAATGAAAGCGCTGTCGCAATCGACATCAGCCTCACCCTGTGAGACGAATTGCCGAATTGGAGCTTGTACGACTGGGTGATAAACAAAAAAGAAACCGCCTCACAGTTGACAAGCAGAGAGACCTTATTTAAGTTAACGCAAGTTTGCGTCTTATGAACAATTCACGAATTAAATTTAAGGAGCAATAATTTCATTACTATTTGCTATACTAGTGACTTATTTTTATTCATTATTGTTTATTTACTGTCTAATTCCGACAACATGGTTTTATCTCATTGTATCCATCTAAAGTTAAAAACTATCGGAAAAATTATCAAAATATTGACTAACGTTGACTAACGTTCACAAACGTTCACTACAAAATGATTGGAACGTACGTTCAGTACGACTAAGTTCAGCGTTCACTACAACTAAGCTTTTAAGGCCAGACCACTCAGCGCAATTGTTATCTTATATTAGCCCTAAATCTAATTACCATGTACCAACTAGTCCTACCTTTCCATTTCAATACTGTTTTCCATCAGTGAATCCTGCCAAATAACATTATGCACAAGTAAATAATTTAATAAGATTTCAGAGGTATCAAAGGTAAGGTTTCTCTGAGCTGCCATATTTTCTATTTCCCAGGCTAGAGTTGAGCATTTTTCAAAATATGGGTAGTATATATATACTTGTTTCGCGACTTCCAATTCAAATGTATTATTAATAATAATTAACCATATATAATGTATTATATACATTATACATACATAATATACTGTATACCATAATTATCAGTATAATTTTTATCTCTAAGTCTTATTTAATATGATCTGAAGCTCACAAAATAGTATTTCATCATTAAAAGGGCGCAACTGTCGTATCTGCTTAAGCAGTTTATTGATTGGTTTCGATTGCTAACTTACCAAAGTAAGTAATTATCTAATATTTACGGGCCGATGAGTGGTTTTAGCACTTACAGTCACAGAATTTAGCGGCTGTTTTTCTAGTGCTTATTATGATCGGCTTTAACATAAGAAACAACCTTATCAAACCTTATATAATGATGAAATCTCAAACATAATTCTATCTGGGCCCTGCATAAGACGTTTATATTTTGAAAGTACGGCAGTATGGGCGTGATAACGGTCTTGCTGGTACTCGGAGCCACTTTAGTTCTCTTGGTTATGAAATGGTGGTTTTCTGTGGACGGCCAGTTGTACCGAATCAAGTCAATCCCAGTCCCTTCAGGTGAAATATAAAAGAACTGAGTGGAGTTGGGTTAAAAACATATAAGAGATACGATGATTTAACTTGTAGAAGCTTTCAATAAACATGTGTTAATCGTCGTCAGCTGAATGTGATGTGGTGGACAATGCTTATATGTGATTGAGTGGTGTCAGGGATGGAGGGTGGGGGAGGTGTGGGTGGGAAAGTGAAAATTACAGTACAATGTCAATAAAAATTTAGTCTTCTGTTGAGGTTGAGAAGGAAATGCCAGATGGTCTGGACTTTAAGGATTTGGCAATTTTAGGAAGAATGGGGTCCCAGAGGGAACTACATTTGGGTGCGCGGTCTGTTCTGTTCATAGCTGGTTGTCGTATTTGTATAGCTGCGTGTTCTGTGAGGTCTAGTTGGGAGCGTGAGGTGAGGGATTTGAGGACTTCGATGTTGTTCCAGGAGATGGTGTGGCCGGTGGTCAGGGCATGATGTGCAGGGGCTGATTTGATATAAAAGAACTGGTTGCCAAGAAAAGTGCTTTATTTGTCAATTAATTCGAAAGGTCGATTTGTCCGATTTTCCTTACAGTTGGTGTCACAAACCAAAAAGCGATTAACTTGTCTTCATACTTCAACAGAATCCACTTCATTCAGGTATAGAGTTCATATTAGGACATCTCAATTCGCCGGGAAACACGCTGTATTCGAATGAAGGAGCAGACTGGTTACAAAAATGGGGCACAATCTATCCTAAACTTTTCAGACTTAGGTATGGTTAATTATTGACAAAAACGGAAACTTTTTGTTTGGGGTATATATGTACATTGTACATGAACCTTCGTATACCTTAAGTTAAGACTTAATTATTGTATCAAGGGTCAATTTAAAATATTACTTTCAGATTTGGACCATTCAACTTTGTGTGCACATCTCATCCCAAATACATCCGGGCACTGCTTAAGGACAAGCCAAAAAAGATGTGGTTTTACAAGTAAATCAGTGTCACATCTTATATAAGTAATATTTTCATGATAATGCTGGACGCTGGTGGGCACACTTTATCGATTGAAACATACTTATAATTAATATTTTATGTATGAATAATAAGGAAAGCTGAAACCTGTGGGACAACAGCTACAGTTAATGAAAATTAGTAACAATTTTAGATTCGTGGTCGACTGGTTAGGAGATGGGCTTCTCTTTTCGAGCGGCGAAAAATGGTTTACTAGGCGGAAAATGCTGACTCCCTCTTTTCATTTTGACTTGCTAAAAAGCTATCTCGACATCTTTAATGAAACTACGAACATCATGGTCAATCAGCTCAAGGAAAATGGACAGGAGCCAGTGGAGATTTTCCCAAAGGCAATAGCTATGACTCTGGACACAGTTCTAAGATGTCTTGTACATTACGAGACAAACTGCCAAACTCAATATGATGAATACGCTGCAATCATGTATAGGTAAGAAGATTTTATGCTTTGTTGAAATTCATTAAGTCGCGTTGGTTAAGGACATTTTTCAATGAAGGTACATCGAAGAATCACCAACGAAGATTGACACATGTAGTAAATCTAGCTCAGATATATTATTTCTGTTAAGAAGACCATTATTATTGTACATTATATTGCACCATTTATGATTTATCCTGAATCCTGAATTTTTCAGGATGACCATACTGGTAACCAACCGATTTTTCGACCCAGTACAGTTCTCCAATATACTATTTCACAATACAAAAATGGGCGCTGAATATCTACAACTCAAAGATAAGTTTTGCGAAATTAGTAGGAAGATCATAGAAGATCGCAAAGAGGCTCATTTGAGAAACCCAGATATACTGAAGGACACCAAGAATCTCAGCTTCCTTGATGTAATACTAACCGTTAAGTAAGTTTTCTGTTCCATCGGTTGATTTAAATAATAGTTAACTACCCAATATAATTAAAAGCAACATAAAATCTTAATTTTGCGGAAATGGCAAAGGGTTTTAATAAAAAATTCGATCACATTTATCAATGCAGTTGTAGGTGATGCAAAATTATAGCAAAACTCGAAGAAGCCGATAATCGGTATGGTTAAACTACCAACGTGGATCCGATAGTTTAAAAATCTAAATTGTCTTAAATTTTAAATCTGGTTTATGGTTCAAATCTTTCTATGGAAGATATCCTTGAGGAAGCAAACGTTTTTATACTCGGAGGACACGATACCACGGCTAGTGGTATGAGCTGGATTTTGTTTCTGCTGTCTCAGAATCCAGAACATATGGCCAAGTGTTACGAAGAAATTAAAGAAGTCTTTGACAATGGTGGTGGTGATGAATATGTAACTCAGCAGCAGATCAACGACCTGACTTATTTTTCTTTGTGTTTCAAGGAATGTTTACGAATGAAAAGTCCTGTACCTATGATCGGAAGGGAGCTGCATAATGAAGTAGAAATTGGTAAGTTTTAAGTGTTTATATAGACCTATATTATATAGATATATAATATAGACTAGGCCTGATGGTTCCTAAAATACGCTAAAAGGTGAAGGATCAAAATGTGAGTAAAGCGGAAGTTTCATATACCTGGGTGAGTTCTACCCCCTAGGACCTTGATTAACTGTATAAAAGGTGAACAAACAAAACGTAAAAAATCTGACTTCAGACGGAATTCGGCTACCTAAAGGAACAAACGTTGCCATTCTGATAGATGCTTTACATCGAGTGGAAGAGTTCTGGGATGAACCAAATGAATTTCGACCAGAACGTTTTAGTCCAGAGAATTCTAAAGACCGTGATCCTTACAGCTACATCCTTTTCAGTGCAGGTTAGAATGTTAAGTAACGGATTTCACAAACTGTGCAGGAAAATAATTCGTGTATAAGACCAAACATGATATAGATTATAAGAAATAATACCTTGACTTAGTTATCGTGCCGGGCTTATTTCTTATAATTTTATCGCCCGTAGTACTCAACAGCCAAGGTATTATTGTATTATATATAATGGATCATTTTGAAGTATATAAGTTGTAATTTAAAAAAATAAAAACATTCATCCGGTTAACAGGTAGCCGCAACTGCATTGGACAGAACTTTGCCATCGCAGAATTGAAAATGGCCGTGGCAAAGCTAATTTACAACTTTGTAGTTATAGTGGTAGCTCATCAACCGGAGAAGGTGACACGTATTAGCACAATGATACAAAAGCCTATAAACTTGTTCTTGAAGTTCATTCCACGAAATTAGAAAACTGTTCAATCACTTTCAGAAGACTGATATCTGGATATTATCCGGTTGGAAGAGACAAGGACAAGTGAAACAAGGAAGTTAGGAGTAAGGGCAAATTTTCAAAGTATTTTAATACTTTCAACACTACTATATAACAAATAATTTGAGCCTGAAGATGGCGTTGACGCCGAAAATTTGCCCTTACTCCTAACTTCCTTGTTTCACTTGTCCTTGTCTCTTCCAACCGGATAATATCCAGATATCAGTATTTCAATCATGAGACTAATAAACAGCGAACTACTCCGTTATTTGATACTTTCAGAAGACGAAACATTTTATTTCGTATGGTAAAGGAAAGCCAGATGTTTGATTTGAGTTAAAGATGTTAAGTTTTGATTTTAATATATTATATGGGATACGGAATGTAGAAATATCAATTAACTGATTCTGGATATAGTACTGCTAATTGCCTGGACAATATTAACAGTACTGCTACTAGCTTGTGCTGCTGATCCATTATATGGTGCTTTTCACAGTTTTTATGGTTTTTAAATTTGTGGCCGAATAATACAAATTTGGGCTCTCAAACATTATTGATCATTTGTATTTTGTGTATATAAAATTTCCAGATTAAAGTAAAAGTGTCTCGTTGATCTAAGTTTGTGGTAGGATAACTTCGTGCCGAAAAGAACTTTATCATGAATACAAATGGGGCTCGATGAGTTCAGCGTTTTAAACTAATTACAACACTACAAATAATATGATACCCGAAAATGTCGTGTTGTCCCTCTTATTTGGGTTTTAAAAAATAAACATGGAATGTCGATGACATGAAGCTACAGTTGAGCATTAGGATAAGGAGACTTTTTGCCACTTTATTTCTATGTCTCTGTATGATTGTTACGATAATTTATAATAATCATCACTAATAATAATGGTAGAAACTGCACCTGTCCGTTTGTCTGTTTGTAATTTGAAAATCGCTTAATCAAGAAAACGGCAAGAATTAAGAGTTAGGGTACTGTAAGATAAGAGGTTAGAGGAAGTCTTTATAACAAATTTTTTTAAATAACAAATTTTCTAAATCGGCCTGCGGTAAGTGGTGTAATTTGGTGATTTATTTCTATCATTTATCATTGCATCTGCTCTATCTGCAATATAAACGAGGTCTAATTTGATCCCGACACTAAGCTGCCCTGACCTAGATTGGCATTTTGTCTCACACTCTCTCTCTCTCTCTCTCTCCCTCGCAGCTTTATCTGTGATAAAATTACATCTAAGTCACAGTGGGCCCACTCTGACATCATGCCACGCTTGCTACATACTATCTGATGAAAGGGTTTCTCAAGAAGTTGAACTGCCATTTAGGAAGTTTAACTGCCATGCTGTGCTTGAAAATCACGTTAATTAAGTTTGACTGTGGTTCCTTAATCTTTGCTGTAGATGTTTCATAATTTTGTTTTATATACGTAACTTGATCGCTTGACAATTTTGCTGCGGATTTCGACTGAGCAGGTTGTACCAGTATTTACATAACTACATACCGATCAGTGTCGTAAGCTGAACACTCACAGGAAACTGTTGTTGTCCATCTGAGCGGTACTTCTAATGATCCATACAAATATAATGTAGAACCCCAAATTATCACGGCTGCTTAAACTCCGTATACTGTAACACTGACTAGAAAATCTGATGAAGCCTATTATGAACTTATTACACAAGTCCATAATCCATATATTGGGCACTTTCACATCTTTTAACTTTTTGAAACTCCGAAAGTAAGCATGGGGGTGACGACGGTTCTGCTCATATTTGGAAGTGCTCTAGTTCTACTGGTTATGAAATGGTGGTTTTCTGTCAGCGGCCAGTTGTACCGAAACAAGTCAATCCCAGTTCCCTCAGGTAAAGTATTCAAGTTAATTCATTCGTCAATCAATATTCAATCCTAATGATCAACTTCCACAATTATTCACCCTGTTGACATATATCAACATAGCCACCCTCTCTTATTCTTTCCCTCTCTTCCACCCTCTCTTCATACTATAAGTTATAACAGTCATCACTTCATTCAGATATAGACTTCATTTTTGGACACATCAAGTCGCCAGGAAACACGCTGTATTCAAATGAAGGAGCAGACTGGTTACAAAAATGGGGCACTATCTATCCTAAAATATATAGGATCAGGTTTGCTTTTCTAACTAATAAACCAGAAACTTGTGACATCAGGGTCACGTGACTTGGTTCAACACAATGGCTACGCGTGATTCATAAATATTTGTAAAAGTCACTTTGTTTTGAGATTTTTAATGAAAAAAAAGCTCTTTATTTCAAACTTGATAAATGATAACGGTTGACTATAAAGTCTTTATTTCAGATTTGGACCATACAACTTCGTGATAACATCACATCCAAAAACCATCCGAACTTTGTTCAAGGACAAGCCAGAGAAGACGTGGCTGTACAGGTAAATTATTATTGTTGATATTTGATGTAAATTCTATAAGTTAAGATGCAACTGAACTTGTGAGACAATAGCATTAATTTCTGAGAAATAAAAAACTTTGTATTTTAGATTCGCAATTGACTGGTTAGGAGATGGGCTTCTCTTTTCAAAAGGGAAAAAGTGGTTTACTAGGCGGAAAATGCTGACTCCCTCTTTTCATTTTGACTTGCTAAAAAGTTATCTCGACATTTTCAATGAGACCACGAACGTCATGGTCAAGCAGTTTAGGGAAAATGGCGCGGAGCCAGTCGAGATCTTCCCCAAGGCATTGGCTATGACTCTGGACACCATTCTAAGATGTCTTGTACATTATGAAACAAACTGCCAAACTCAATATGATGAATACGCCGCAATTATGTATCGGTAAGTAGATTTTGTAATGCATCATATTTTAATGATAAAAAGGTTGCCAATGAAGGTATAATCACAATTTATTAAAAAATACCATTTATTATCACTACTTTATCACAACTTGGATTTTCAGGATGTCCATAATGATAAGCAACAGAGTTTTTGACCCGATGCAGTACTCTGACAGACTCTTTAACAATACGACAATGGGCGCTGAATATCTACAACTCAAAGATAGATTTTTGGAAATCAGTAGGAAGATCATAGAAGATCGCAAAGAAGCTCATTTGAGGAACCCAGATATACTGAAGGATGCCACGAATCTTAGCTTTCTTGATGTATTACTCACCGTCAAGTGAGTTTCCTGTTACATCAATCGTTTAAAATAGAAGTTAAAAATTTAATAAAATTTAAGTCTGATTAGATCAGAGCGGACATGATCATTGATTTGTATTGATTATTACTTATAAAGAGAGCATAAATTGTAATCCCGCTATCTTTAGATACGAAGATGGTAGAAACCTATCGATGGAGGATGTCCTTGAGGAAGCAAACGTTTTCATATTTGAAGGACACGATACTACAGCTAGTGGTGTTAGCTTTAGTTTGTTCCTGCTGTCTCAGAATCCAGAGCATATGGCCAAATGTTACGAAGAAATTAAAGAAGTCTTTGACAATGGTGGTGGTGATGAATATGTAACTCAGCAGCAGATCAACGATCTGTCTTATTTTTCTTTGTGTATCAAGGAATGTTTAAGAATGAGACCTCCTGTACCCATGATCGGGAGACACCTTCACAACGAAGTGGACATCGGTAAGTTTAAACACAGTTAGTGTTACCCTGGGGCCTGGCCACGGGCCAGTGTTAGTTTCAGATTCGTTTGGGGTTGTCTAGAGGTTAGGTAGTATTGTGAGAGATAAGTTGAGCTTATAAATTATGAAGTATTGACAGACAAAAATCTGACTTCAGATGGAATTCGGCTACCCAGAGGAACAAACGTAGCCATTATGATTGATGCTTTACATCGAGTGGAAGAGTTCTGGGATGAACCAAATGAATTTCGACCAGAACGTTTTAATCGAGAAAATTCTAAAAACCGTGATCCTTACAGCTACATCCCCTTCAGTGTAGGTTAGTATCAATTAAAATTAAATAATCATTCGACCGATTTTTGTTAACAAAGACGATACATCATTAGCGATGATCAGTGAAAACATATTAGGCTATATTTTGATTTTGAATGTCCTTTATCATTATGAACTAAAAACGGTCGATTAAGGGCACAAGAATTACATTAAAATACCCTAGTTAGCCATAAAAATTGTATTCTAATTGTGCTATTTAATAAAATAATCCATCTGATAACAGGTAACCGCAACTGCATTGGACAGAACTTTGCCATCACAGAATTGAAAATGGCCGTGGCAAAGCTAATCTACAACTTTGAAGTGGTAGCTTATCAACCGGAGAGAGTGACACGTATCATTGCAATGATACAGAAACCTTTAAACCTGTACTTGCAGTTCATCCCACGAGAGATCAAAAGCTGATCTAAACAATTATTTGATATTTCCAATACACCTGCACCAGTTATAGTGCTTAGCACTGTTGTGTATTGAATGGGAAAGCTTTAGAAGGGTATTTTTGTGTTTAGTTATCAGGACTTAGTATTAATTTGAATATTATATGAAGGGTATGTTCACATCAACCATGAACTAACGTTATGATATACACTGAAATAGGTTAATTTAATTTAATCGTAAATGGTTTTATATTGAAAGTATTGTGATAATGTAAACGTAATTAGAAAAAGAGCTATCACGTAACACTGTTTAACTGTTTTGTAGTTAACAATTTTGGAATTTTATCAAAACTGTTAAAATATTTTCCAAATGTACAGTTTTCTATATTAAACTAAAATGTTTGGTCATTCAAACAGCTGGTGTCCTTTTCTTACAGCCTAAATTTTTCAAATTAAAACCGACCCAACCTGAGTAAAACACATCGAATACCAGATCGGCCCGATATACGAATCTCATACTTATCATTGTTATTTCTTCTTTGGGCAAGTTTCCATAACTAATTTTTTGTGATCAGCGGTAATAACCGCTTTTTTTACGCTAAAAAAGCGCTTATTGATAAAACCCACCGTTATTTGGCGATTATAAAGCGATTATAAACGGTCCCGTTAATAAACGATTAAAAACGATTATAATCGCTTTTTCCATAAAATATTTTTGCAAAAGCGATTATTAGCGCTTTAAAAGCGACAATAAATCGCGAATTAAAATTATTAGTGATAAAAAAACGCTTTTATTTTAGGGTTGTCGATTATTATCGCTCCGTAAGCGCTTTTCAAAAAAACGCTTATAAACCGTTTTTTGGACCGTTTTTAAAACGCTTTTAATCGACTATAAGCGATTATATTCACTAGGGAAAGTTCCAAATTAAAAAGCGCCTACTAATCGTTAAAAAAACGCTTTTTTATTTTAAGTTAATAAGCGGTTTAAATCGATTATAAAACGATTATAAGCGACAATAAGCGATTTTTTGAAATCTGCTAAAAAGCGATATTTTCACTATGATCAGCGCTTATAACCGCTTTTCTTGAAATTTTCCTACTGAAAAGCGTTTATAAGCGCTTATTTATTTGCTGTCTATAAGCGATTATAAACGATTATAAGCGCTTTTTTAAGTATTTGAAACGAGGAAAAAATTGTCAGGTACGAGATATTATAAGCGATTATAAGTGATTATAAAGTATCGTAAATGTTATTGTCTTCAATTGTCGCTTATATTATAAGCGACAATTGAAGACAATAACATTTATAAGCGATTATAAACGATGAAAAGCGCTTTTTGACGCATTTTAAAACTATGATCAAAATATGTTTTAATACTTTCAACACTACTATATAACAAATAATTTGAGAACTGAAGAAGACGTTGTTACGTGGAATGATTATTTCAATTCAATAAAGTTTCTAGCCTAAAGTTTGCTGCTTCAATTTGTTCGCAAGTTAAGAGTCTAAAGAGAAATTCTCCAAGAGAAATCAAAATATGTTTTGATTTGATTTATTTGGGGTATATAAGCGATTATGTAAGCGGGGTATATAAGCGATTATAAACGATTATGAGCGCTTGATTTTTTACGTATTTGGAACGAGGACACAATTAACAACAAAAATTACGCGATAGCCGGAGGTCCCCAGGTAACGTCTCCGTCTCCATCTCCGTCTCCGTCTCCGTCTCCGTCTCCGTCTCCGTCCCCGTCTCCGTCTCCTTCTCCTTCTCCTTTTCCTTTTTGAATTCGATTATTTAGGGCTAGGGCTCGGGAATAAGGGTTGTGGTAAGGGTATCGGATAGCTTCGGGGTTATATATTATGGTCGTTAGGGTTGGGATTACGCAGGAGGAGCAAAGTGCAAAGAAACTGCCACAAACTGCTACAAACTGCTACTAACTGCTACAAACTGGCACTTACTGCCACAAACTGGCACTAACTGCTACAAACGGGCACTGACTGCTACAAACGGGCACTAACTGCTGCAATCGCGCCCACGCATTGCTCCTCCTGTGATTAGGGTTTATGTAAAACCGTTTTTTACGGCTGCAAAACTATAAAAACCTTGTACCCCCATCGTTGTTTCATTATACCCCTGTAGAGTTTCTACGATACAGGGGGAGCTGCGCAATTGTGCGCGGCGGGTCATACAACGTATGACAATAAAACCAAAGTCACATGAAATTTTTGGGCGAGCGAATTAGTAAAAGCCAGCTCGGCATTTTGCCGCAATCTACGTGGTTGCGAGAAGGATTATTTGATGCGCGGCGCAGCCCAGTAGTGCATCGCGCTACAAGTAATTGTTCTAGTTCTACTTTATTGTATCCCAGAGTGGTATTTGACGCACGTTACTGGGCGGCGCTCAGCCTGTCATTCCGCCGAATCTCTATTATGAATATAATAGCCTGAGGTCCCCAGGTAAGACGCACGTTATAATTGTTTATATTAGGCGTGCAGAATTTTAACAAGAATTTCAACAAAAATTTTGCCGCGGTTAAACCACGCACCATCAATTTATCTAATTGCCAAACACCACTCTGGGATATACTAGTGACTAGGGGGTGCACCATAAAAATAAACTTGCTCGGATTTTAAAAATGTTTGTACCATTGTTTTCTAGAGACTGTGAGAATTTTCACAATACCAAATTTGTCAATGTACCTTTTTGGAAAGATCAGTGAGTTTCGCCTAGGTGCCATATTTGATGGTGCGCGGCTTTTGGAGCAAAATTAGCTGTAAAAGTCGCGTAATTTGACCAAATTTGACCAAATTCGTTGATTTTTGTCGTATTATTTGGATATATCTTCAGTTCCTTGCATGAGATCATTCTGAAAATTGGCGACGACCTTCCAATAGGGCTTTCACAACTGTCCGAAAAATTTGGTGGATATTGGAGTTGATATAGTGATCAAAATGGGGCAAAATACGCTGCGTTTAGCTGTAACATAATGTCTGATGGTTGGATATGCTTTAAACTTTTCGGACACTTTCCTTGTAAGTCTATGAGTAAGATTACCAATTTTTGTTGCAATCGGAGGTCGGGAAGGATACTTAATATCTACCCAGGAAAAGTTACCGGCTGGTGGTGGCACTAGAGTTGGTTTAATTTAAACAGACGGCTTGACCTCGCGCGCGACAACAAGCATGATTTGCACGCGTGGCGCATTCCAATGTTCAGGCAGCTACCACGTGACACAATTCAGCCAACCAGAGTACAGGAATCCGCAAAGTTAAAGTTGCAAACTTTTGATCGGCCCGAAAGGGGACTTTTCTGGAGATTTTGAGATAACTCAACAATTACGTTGTCTTGAATTTTCAAGAGGAACATGTTACAAAAAACCGGAAGTCTCCAACTCTTTTACTTTCAAAGTTAAGCCCCATCCGGTCAGGGTTCCTGGGTATTTGTTTGAAGAAAATTGTGCTGGCCGAAATTAGCGCTAAAAAACCATCCTACAGTCGGCACGCGCGGCTCACTGTCGATGACGCACTACCTAGATATACAATAAAGTAGAACAATTACTTGTAGAGCGATGCACTACTAGACTGGACTGCGCCGCGCATCAAATAATTCTTCTCACAACCACGTAGATCGCAGCAAAATGCACTATTGGGCCTTGCCGAACTGGCTTTTATTAATTCGCTAATTTGCTCGCCCAAAAATTTCATGTGACTTTGGTTTTTATTGTCATACGTTGTATGACCCGCCGCGCACAGGTGCGCGGCTCCCCTGTATCGTAGAAACTCTACAGGGGTAAAGTAAAACGACGATGGGGGTTACTGGGCGGCGCTCAGCCTGTCATTCCACCGAATCTTTATTCTTTATGAAACATAATAGCCTGGGGTCCCCAGGTAACGATGGGGGTCACGACGTGATACAAGGTTTCTATAGTTTTGCAGCCGTACAAAACGGTTTTACATAAACCCTAATCCCAACCCTAACAACCATAATATATTATCCCGAAGCTATCCGATACCCTTACCACAACCCTAACCCGAGCCCTAGCCCTAAACAATCGAATTCAAAAAAGGAAAAGGAGAAGGAGGAGGAGACGGAGACGGATACGGATACGGGGGCGGAGACGGAGACGGAGACGGAGACGAAGCTATCCGATACCCTTACCACAACCCTAACCCGAGCCGCGCCCTAGCCCTAAACAATCGAATTCAAAAAGAAGACGGAGACGGAGACGGAGACGGAGACGGAGACGGAGACGGAGACGGAGACGGAGACGGAGACGGAGACGGAGACGGAGACGGAGACGGAGACGGAGTATCATATCAAATTGTTGTTATTCTCTAGCCGACGGCTTGCTAGTTAAATAAATCGTACGCGTAATCAGTTTCAATCCCGGCCTCACGGAAAATCTTGAAACACGCGGTATCATAAACGTATTCGTAAACGGATGAAAGGCGACCATGTTACTAGTTCTATATAGATTATAGCTATAAGTATTAGTAGAAGTGTTACTGAGAGATGTGCACTTTGTGTTCATGTGTCGGCAAGAGAATAACCTCATTTGATCTCCTTTTCCTTCTCCTTGTCTCCTTGTTTCATTGTCTCCTTGTCTCCTTGTGTCCTTGTCTCCTTGTGTCCTTGTCTCCTTGTCTCCTTGTGTCCTTGTCTCCTTGTCTCCTTGTCTCCTTGTCTCCTTGTCTCCTTGTGTCCTTGTGTCCTTGTCTCCTTGTCTCCGTGTCTCCTTGTCTCATTGTATCCTTGTGTCCTTGTGTCCTTGTGTCCTTGTCTCCTTGTGTCCTTGTCTCCTTGTGTCCTTGTCTCCTTGTGTCCTTGCCCTTGTCTATTTGTCCTTGTCTCCTTGTCTCATTGTCTCCATGTCTCCTTGTCTCCTTGTCTCCTTGTCTCCTTGGCTCCGTGTCTCCTTGTCTCCTTGTCCTTGTCTCCTTTTCCTTGTCTCCTTGTCCTTGTCTCCTTGTCCTTGTCCTTGTCCTTGTCCTAGTCTCATTGTCCTTGTCTCCTTGTCCTTGTCTCCTTGTCTTTGTCTCCTTGTCTTTGTCTCCTTGTCCTTGTCTCCTTGTCCTTGTCTCCTTGTCCTTGTCTCCTTTTCCTTGTCTCCTTGTCCTTGTCTCCTTGTCCTTGTCTCCTTGTCCTTGGCCTTGTCCTTGGCCTTGTCTCCTTGTCCTTGTCCTTGTCTCCTTGTCTTTGTTCTTGTCCTTCTCCTTGTCTTTCTCCTTGTCCTTCTCCTTCTCCTTCTCCTTCTCCTTCTCCTTCTCCTTCTCCTTATTACCAACATCTTATCATCGTTGTACAATTTTTGTGGTTGCAAACTTTCAGTTCTCTGGCAACAAGGATTAAGATAGATCGCTAAATATTATGTCAATGTGTACAGTGTAACCATATATTTCCATATAACATATAGTGAAACAAATGAAATTAACTCAAGATTAAGAAGCGGTTGTAATTTATCAAAACGCAAATTATTAAAAATCAAAACGCAAATTATCGTCATGACGGCAAAAGATATATCTTTTATTTCCAATTTGCTGCGAAAATATTGGCAGATGTGCAAAAAATCCCAAGCTTCCCTAGAATTCATGTTTTACTAGCCTGTCACGTGACCAAAACGGTTTTTTTGCTTATAACTCTCCAGGGAAGCATTTTTACCCTACGTCATGGGGGGGTGATTCGGAATTAGCGTCCAAAAATACATCGATTCAGATCAATTTCATACCCAAAGGGCCTTTTCACAAGAATTTTCTTAAAATTTGGGCGAGCGATTTAGTATGAGCGCGCCGAGCTATGTCATTTATAATACCTTATAATCGCTTATAGTCCAGTCATTTATGGAAATGAACCTGCAAATTTTCAGATACTCACGAAACTTTGCACAGACCTTCCCAAAGGTATGAATAAACGATTTTCGGTTGGAGACATTTTTTACCATGGGGAAAACCCAGGAGGGCCACGCACATATTGACCCAATAACGTAACCGACCCTTTGCTTCTGAAGGTCGTAGAGACTTCAAAATAGGCTTAAACGAAGCCGCATATGCATGTTTATATAGAAGTTATTGATCAACACATGGCCTAAAATCCTTAATTTTCGAGAAATTCGCCAAAAACCATTTTGGGCGAGGCGCTGAGCCAATTTGCTAACTTTTGATATAATCGTGATAGAGTCTTCGGACAAAGTGAAAAAGAACCGCAATTGGCATATTTACATATGACTTATGAAGAAACATGTGCCTTAAAGTGCTTACTTTTTCAGTTATTGGCGAAAAACTGATTTTCGGTTCCAGAAATCATGCAAAAATATGGGTATCTGGTAAATTGGGCTATGAAGGCCCTAGAGATTTTTGAATGAGTGCAAATTGTGCAGAATGGCCATGTTTATATACAACTTATGAAGCAATATGTACCCTAAAATGCTCACTTTTCGAGTTATTTGGGGGAAAACCAGAGAAAATTTTCACGAAATAGAGCAAAATTGGTTATATCAGCCATTTTTGCCTCCCGTTCTATGTTAATAACTCGAAAAGTGAGCATTTTAGGGTACATATTGCTTCATAAGTTGTATATAAACATGGCCATTCTGCACAATTTGCACCCATTCAAAAATCTCTAGGGCCTTCATAGCCCAATTTACCAGATACCCATATTTTTGCATGATTTCTGGAACCGAAAATCAGTTTCCGCCAATAACTGAAAAAGTAAGCACTTTAAGGCACATGTTTCTTCATAAGTCATATATAAATATGCCAATTGCGGTTCTTTTGCACTCTATCCGAAGACTCTATCACGATCATATCAAAAGTTAGTAAAATGGGCTCAGCGCCACGCCCAAAATGGTTTTTGGCGAATTTCTCGAAAAGTAAGGATTTTAGGCCATGTGTTGATCAATAACTTCTATATAAACATGCATATGCGGCTTCGTTTAAGCCTATTTTGAAGTCTCTACGACTTTCAGAAGCAAAGGGTCAGTTACATTATTGGATCAATATGGGCGTGGCCCTCCTGGGTTTTCCCCATGGTAAAAAATTTCTCCAACCGAAAATCGTTTATTCATACCTTTTGGAAGGTCTGTGCAAAGTTTCGTGAGTATCTGAAAATTTGCAGGTTCATTTCCATAAATGTCCATTAATAACTGGACTATTATTATAATATCGCGTAATTTTGTTGTTAATTGTGTCCTCGTTCCAAATACGTAAAAAATCAAGCGCTCATAATCGTTTATAATCGCTTATATACCCCGCTTACATAATCGCTTATATACCCCAAATAAATCAAATCAAAACATATTTTGATCATAGTTTTAAAATGCGTCAAAAAGCGCTTTTCATCGTTTATAATCGCTTATAAGCGACAATTGAAGACAATAACATTTACGATACTTTATAATCACTTATAATCGCTTATAATATCTCGTACCTGACAATTTTTTCCTCGTTTCAAATACTTAAAAAAGCGCTTATAATCGTTTATAATCGCTTATAGACAGCAAATAAATAAGCGCTTATAAACGCTTTTCAGTAGGAAAATTTCAAGAAAAGCGGTTATAAGCGCTGATCATAGTGAAAATATCGCTTTTTAGCAGATTTCAAAAAATCGCTTATTGTCGCTTATAATCGTTTTATAATCGATTTAAACCGCTTATTAACTTAAAATAAAAAAGCGTTTTTTTAACGATTAGTAGGCGCTTTTTAATTTGGAACTTTCCCTAGTGAATATAATCGCTTATAGTCGATTAAAAGCGTTTTAAAAACGGTCCAAAAAACGGTTTATAAGCGTTTTTTTGAAAAGCGCTTACGGAGCGATAATAATCGACAACCCTAAAATAAAAGCGTTTTTTTATCACTAATAATTTTAATTCGCGATTTATTGTCGCTTTTAAAGCGCTAATAATCGCTTTTGCAAAAATATTTTATGGAAAAAGCGATTATAATCGTTTTTAATCGTTTATTAACGGGACCGTTTATAATCGCTTTATAATCGCCAAATAACAGTGGGTTTTATCAATAAGCGCTTTTTTAGCGTAAAAAAAGCGGTTATTACCGCTGATCACAAAAAATTAGTTATGAAAACTTGCCCTTCTTTGTTCGAGATTGATTGAGGTCAAAATTTCACTTTTTGAAGGGTCCAAATGCGACTTCCGTGGTTCATATCCTTTACATGGTTGTCATGGTTGCATGCCTTTTCACGTTTTTTTGTGGTTTCAAATGGTTAATTCCTTGAACAAACTATCCTAATTTCTGATTAACAGTTTGAGCTAACCGTAATTCTAACCGCCTACTATTAACGCTATTCCAACGACAAAAGCACTAGCCTTTCTGCTAAATTCTATTCATAACTGTAGTCTAACGAAACGTTGTACAGCATTACGAGGAAACAAAAAAGCCAACATACCGTAGTCGGGGCACGGGAATCGTTGAGAATAGAATCCAAAGCGTCCTGGTTATCCGAGTTACTCTTGTTTCTGGGTGACTGTGAGTTCCCCGTCTGACTTCGCCCCCTTGATAAGTTCCGGTTCTTTCCGCCTTCTCCTGGGATATATCTTAGTGTTATTAACTTGTTATTGTCCCTGAAGGGAGACGATGAATTTTGACTCATGGTTACCTAAACGTTGCAATTGAAGTAGCGGAAGGAAACCGCTTCAATTCATCAAGCGAGTCTAGTAACTCAAGGGAAAATTCAGTAGTTGTTATAATTTGTCGTTGTTTTATAACATGGGCTAATGGGGCTTCACATGGCTAAATAAGAAAAAGGCAGACATGCACACTTCGCTTACGCACAGGGCTATGATGCATCATGCTTGTGGTTAAATTACTAGGATAATATACTTTAATATGAAGAGTAACTCCCAGGTATTCTGCCAGTTTTACAAAAATTGTGGCACTTATTTTGGTTGGGGCCGAGGATGAGGCAGTGGTAGATCTCTGGTCCATGAAATAGAGTTAAAGTTGTAATATGAATAATGTAAGGAGGCTCCCCCCCCCCCCCCCCCCCCCCCCCCCCCGTTAGGAGTTAATGCTTTTAAAGTGAGTATGTGAATTTTTGAATTATTATTCTCGGGTAGCGCTATCAACTCAATCTATTCGCATGAGTCAAAATTTCGAGTAGCAGTTAGGATTACAGAGAGTGTAACTTCAATCTCTCTTGAGTAACCAATATTCATTCTTAATAATAATCTCAAGTCAAATAGCCGTTTTAGTAAAAAATGTGTCCCTTCGTCAGCTCAAATAAGAAGGGAGTATCATGTTACATGAGAAATCATATCACATACCTATTACCTACCCGTCCAAGAAAGAACTGGAGGAAATGTTTGTTGGAAGATGCTGCAGCGTTTACAGGAAACACTGACATAGACCTAGAAGGAGCGAGCGAGATGGCTAGTGACCGCAAACTTTGGAGGGAGATGATACGTCACAAACGGGAGTTCATTGGTGCAGGTCACTCGAATGATTGAGGAGACCTAATCAAGTACAAGTAAGTATTACCTACCCAGTGATACAGCACTAAAATCTAAATCCAGTATAATCGGCCCGTGTTAGCTCAGCTACTCAAGGTTAAAAACTACCATCTTCCACCAACTAAATAGTATTACACATTGTATCGTATGACTTCAAATTTTGAACCACGAATAGTCAGTTGTTTATTTGTATGTATATTTTGAACGCTCATAGAAGTTTCAATGGTTAAATGAAGATATGAAGCTGATATTTCTGGTTTGTATCCTGCTACTTCTATTGGTAAGCACTTTTCGCAGTAAGCGAGCTTGTGATAAGCTTGAACTTACCTGTTTAAATTAAGTCTCGAGATCATTTCATTTCAAGATACTTAGTAGATAGCATGCGAAATTGGTATGAGATTTTCTTCAAAATCGCAAATTAGGCACCATTTGCTGGTCTACCGGTAACCAGAACTTATACACGGTAAAGTAGGGTACAGATTCCTCACTCCGTCTTCGTTACGTTACATTTACTGGTTTGATCACTGTATATAAAACCTTCAATCTTCTAGAGATTGGGATGAAATTTAAACTTGTGTTTCTTGTTTTACAACTACTTCTGTTAACGGTAATATACAGAGAACACTATACTATTATTTGTTACCCAACCAGGAGAATATAGACTGCAGTGGAAAAGGGGAGATAAAACTTTACAAGTATAAAGACTCTACAAACTGCGGAGACGTGTGTGACTTTTACTTTAAGAACTTTGTGATCCAGGAAGAAGAAGGTAACGAATTTCTCAACGTAATAGAAACAGATGACACCGGTAACACTGATACTGTCTATTTCTCTAACCTGGAGCAGCTCAAGGATGCTATTCCAGTAAAGATCAACGCTGGTAGGAGTATAAAAATATCATTTGAAGTATGGGATGAAGACACGGGTAATGATGATTATGAAAGAACAATGTCGGGTCTGGTGGTACCATTTTCAGGCATTAGATCAGGTGGACCCTGGTGGTGGAAATCCTTTGTAAGTGACAATAACGCTGAGGGTGACGAAAAACAAGCAACTCTTAAGATAAAATATAAGTTATTGAGCTGCGATAGCCACTTCACTGGATTAGGCTGTAACTCCTGCGTAGCTAACTACTACGGAACAGAGTGTGGTAAATACTGTAAACCTGTGTCAGGTCACTACACGTGTCATCCTACGACAGGAAGCAAGGTTTGTGCAGGAAATAGAGCGGGAATTGAATGCGATGACTGTGTAGACCATTTCGAGGGAAACAATTGTGAGAGATGTGTTCAGAATTACTACCCGGCAGAATCATGTAACATCCTCTGCATCCCAAACCCTGAAAGATACATTTGTACCTATGAAGGGGATAAACAGTGTCTGCAATACAGGACTGGATCTGACTGCGAGGACTGTGTCGCAAACCACTATGGAGAAGATTGTTCCAAGACCTGCCATGAGACGTCTAGCTACACTTGTGATGAATCAGGAGAGAAAGACTGTAAGGAACACTTCTATCCACCACAAATATGTGACACACGCTGTGTACCAGTGACAGGTAACTACACATGTAATAATACTACAGGAGAGAAGATCTGTCTGGAGGGAAAGGAAGGAGAAGGCTGTGATGAGTGTCAAAACAGAAACAAAGTAGGATTTAACTGTGAAAAGTGCATCGACAACTATTTTGGAGAGACTTGCTCAAAATTCTGCCAGGAAACTACTAATAATAGAACTAGCTATACATGTGATGGATCAGGAGATAAAGACTGTAAAGAACATTACTACCCTCAACAGATATGTAACACACACTGTAAACCGGTTACAGGTAACTATACGTGTAACCAGACAACAGGAGAGAGGATCTGTGTGGAGGGCAAGAAGGGACAAGACTGTGATGAGTGCCAGAATATCAACAAAGAAGGAAGAAATTGTGATAAGTGCATCGAAAACCATTTTGGAGAAGATTGCTCTGTGCACTGTAATGAATCACAGGGAAACTACACCTGTGACCAGAATACTGGAGAGAAGAAATGTGAGGCGGACTATTACCCTGCTCAGGAATGCAATATCTACTGTCAAGAAGTACAGGGAAACTACACTTGTGATCCGGACAATGGAGAGAAGGTCTGCAAATTGGGGAAGAATGGATGATGAGTGTGAAAACAGTAAGATAGGACAGAATTGCGACGAATGCAGAAGAAAAGATTATTTCGGAGATTATTGTGGAATATATTGCAAGCCAGATATTGAGCATTACAAGTGCTTAAAAGATGGGAGCAAGGACTGTACTGACAACACAACAAGTATTGCAAACCAATGCAGGAAACCAGAACAAGGAAGTGAAAGTATTGGGAGAAACAGTACTCCTTTGATAGCTGGGGCAGGTGGAGGCGGGCTGTTGCTGCTTCTACTGGTAACTGCCGTTATTATCAAATTACGAAGAGACGGAAAGAAAAAAGAAGATATTATATCTGAAGGAGGAGAAGTCGACCACAGTAACAGGGACCAAGACCAAGAACCAGTCTATGCCAATGTCAACAAGCAACCTGCTTTCCCCACAACAGTAAACGCACAGCCTGTCCACGCCTTAGAAGACACAGAAGGGGTTTATAACCGGATTGATAGAGAAGGTCAGAACAGGAGGCAAAATAGGCAGCCCCAGATTCATCCTGACCAAAACCAAATCCAATCAAATGAGCCTGGACCCTCGACTGATGACAATGAAGGCCTTTATGCGCGCCTGGACAGACCTGGACAAATATCTAAAGAACCCCACAATCTCAGCAATGAGGAAGGAGACACATATGCTGATGTAACGTTCGTTAAGAACAGACACGGAGGAAAATCTAAGGAACAACACAGTGTTAAAATTGAGGAAGAGGGAACGTATGCTGACATAGATTTTGTAAACAACACACGCAATCCTAAAAATGAGGAAGAACCAACATACGCTGACGTGTCCTTTGTAAGGAACAGAAGAGGAGATGATGTGGTGAGCTACAGGAACCCATGTCAGGGTGGAGATGATGGTGTTGGAGAACCGGAACAGGGTGGAGAGGAGGCGACCTACATTACAATCAATCAACTGGTAGAGGATAAACTTTAAGTGAGTTTGGCTGAACGTTTATGAGAGAATGTTTATGCGACTTAAGTTTGGAATGAAGACAATCGTTTTCTGATTATGCAATTTCACATCGCTGTGTAGTTATTTTAATGTTTGAACTTTTCTAGTGAAGACCAAATTTAGCTGTTGAGTACTGAAGACTGACGTAACTTTTGTGAGGAATGAGAGAGGAGATGATGTGGTGACGTTTAGGAATGCAGCTCAAAATAGGAATAATGGTGTTGAAGGTACAGGACAGGATGGAGAGGAGGCGACCTACATTACAGTGAGTCAAGTGATAGAGGAGAGACTATAAGTGGGTCAACTCTGTGAAGATTGGAAGGGCGATTATGGACAATTAATATTAGTGTGAGATGAGTTTTGACTTAGAACTGTTAGGACAGCTTTATGTTTTTCTACTGCTATTGACTTTTCATCTTCTTAATCAACATTTTAGTAAGTAGTTTGTTGAATGTTAAAACCATTGCTGAAGAGCAGTGATAATTTAAAGACGTAATAATTTGATTAATTGCAGTTTTTTTTTGCTAATTTTGATTATAAGAACTATTTGGAAGATGCGCAGTTTTTATTTTATTAGAACCGCGATTTCTTTTACTATTTGAAACATTTCATGCGATTATTGATTATTACCAATTGTGACGTCGACTAAAAGGTAAGTCGTGTTTTGGTAGGACGAATTCCAATTGATCCCCAAATTGAGCTGCATGTTGTTATGGTGTAGTGTTCTACTTGAATTTTTGTGTTATTATTATTTCATAATCACTTTCATGCACTTTTAGAAATTTCAATACACTTGTTTGCTTTTCGTTCCAAAAGAGTAGAACATGATTTAAAAATGTAATTAAAAATTTCTCTGAACCAAAATTGACAAATATAGAGGGTCACATCAGAATCAATGCCACTTTTCTAGGACAATTCCGAGAAAAAAAATCGCGTCACATTTCCGTAAAATTTCTGGAAAGTGATCATAGGAAATCTGTTCATCAGCTTAGTGAGTAAGTAAAGAGAAAAGCACAAGTAAATGCACCGTAACAAGGCGTGATTAAAAGTTACACCATAATTGATTGATATTGGTAAGAAATAGTAATTAGTAGCATTAGTTTGTCTGATAAGTTTGTAGATACACCCATAATTATAACCCAAAGAACCAAATCGAATCGATGAAATAATTATTAATGAAATTATGGTAAGTCTCACCTTTTGATGATTGAACCATGAATAAGCTAGACAATATTCACATAATAACGTTTCCGATAAAACCATAAAAATTTCCCTTCAAATTATGGTTCGGATCCGTGGAGATAAACTGCAAACCGGGCGAATCACAGTTATTACACTCACTTAACAACTAGACTTGCTGATTGATTACCACGAGACGGTTCAAATTGGCACAATTGTTTACCAATTCACAAGTGCAAAATCAGAAAATATAATCACATGTACAGGATCAGTCATGGTGATTTAATTGCATTCTATTTGTACACACACACACACACACACACACGAAGAAATACAGTCCACTGTATTTTATATACAACCTAAGGGATCTGCTGACGATCTGTCGCGATTCTGTTCGGGCCTTTTAGGTCGCTTTTCTGGCGCAGACTTGCCGCCTACAATTCGGTCAGAGGTAAATAAAATTCCGGGATAAATTATGGTTTAATATTTGGAATGTGCTCTGAGGCTGACTCGAGAGTGGAATTTAAAAGATTTTCAATTGATTGGAGTGTAACTGAGCACGACAACTTACGATTTTGGCGCGGTTTTTGGCGTCTGTTGTCGCGGTTGTAGGCTTGCCCAGTTTTAAGGGCGTCCATGAGATCATCCAACACGCCTTCCCCTTCGCCTTGCTGGTCGATAATGAAATCTTTCCTGGGGTAATAAAGTAGGGTGTTATATCTCAAACTAAATGGTAAATATCAGTGTATCAGTATTTCAATTGTGCGATACATATGTTCAGTATTCATACAGTTTATTTTTAATGAGTTCTCAAAGTTCAACTCGATTTATGGCTGGTTGATGGCTTAATCTTTGTCGTTGGTGGGACAAAACGCAGTACTAACCTTTCTTTTTCTTTCTGTTCCTTCCTCCTTTTCTCTTTCTCCTTTAGCTCCTTTTGTTTCTCTTCTCGTTTCTTAGCCTCCTTCATTTTGGCGGTTTCTACTCGAGCCGTCTGGAAAGGGTTGCGATATTTGAATGTGTTTAAAAGAGAATGAACTATCGAGCGACCTTAATTTAAACTGTCATCTCAATAATAACAAACATACTTTCTCCTTCTCAGCAGAAGACATGAGAATTGTAAAAACATGAACTGTAATTTACCTCGAAGTCGTTGCAGAAAGTCACGATGTCGCTGAAGAACTCCTCTGCGTTTGTCTTTTTAGGGTCCTCACCGTAGAATCCGATGATTTCGGCCGTACACTTGCCCATGTTGGTGTACGTGGCTTCAAGTTTCTCGTACTCATCGTTGGCGTACTCCAGGAAGGCGTTCATTTCCGTACCAAATCGATCGTCGATGCTGTGAAAGTTTGGAGGTTAAGCGGTAAAGTTGACGGTTTTGGATTTAGGTAATCTCATAAATCCGCTACGTAAAGTGTAATGGTTCAAGATTCTATACATAATGTTTGATTCTCAATATCAAAAAAGGAATTAAATGCTATACTAATAAGAATAGAATTAAAATTCAGAAGAAGAAAACAAAATCGATACACAAAAAGTTTTAAATTTGGCTTTCAGAATTCAAAATGAACGCCATACTCATTATCCGTTTCGTCAGAGCCATTCAAATGATTTCTGATTTGGTTAACTGTGAGTACATAGTATTCTTATCGGGGAAATAGTGTTGTCCTTCAGGAACTTAAATAATTTTCAAATTATATTAGTAGGTGTTTATGCCCATCACTACAAACCTTTCAGGGTTTTTATGGAATTCAAGTTCCTTCTTTAAATTGTTCAGGGACTTCTTCATTCCTCGGAGCTGCTTGGACAGTTGATCGTCGCTCACACGCCTTGCTTTCTCCAGATTTCTCAAATCGTCCTGAGAAGAACCATAGGTAAACTTTCAATTTGGTATAAAACAATATCCATAACCAGACCGGACAATGTTTCTTTGCACGAGCTGTCCACTGTCCAGGCTTAAAATATTCCATTAAACTCTTCCCAGGAAATTTACGATGGAGAATGGCTTCAAACCCACAACCCTTACGAATAGCGATGACTAAAACTTACGTGTCCGTCTTGTTTTCTAAAATGTTCTAAAATTTCTTTTTCCAAAACTAGAAGGTAGGGACTTTTGAATCAATAACTGTATGAGGTAATGAGAAATTAACCTTTATTACTAAGAAAACCAGATAATCTCCGAAGTAAGACGGATCTTTCATTTGGCAAACGTCCATATCCGTTTTAGACTCCGAGAAGCGAGCGAGAACCTTTTCTTGTTCGATTGAATTATAAGGCTCCCCTTTTCTAATTGAAAACCATCGATAAGGTACAATTATATTAGCAAATTCACCTACTGTAGCCAAACTCTAAATTTCCGATAAATTGGTTTTACTGATTAAGATTAGTACTCGTGTTATAACTTATAATTACATTACTGTCGATCAGTTTTAAGGCCCTTCAGCCAGTGGAACCGTTTCACAATTGAACGAGACATTTTCTAGTTCGCTGCTACTCCTGAAGATCTACGGTTTCAAGCTCTTTATACGGTAAGACAAACAAAGTACTATATCTTTAACATGCACTATTTTAAATTTGTACTCTGAAAACTTTCAGCTCATAAAATCTGATAGCTATCAGCGTTCACAAGTTGTCCCGATAATTTACCACTAAACCTATTTCAGGAATTGAAGATGAAGCTCCTACCCCTACTTCTACTGCTTACTACAGTATCTGCTGGAAATAAGCCAATTTGGCCCACTGACTTTAGGTGGAGTTCTGCGGGAGGTTTGGTCGGATACGAATGCATCATAATCCTGGAAACAGCAGATCCGCACACCTGGAACGACAACTATCTGTGCTGGAAGAGTGGAAAGGATAGCCCAGGACTGCGATGGCGGAGTTGGGGTCCCATCTCCGGGATGAGGTGCACCCATATCCACGAGGCTGCAGATCCTCACACCTGGATGGATAACTACCTGTGTGAACCTTACAACTCCCCCTACAAGTTTACCTGGTCATCTGCTGGTGCTTTACCTGGTAAGAGCTGTATCCAGTGGCTGGAGACTGCTGATCCTCATACTTGGGCTGATAACTTCCTCTGCGCCGACTCACAGATCTCGCAAAGTGAAGCTCGCTTCCCTGAAGACTTCTGGTTCAACTCAGCTAGAGTCCCAAACGGCTACAACTGCATCCAGATCCACGAATCTGCTGACCCGCACACCTGGAACGACAACTTCTTCTGCTGGAGACAGACCGTCAAGGATCCCGGTCTGAGATGGCGGAGTTGGGGTCCTATCCCCGGGATGAGGTGCACCCAAATCCACGAATCTGCAGACCCCCACACCTGGATGGATAACTACCTGTGTGTCCCGCACAGCTCTAAACTTCGCTTCCACTGGAGCTCAGCAGGTGGTATTAGAGGGAGGAGGTGTTTACAGTGGCTGGAGACTGCTGATCCCCATACATGGTCCGACAACTTCCTCTGTGTTTAGGGTTATTGGACAGTCTCCATATGGCCTCCGTATCCATATTTTTACAAACGTTTATATACGAGACCGTTTGGAGGCAGAGTTTTATTGAAGACATAATTTAGACATAATTTATTTCAGAATTTAAAATAAATTTTTGACTTTTTTACAGAAAACCATTTAAAAGGGTTTGTTATTTTTAATTGGGTTTGTAATCTTTAATTTGTTCATCAATCAATATTAGTTCCAATTTTCGAGTTTCTTTTGTATGTTCAAGTGAATTCCTGCGCGAATTCGTTTCAGGGTTTCATAATCGTAAATTTTACCAAAAATTTGAAAAATCATGATCAATTAACGCAATATCTCTTACTCTGAAGTTCACCCATTGTGGATATCGAGTCTCCAGAAGATTAGCCAGGAAATGTAACATGTTCGATCTGTTGTCGTGGGCTTTCGTGTTTTGCAACTGGGGGAGTTATATCGTTACCAATTATTAAATACAAGAAAATATTGAAAAACGCCAAATTTACCACAAATCTAAATCACATATATATTATACATAGTGAAATAATCTAAATTTGGAATTAAAATGTCATGGTTTTGTAGGTCTCCGGAAAAAGTCCAAAAGGAAAAAGCTTAAGTTAACGGTATCTTAACTGGGTCTCTCGTATAAATAGATATTTATACTCGGAGTGGAGTATGAAGTTATGAACGTGAGTGGAGTATGAGAGATCCGCGATTTTTCCACGAAGATGAAAAGTGGAATGGCCCGGATCTCGATACTGATAAATTCACTCCAAGGGGAAGTTAATATTCTCGTCTTACCTTGGTTAGGAAGTTGAGCTTAAAACCATACGACTCGGCGTTCCTTGATCCACTGTTCATGTAGTTACCGATAAGGAGAATCAACTGAAACATAATTATTAGAGCTTTCAGTATTAAAGTGGCAAAAAGTGGTATTAAAGTGGTAATTAAGTTGCAATTAAGTGGTAATGAAGTGGTAAATATAACTTTATAAATCTCAATACACGAAATGTATGATTCATTTACACGTCTTGTTTAAACCTAAATAAACAACTCTTTGTACTGAATTTATCCGCTCTCCAAATTAAATGTGCAGCTTGGATGAATGGACTGACTTTGATTTCAAGTGAGATTTATGATTTGGAAATTTTGAAGTAGTCATTGAATTAAAACGGTTATAATGAAAAGTTAATCAAATAAAAATCATGCAAAGACAAATGGCCTGGTCGATAGAAATTTGACCATAATTTTATATTTGGTGAGTTATAATAATGTTACTCTATAAAAGTAAATAATTTATTAAAGTAAGATCAAATCAATTATGATTCAAGATAAAACAAAAATTCTGAACAGTTGACTGTTCAATAAAGCCAACTGCTAAGGTAACTTAAAATATTTGCTAACTGTAACAATCAAGATAATTTATCGGTTAGAAATTAAAAACTAAAAAGATTTAATAAAATGTAAAGTTCCCATTTAAAAAATTCATTTACAAATATGATATTACAATCTAACAGTAACCATGCATAGCTTATGTTGTCTCATAATGCGTTCGACGCATGCATTATAAAGTAAACAAAAAATAAAACCAATTAAAAAGTAAAAATTACTAAGATTTTAAAACATTTTTCGCATAAGCTCTGATGAAGTCCGCTTTTTAAAAGGAATTCATAAAACAGATCCCAGAAAATTATTGAAAATAAAAACAAATCATTTGTCTTAGTGCCCAAAAAAGCAGTTAAAATACCCATTTTCATGATCTAAACATTGATGTTCCGCGATGATCTCTTCAATCAGAGTTTTTCTAGGATTCATCAGGGAATTCGTATCACAACTAGCTAGACGAGACGCGGTTGAAGAATAGAGTAAACATTGCTCCCGTACAACCACGGACGACACATTACCGCGGACAACCAGTTCATTACTGTCTGAGCAATTTTTAGCACCCAGCGTGGTTTTGATTCTTGTTAATCCATTTGCTAGCGGCTGCACAAAGATAACTGCGACTCTTGAGTCCGAATCAAGTTTGAAATGCAAACGGAAACTTTGAAGTGGAAATTCTTCCATGTTTTCACCAGATTCTAACCAAACAACAACGACTTCACAAGAACTGTTGTCGACTTTAGAGTAATCCCAACGCATGTTTTCTATCAAACGTTCTTGGGGCATGATCCTTGGAGAATCACTTAGGTTTGCGGAATTTTCCAGAAGTTTTGTAGTCGGAAGTAAACTTGGGATAATGAATATCGCCTCATTCAGACTGTTTGAATAGTAAGGGAATGTGACAGGGAAGAAGTTGGCATTATTGCAAGTTTTCAGACCTGTCCAGCCCTTAAATCTGAGAATGTCCACGATCTCACTACCGAGCGACGAGGCGAAGTCACCAAATCTTCTGTTCCGTGAAATTACATTTGTGTTACTTAGAATGTCAGTCAAAGTTTTCTGTCTTGTTCTTGCGTAGAGAACAATTACCGTCTGCATGTTCTTGTAAGATATTTTATCTAATGTTTCTAAACTTGTTTGCAACTTTGGACTGTTTTTCAGCAAAACTGTGGCCTGCTTACCGCATTCGTTTGATTCAAACATTTTCGGAGATAAGAGACCAGCGTGGCTTAGAAACATTCTTGGACTGTCAAGATTTAGTGCACAATTGGGCATTTTAAGATCTTCCGGTGAAGGGACTTCAGGTAGATCCTCATTTCTCAGCTCCTGATTTGTGATGAAATCTGACAACTTCTGTTCCGACAACAATTCCTCCGCAAGACTGTTGCCGGAATGAAGTGATTTCTGTAAAAATTTAACATGGTCGTTTTCTACCATTGCCTCTTCCAATGCCTCGTCAAGCTCACCCTCCTCGGCTGGGACACCTACAGGACGTGAAGGTTTCTCCTTTTTTGGTGGCGGAGGCTCAGTAAGAGGGTCACTCTCATATCTCAACCAGTGTGCTGACAATCTGGTGTGAGGACCACGATCTATAAGATACACGGTAGGATTAACATTATCCCCGGGAGTATTCATAAAACAGAGAATATTCTGTCCCTCAACAGCCAGGTATCTCATGTTAGGTTCTAGATTAGGATGTTTACTTTTCCATTGTTTGATGAGATCTCGCTCGCTCAGCTCTGTTCGCTTAGCACTGTTCAGAGAACCCTGAACGAGCTGTTTTAAAAGATACTGACCCTTTGCCCAGACTATATTTAAGAAGTTTTTGGTTTGATCCGGCATGAGTGAAGCGTTCATATGCTCCAGAACTTGGATACATCTTTTGAGACAGTTCCTGTCGGTCAGGATATCTTTGTACCCTACACACCATGCGGTTAAAAACTCGCAAGTTGAAATGAGTCTGCTAGAAAACTTATCGCCTTTACCATCGTTGTGCATTAGCTGATCTATCTGCCACTCAAAATGATCGCACAGTGCATTTATCACTCTCTGAAAGTCATCTACGGTCTCTTTGGAATATGGTAGTATGTTTGGTAGGTTTAGCATGATACTGAACAGGGGACTGGGGTAATCAGTTATTTCATCGAAATATCCTCTAAAAAGGACGCAAACTGTGCCCACTAACAATGTCCATTGATCTTGGATGTGATCTTCGGGAAACTCTAACGGATTTGATTTTAGATCAAGGAGCATGATGTATAAATGTTGGAAATTCTCTGAAACCACATGCTGCAAATAATTCAAACTGTTTATTTTTTCTTGCACAAAGTTCAACTTCTCCGTCCAAGTAATGTGGCAGTAGGTTATGCCGGCCCTCATATCCGTGCTTTGACACCGCATTTATCACTAAATGTGGAATGGGGCTATTTCGAGGAACATGCAACCTAAATTAATTTCAGTGGTTAGTAACTAAACCGATAATGTGAAACTTAAATATGGGATTTTACGGAATGCTAAAGTTCTGTACATACCTCGAGACATTTTCCGAATTTCTCGGAGGTTTTCAGTTCCTCGCATGCAGCTATCACATACGTTAAATCCTGAAGATAGCAGTAATGTGAATTTAACGATTAAATGGTTGACTACTGACTATGTAACCACGGAATCTTTGCAAGGTGGTCGACTAATTCCTTGCTAGCAAGCAGAGCGGGAGGAACGGTTCAAACCTCAAAAATAAATTACAATTCATTAACCACGTAATGGAACAACAATATACAGCAATCCATTATGCAGATGAGAATATCACAACAAAAGATTTGAATCAAGAAGTGATGCATATGATAAGTATCAAACATGATTATTGACCTATTTCAACTTACTGGCTTGATTTCTTTGGCTTCCTCAAAGAACTTTTTCTTGAACACCATTGCTTGTAACCGTGGTTCAATTCGTGGGATATTACTCAACTGGAATAAGTGTAATGTTATTGTTTGTTAGTAAGTAATAGTACCTTGCTATGACTCTGTGTAATTTACTACTACAGTTATATAGACAGTTTACTGGTGATAACTGCAATGTCATTATAGTCGACAGCATCAAAATCTAAATGGAAATTCCTCACGAACTTTGTGGAACTTTATCATAGAGTTCTTATATTTTGATATTCCTGTATTCGGCGTACAATATTGGCACGCCATAGCTCTTATGACCTGTCTTGCCAATAAGTAGAGACACTACCCGGGATAAAGGCTTCATGCTCGATAACAATATGCCAAATGTTTGTACCTATCACGGAATATTTGATAAAATTTACCACACTTACAGGTCTATGCTATGAATACTTTATGCTGATAGGGATGCGGATTATGCTATAAATATCGACAGAGGGGCGAAAACTGTCGTTAAAATAGTTCACTGGTGCTAAAGCCCGCACATTCGAATATTTTACCCTCATGTGTATTGCTTTCCCACCAGTACCAACAGTCCTGTAATCAGGAATTGGCGCAGTAGTTGTATATCTTATCAATAAAAACAAACCATGAAAGCAAACTGCTCAGCGGTACAGAGCTCCTCATATTCATCCTTTAGAAGCCGGAGGGACGCCATGTCCTCTCCAGAAGGCAAGAATCGTAGCAAGGACTCCATCACAGAAGGACCTGTGGGATAAACCAGTGTTATGAGTGGTAGAACGGGGAGACACCCGACCACATATTGTTCAATATAATGGGTTGGGGAATCTGGGGGAGCGGTCATTTTCAATCATGAAGAACATACAAATTTTACCGTTGTTGGATATAATTGTGTGAGTCGGGTATCTCTCTGATCATATTTGGTGGTGACCTCGGCCCGGTAATCGGCCGACTGGTCAAGATGTGACAACATGTGACAACAGGCCTCACTTAACGAGATCGAGCATCACAAAACAGAGCTTGCCAACTGTAAGAGATTCTGGGTGTGTGTGTGTAATTGTTCATGTCATTCCACTTTCTGCTCCTTTTCGATTTAAGACAAGTAGTGGAATCAGAATTTGTTTGCAAGCGTCCTTGTTTTTCATGCGTTAAGCTTTGGGGTTCACCCTTTGAAAAGGACATGTTGGTAATTCTTAGGATTGTCCTATGTAAAGGACCTCTCCTTTAAAATCTAATTTGTCCTTTTGAAAGGAGGCCCCTCGAAGAAGTTGACATGCAAGGTTTTGTAATGGAAATAAGGTCTGAAAATAGGCTACGATACAAATATACTAGGCTAAACTGCACTCCCACATAAACCTCGGGAACCTGAAAGTTTCATCAATAGGTACTAAAGGTAGGTACAATAGATACTACAAAAACAGGGAGTTTCATCAATAGGTACTAAAGGTAGGTACAATAGATACTACAAAAACAGGGAGGGATAACTTTGGCTGAACAGAAAAATATAGGATTGTAGTCTAACCACAATCGAAACCTGCCGGACACGTGGGTCTCTGACCCGCACAGCTATATCCTTCGGTAGTGTTTTTAATTAGAATCCTTTACTATGTATGTGATCACTGATCATATTGGTGCCATCTCTTAGACCTCCTGCTTTATTTGGTTGGCCGAGCGACATAGTGGAAATAGTGGCATAAGACTTACGATTGAAAGTCATCAAAAACTATTTTCTAAATCAAAGACTGTGAAATTTGGATTATAATTATTATTTACTTACACACGATTAATCGTATTAACCTCGGGGTAACAAAAGTTTATAGAAAAACACTTTAAATAAATTCGCATCGTCCGCCTCCGAAAGCATTAAATCTTTAAAAGTTAACTAAATCAATAAAAGCAAATTCACGATGCGAAAATTTGGTAATTTAAACTTACTGAGCGAGCTGTCATCACATTTTAAGATAAGTATCCTGAGTTCATCAAAGGTAAGGCCCTTCAAGGAGGAATTCAAAAGAATACCAAAGTTTTGTGAAGCCTTAGGATCAATCACCTTCAACTCCTTTACCTTCTTCTTCGCAACGTTCAATGCTGGACCAGTTTCTGAAGAGGGATTAATACTTTAATAACCTGTAAACGTGCTCTTCTTTTCAAGTTGTCGAATGCAACCTGAAAATGAAGATATTTTCTCTGCTCTGACATTGAGGAAGCACAATAAAATTAAATGGATCCCTACAATTAAAATTAAATGATATTTTGGAAGCAGGACTTGGAAGCAGGAGGAAATGAAACTCAAAGACTGACAAATTAAGCAAATGAGCTTTGAATTCAGCTCAGAAATATAGGGTTCAATGATTAAGAAGATTATTTCAATGATTCTCGCCACGAATCACATGTCAAAGTAAGATTAAGGGGAAGTCATTTGAAGCACAGGCCATACTGATGACTGCTTGCTCCGTCCTTACCCAAAATGTGATTCGCAACATGTTTCTAAAGCTTTTATAAGGCTGAGCAATATATATAATATGGACACTGAAACAGCAGATTTGAAGCTTTTTAAGCTGATTCAATGATATAGTAGTAAAGGTGCATCTTTGTAGAATTCGGCGTTTTAACGTGAATATTGATTTTTAATACATGTACATTTATAATTCATTTCAATCAATTTCATTTCAATTAATTTCATTTCCTTACAATTCAATTGATTTCATTTGGATTCATTTCATTTGGATTCATTTGGATTCATTTGGATTCATTTCATTTCATTTCATTTCATTTCATTTCATTTCATTTCATTTCATTTCATTTCATTATCCAAGAAGCCCGTCAACTAAGGGTAGACATTATGGTTGACAGGGTTAGGGGTTAGGTTAGAAAAAGGGTTAAGGTTATACCAAGACCAAACTCCTGACTAAACTATGACCATTATTCAAAGTTGTCTACCATAATGTTTACCCTTGGTGGTCTAGCTTCTAGGATATTGTCCATTTCATGCCATTACATTTCATTTCATGCCATTTCATTTCATACATAATTAAGTGTCTCGTGACCTCGTTCACATATAACGTAACCCTAGGGGAGGGGGAAATTGACTGATATTTCTAAAATGTAGTAACAGTTACTAAGTAACTATGTTAGTTACTAAGTAACTATGTGTGGAGAGGGTTATAAATACACGGAAATCTGGCTTACGTAATATGTGAACGATCCCTTATTTCATTTGAATGAGAAGCTGGTAAGAGTTGCAAGTTAGAAACAACAGCAGACCCCCACCAAGAAAACATGGTCAATGATTTGTTTCAACAGATTTCAACACGCTCGGGTTGTTGCAACACTCATATCAACATCACATTTCACTGACAAGCAGCAAATGTATATATAGGTGTGTTAAATGAGGCAAGTTTGCTAGTAAGATTTTAAGAGGCACGAATTAACTCAACTGTCCGGAGTATTTGCAGTTACCTTGGGGTCCTGGGGTGTGTTGGTTTAGACGATCTCAGAAGTGGGTTATAGTGGGATTATAGTGGGTCTATAAATGTGGATACTGGCGGGGAGGCGAGCCATATTTACACTGACAGTGGACAGTGATTGACACTTATCAGCTTCCAGTATTGACCGATGAAAATCAAGATTCTGTCACGTTTCAAGAAATATGGTTCGCCTCCCAACCAATATCCACATCTATAATTCACTAATTGACTATTTCTTTAAATTTCGGATGACTAAAAACAATCAAAATATGTGCTGCGTTTAACATGGCGATATTTCAGAACTGTGTTTAATATCGGATCGTCTTCAGTACCTTTAGCAGTTTTAGCAGCGAACTCTTGCGCCAAACTGTCGAGCAAATCTTGGCTCTCCATTTCCATTTCCTTGGTTTTTGCCCAAAATGTGGTTTTCTGAATGTTTTTGACGGGGATCGATTGCCAATTAAGCTTCTTCGTTGAGACCTGATAATTTGTTAGTTATCCCGCAAAGAAATCTAATAATAACCAACAAAAAATAGCTATCTGATCTGTGCCCCCCGGCCCCCCTGGCCCTCCCCTGATATTCAGTGCAGTGTAAACTGCATAGTGCTGGTAACTATGGTTACTCACGCCAGTGTAAGTTTTCTTCTTTATAACACCGTCCGGAAGTTGAGGACCTCGCCTTGCCGGCGCTGAAAGAATGCAAACAATGTAAACAATGTAAACAGTATACACTGTGTATATTGTATATCATGGAATGTGCCTAGTTGCTGTCAATCTTAATATGACATAAAATATTACAGTTATTTTCTACTCAATCCAACGATATGGGGGCCGTGGAATGCAGCTGTAATGTAGTCTAAAACACATTGGAGTGCAGGTTTAAGAAGTACAAAAAATATCTAATTGAGTAATCCGAAGAATTTTAATTGAAATCAACAAACCACGGCCAGCAGGTGCACGAGGAGCACCAGGAGCGGGAGGAGCACCAGGGGCTCGAGGAGCACCAGGGGCTCGCGGAGCGCCTGGTGCGGGAGGAGCTCCAGGTGCTCGGGGTGCTGGAGGAGCGCCGGGTGCTCGAGGAGCAGGTGGCGCTCCGGGCGGTCTAGGTGCTGGAGGGGCTCCAGGTGCTGGTGGCGCTGGTGGTGCACCAGGTGCTGGAGGTGCTCTGGGTGCTGGAGGTGCGCCTGGCACTGGAGGAGCTGGAGGTGCGGGTGGTGCGCCGGGTGCGGGGGGAGCACCTGAGGAGAACAATAATGTTACATTTCTATCATATTATTATGTCGTAGGCTACTTAAAATAAGTGAATACATAAAAAATAGTGCAAGGGATTGATAAATGGTTGAGTGTTTTAACTTACGGGGTGCAGGCGGAGCTGGAGGTGCTCCGGGAACTGGTGGGGCAGGAGGCGCCTTTGGGGCACCTGCAAAACAAATTACAGTAAGTTTCATCAAATTTAATGATTGTAATATATAATGTCATCCTTGAAAAAATTCTTACCGGTATTGGGGGCGGTTACCGTGATTTACCAGTCTCTAAAAAACGTCATTTTGAATTAACGTTAACTGAAGGACCAATAAAAATACCTGGGGCTGCCGGTGCACCGGGGGCTCGTGGGGCTGCTGCTGCCTCGGCAACAGCTCTGTCTTTCTGAAAGGTAAAAGTTCATAACTCATGATTCTAGTGATTTGGAATTGCCGTATCTTGCTGAGAACCGTGTTGTGAAAGATCGTAAAACGTCGATTAAAGTGTGAAAATACTAAAAGTGTGAAAATACTAACCTCTTCCATGAGACGTTTCTTCTCCTCTTCGAATTTGGAGATCTTAGCTTGATAATCGACGAATGCTTTGGAGTGCTTTGCTTCTGATTCTTCTAATTCCCGTTGTCTGATAGCTAATGACTCTTCTAGGTCAAGATTTTTCTTTTCGAGGTCTTTCAACCTTTGTTCGTCGATTAGTTGATCTAGAATGTAAAGGTTTTTAGGATTTTCTTTTAAAAATCGCAAATCAAGTTGTTGGGGACAATGAAGAGGAATGGTGCAGAATAACTCAAAGCAGGACAATGCAGGTATTGATCAGTTCAGTCCACTATAAAATTGGTGAGTAAATTATGCTCTTGAAGTACATTAAAGAAACTTGTTTTTGCTCTAGAAAATAATATTTTACCTATAAGTCGTTCGACATCAACCTCCTCTAAATGCCTGCATTTAAAATCCGGATCGACTCCACCTTTCTGTAAAACTATTTGACTGACAACATCTTCTATCAGTCGGAAATACTGAGGTCTGAAACAACGATATGTAATGAATCTAAAGCGCAAACTCGAAAAATTCATTGACATTAATTTAGATTTGTTTTTTATAATCAGACTGATTTACTAGAAGAAATTCACAGTAAATAAAATGTCTTACTTCGCTTCGGGGTCGTCTCGTATTAAAAGGAAATGTTGAAGTATCGATAATAAAGTGTGTTCCACTTCGGTGTTTTTCGATTGGTTCATCACGATGTGGAACACTTCGAGGGGATCTTCAAACTCCGCCTGTATGTCTCCCAACTTTTGCTGAGGAATTTTTTTATAAAGCTTGTGCTTGATAAAGTCATAGTTAGTTATATTGTTCGGATCTATGAAGATCTAAGTCGAGCTTAACAACCTTAAGCTAGTAACAATTGTAATTCAGAAAGCTACTTTGGTTGAGTAGATTAATTCATTAAATAAAAACAAAATGACATTTTAATAGTTAGTAAATAATTACAGTGAGCTCGTTGAAGTCGTCATCTCTGTTATTTTCAAGTACACTGATTTGTAACGTTAACTCATCATCAGACACACTTCTGTTTAAATTCTGCAGATCTAAAGAGGAGAAAAAGTGAGAAACAGAATGTACCAGGGTAAGAAAGAATCAAACTTCTCAGATTTATTAATGAAAACTGGATTGTTGATACATCGGATGAAATCCAATTTAAATAATAACGCGTCCAGTTTGGTTTACCTGGTAGGACTTCTCTCAAGCCACAGTTCATGAACTCATTCCGCAAGTGCATCCTGAAGTCCACCTCGTTGGGGAATGTCGTCAGAGCATTGACAAACTGAAACAGGAGTATTAGCGAGACGTTTTAAAAGTAATTGACACTTTAAATTAAGAAAGTTCGGTCAATCTATATTATAACTATTGAACACACTCTGTAAAACTCGTACCGTAATAATTGCGTTGGTTAATTGGGGAGGTTCGTCTTTTCCTTTTAATTTGTCCATTAGAACCTGGAACCTAGGCTGCTGGATCAGTTCCCCGAAACTGGTCAACGCTTCTAAAACCGTCTGATGCCTGGAGGGGTTTAACAGTTAACAGTGTTTATAAAATACTTTCCTTAGGAAACAGTTTGACCATAAAAGCAAGAAAAATCAATTGCTTTTTTGACGGAGTATTTAAAAATGAAAGTGAACTCACGCTTTCTCATTGACGATACTCATAGCGGCGAGGATTTTGACGACCTCGGTCATCATCGTGGTATTTCGTGGGTCGAGGCACTTTGTGAGGAGCACCATACCACTGGTATTATCCATCATAGCCATCAACCCGTACTGAGGAGAACAACGGATTTTTAATAAAGTTCAGCCCTACACTAATAGCATACGTTTGTTTAATTCGCTCTCTTTATCTGCTTTCTTATCTCGCCTTGTTAAACGGCGAGATTTTGTGCCTCTCACCTTGTAGCTTAGCCTTACATCATGGCAGCTGTGGACGACACGGAGATTGACAGTAAAATGTTTAAAGCTGAGGATTGGATTGCAAAAATTATGAATCAGTTCGGTTGTGAAGCACCAGTTGACATGACTTCTGTACAGTGCAAACATTTTTTGCTTAAAAGGTCATTAAGTTTAACGGATAAGGAAAAGTTTGCAGCGTTTCTGTCAGAATCGTTTCATTTGGTTCGCTTTCAAAATAACAAGTTAAAGAAGATGAAAAACGTAGCCATCAATCCGTACTGAGGAGAACAACGGATTTGTAATAAAGATCATACCAGTGCAATATATTTCAAGAATCAAGATACGTACTAGATACGTACAATAGTGGTGTTTGTGTAATGTGTATTGGGTGTGGATCCTTCAAGAATTTGGAATCATCAAATTTCTTACTTTGTTGTTCATGAAGACTTTGAGGCATTTTACACATTCGTGGGTAACGTCACCAAATTCTCTGTCTTGACTGAAGATGAAGTATTGTTAATATAACAAAGTAGCCGTGTCACCACTATGTGAAAACAGAGTCAAAATGCTGTTCAATTAGTGGGAAATTCTAAAAAAATAGAACATATTATAGTTCTGTTATTTTCCCTTATTTACAAATGAGAGTTGAAGAGAAATTTAATTCTAGACAATTCTTGTTGCAACCTATTATGTTTGTTCAGTTGGGTTTACTTATCACTTTCCATCGACACCCTGGAATCTGTCTTGGTGATTAGCACGACCCTAGGACCTAGGGCCTAGGTTAGTGACCTAAGAACTAACGTTGGAGTGTTCTAAATTCTTAATTCTCGAAAACCCTCCTCACCTCTTCTGGAGTAAGTTAAGGAGCAGTCCCAGACCTCCTTCAGCACCGAAAGATTTGAGCCAAGGTATGGTGTTGCTCTGCAGACTCACTCTCAATGCTTCTAAAGTCTTCAAACTTGAATCACCTTCTAGCACCTGATGAAATGATAAGTTTTGTTGCAACATGTATAGAAATTTGTGTAGAAAAGCTCTAATTAACGAACAATTATCTCCGAGCCACAAGAAGCATACGTCAATCAATTATATCAATTACAAGATAAGTTAGCACACCTCTTTACGAAGCTCTTGGATGAAAAACTCTGGTGTGCCCCTTTTGGGACCATCTGGAAGCTGTAGGGAAAAAGTATGAGACTCTTACAAGGGAAAAAATTTGAATAAAACCAATGATAAATGAACAATATTGCATTTCAAAAGTTGATAAACCATAAAATCAAAAGATATTATAATCAAATAATTTTACTTACATCGCTATCAGGGACGTTTTTAGCTTCTTCAATCCGCCGAAAGTGAGTAGCTAACATCTGCTTCAGCATGAACTCGTCCAACCTCCTGATAGGAACCCTCTTGCCCTCCCCTAGATTCATGTCGTCCATCATGCGCTCCAACTCGACTTTTAACTCGTCAGGGTTCATGTTTTGCACCCTCTCATCAAGTGCCCCATCTGACCCGGCTGTAATAAAATCTCTGGTTATTCGGGGCTCTTTCGTTTGTTAACTTTGTTTAGCAGCTTGCTATATTGCCAAACTTTACTTTTGGCATCATTCCAATTGTTTTCAATATAAAATAACGGTTAAGAACTTGCATGCATGACAAGGAATTGGAATGTTATGTATAAAATAGAGTTGTTGTCATACCAGTAGCAGCAGGTTGCGGGGCACCAGTGGGTGCCCCGATCGAGATGCCACCCCCTTTCTTTTTACTTGACTTGTCTTTTACCATGACACCACCATCTTAAAACCTCCGACTAATCCCTTGTCACTACATGCTACACAAAAATGTCAATTACCTTAAAACATGTACATCGATTACGTAATGCAATATAGAATATGTATAATTTGTGACGTGATAGGAAAAGTGAATACGTTATAGTCCACACGATCGTGAAGCAGGTGTCGTAAGATAAAAGCCAAGTATGGCGCACTGTATTTCGTACAGTGAGACAGAATAATGGCATTGACACCACACCAAAATATAATTTATCATAATGTGTGTTTATGCATACACACAGGCTTACACATATAAAGATATTGGATGCGCTGCAAAGATGACATAATAGGCATTTTGCGCGCTACTAGCAATTGTCGTTACTAATTATGCAGACAAGATTTTGAAAATAGACTGTATAGTTTATGAGGAAGTCAGTCAGGCTATTAAAATCGACACAGTTGCATTCAATTAACCACAGACCGTAATAATTTCAGTCATGAAAATAGGGTCACGTGACCATTATTTCGCACATTCAGAAATGCTGCGCATGGAAATTGATACTGCAAAGATTTAACCGCGCGTGCGCACTTTTTCCAAAAGTCGACTCGCATGTCCCAAATTAGACCGACAGTCGCACATGGCCGGGATAATACTTATAAATTGCGCATAGCAATCAACATTAAATAAAATATGTTAATCATACGGTAAATATCCTTATCAAATGTGAAAAATCTGATGTTGAATAAAAAGCGGGCAGTCACATTAATGTCTCTAAAACTGCATATAACAGGGTAAAAGCGGGCTATAAATATTAAAACAGTGTATAATAATATCGAGGAATCAATCCTCAAAAGTGCTAAGATTATCTCATATATCCATTAGCTAGCCGTTAATAGTCTCAAGGACCTGCACATCATAGACAATTGTCCGATAGCGTGACAGGACTTTTCCGAGCGTCGACCAAAATTCGTGATCTAGCAAAATCTGACGATTACAAATAACTGAAGATGAACTAATTGAAAGTGAAATTATGAACTGATTACGAAATTCTGTTTTCACATGCAGTACCGATCACTCTTCATCTTTTCCCGTCGATCAAGCATTTCCTCGTGAAAACGTCCGTCCTTCCTAGCAACTTTCAAATCTTTTGTCCCGTTTTTTGAAATCTTTAGCTTCTTATCCTGGAACTTTTGGAACATTTTGACGTAATTTGTCTCATACTCCCGGACGCTTCCTTGTTTTTCCTTCTCGGCGAGAGTTTGTACTTTCCGTTCCTGGGCGATAGTAATAGTAGTAGTATGACGATGTATATTAACAAGCGGCGATGATATATAACTTTACTTGGTGTAAATGTGAGTTAACACTTTAATTTAATAAAATTGCGTGACGTAATACGTGATATATATATTATAATATATACTATATAGTATAACGTTGTCTCCCATAGTTTTGAAATTTGGAATTTGGGTGTGACGTGAAACGACAGATTGAAGTGTTGAAATAACATGGTAACTCTTCTGGGTGAATGGATAAAATACCGAGAAAAAATAAAGAGGAAATCTAAATAATTCAGGAAAATTCCAAACCTTGTCGCCTCTGGTTCTCATGATAACTTTAGTGTTGTCTTTAATTTCCTCCAACGTACAGCCGATAGTTCCATCGGAATTGAACGTCAAATATCTGCCATTGCATCCCTTGAGAACCTGTTTTATATGTAATCGTGACATGTCAATACAGCGCGTTTGGTTCTACTTGTAAATTGTAACTCGATAGGGCGTTGTATAATTGTACAAATTTTCTTAAAGAATGCAAGCTACGTAACAGAGCGATATAGGCCGGGGTTATATCCGCACTCGGGCTCGGGGTGGTTCCCCAATCAAATGAACAGGAAGCTACCACTGAACTCAGTTATCCTTGTTAAATGAATAGATAAATAATAAATTAAACAAGTCAAATTTTATGCAGCAATTTATTGGTAGTAAATATTTGTTGTCAGCTTACCTGAAATCCGTCGTCGAAGGATATTTGAAATTCCTCTCGGGCCCCGATGGCCTCAGAGCGGCCACTTATGGAACCATCCAGTGCTACCGAAAGGAATTTATCGTATCCCGTCTTGATTGCTAACTGTGGGGATGAAGTGGGTTAGAGGTGAGTATTGTCTAGAATAGTCGCTGTTAATTAAAAATATTAACGTTAGATGGTGTATATTTAAGAGATGACACTCAGGATTTTTGTAAGAGAGTTGTGCTATGATGTAGACTTTTCAATGTTGTAAGGAGTCTGAGTGTAAAGCTGAAAGCAAAAGTGGATGTCACAAAATAAACAAGAACAATATACTCTAGTAGCAGGGAATAGTTGAGTGTGCACTTCGATGTGTACTATTTCTGACAACACAGGGTTGTTTGTTAGGTCATTCTTAACCAAAATCGTGTGGGTGCACAATTTGTTTCGCTAGAGACAACCCTACAGGGCAAATTTTCTAAATTACCCTCAGTCGCGTATACGAGATTTTCGTATTTCGGCTCCTGAAGGTCATAGGGACTTCAATTTTAGCTTAAAATTACCGCAATAGCCATATTTATGTACAACTTATGAAGCAACATAAGGTCTCCAGTGCTTTGTTTTATAGATATTGACAAAACACTGTTTTTTGGCTCAGCGAACCAAAAATGGGACTGAATTTTGGTAACTTGAACTATAGGAAGATCGTAGAGACTTGAATTTTAGCTTAAAATGAGCGCAAACATCACATTTATATACAACTTATAAAGCAATATAAGCCCTTTAATGCTTATTTGTTAAGATATTGACAAAAATCGGTCATTTTGACTACACGCGTGAGGAAAAATACCAAATTGGGCAACAACTTTGGTCTTTTTTTGACCAGTTTTGTGCTCAAGTTATTAAAATGTGCTTTGATGTTGTAGATCGGGTGTTTTCTTCCAATATGGGTTTCGGTATAAATCCGGAAGCACCCGATTCATGGGTGATAGGGGTTAAAAACCCTAAAATGTCAGGCGATGGGCGAGACAATTGTCTGAATTTGGTTATAAAAACACTTGCACTCTTTGCTAGGGTTTGCTTTTTTCTGCTACATCGATCCGATTTCTAACTACTAATCATCCCCCGCTACATCATTCTCTTTTAGATACATGATTTCTATAAGTTCTTGAAGGTACATCCGGCATGATGTAAAGTCTATATCAAAGCATTTTAATGTGGTCTTAACAAGTTGCAAGATATTCAAGTTCACTAATAAAACAGAGATTGTAGGATATTCTTCTTTTACATATTGAGTAATTGTGGGCTTTTTGAGGGGAGGCTATAAAATGGCCAAATATAACTTTAACGTAAACGACCCAATAATAATATTAAACGTAGAATGAAACTACTTAAAACTTATATGTAGATTCATGGTATCCTGTTTCAAGACGCTTGCTCCTGATTTTTAGCAACAATATCGACTGACCCCACGACGTTGTAATATAATTGTGGGTAGGCTATCACTTGATCTATAAGTTTTGAACGGTAGTTTGTAAAAATAATTACATTCTACAAACATTATACGCTCCTACTATGCAATTACTAGCCTCTGGACTAACTCCCAATCATCTGTCCATATAATGGTGTTTCTGGACAGATAGATGGTGTATGATGGCCTTTTTCTCTTTAGTGTTTACGTTCAGGTGGTTCATAAAGGTTTGGAGGCTGCAGTTGTAAATGCCTCGAACTCGAACTCGAACTGCTACTGTCTGGAGCTTGCAATCTCTTCTGTCAGCTGCTGATATCTCTTAATATTCTTTTCTCTTGATCAGCAAAGTTCTCTTTATTTCAGATGCACCTTCTTCGCTTTATCTGAATAGATTACTACATCTGGTCTCAGTGGTATTACACTAATGTAATGTCTAACAATAACGTTTATAAGTGCTAAAATTTCGAACTAGCGGACCATATTCGGAGGAGAAATTTGGGGCAGTTTTTTGCTTGGAAATACTGATTTAATCGAATTTTAACCACAAAATGACTCCCAATAATATTCTTATGGAGAGTGTGGATAAATATTAAATATATTTAAAATAATACAGGTTTGACTATAAAGTTGCGTCAATAATCATGTAAAGAATAATAGATAACCTACAATCTTCGTTTGGTAAACCAATTTGGTATCTTTCCTCACATGTGTAACCAAAATTACTCAATAATCAATATGTAAAAGAAGAATATCCTACAATCTCTGTTTTATTAGTGAACTTGAATATCTTGCAACTTGTTAAGACCACATTAAAATGCTTTGATATAGACTTTACATCATGCCGGATGTACCTTCAAGAACTTATAGAAATCATGTATCTAAAAGAGAATGATGTAGAGGGGGATGATTAGTAGTTAGAAATCGGATCGATGTAACAGAAAAAAGCAAACCCTAGCAAAGAGTGCAAGTGTTTTTATAACCAAATTCAGACAATTGTCTCGCCCATCGCCTGACATTTTAGGGTTTTTAACCCCTATCACCCATGAACCGGGTGCTTCCGGATTTATACCGAAACCCATATTGGAAGAAAACACCCGATCTACAACATCAAAGCACATTTTAATAACTTGAGCACAAAACTGGTCAAAAAAAGACCAAAGTTGTTGCCCAATTTGGTATTTTTCCTCACGCGTGTAGTCAAAATGACCGATTTTTGTCAATATCTTAACAAATAAGCATTAAAGGGCTTATATTGCTTTATAAGTTGTATATAAATCTGATGTTTGCGCTCATTTTAAGCTAAAATTCAAGTCTCTACGATCTTCCTAGTTCAAGTTACCAAAATTCAGTCCCATTTTTGGTTCGCTGAGCCAAAAAACAGTGTTTTGTCAATATCTATAAAACAAAGCACTGGAGACCTTATGTTGCTTCATAAGTTGTACATAAATATGGCTATTGCGGTAATTTTAAGCTAAAATTGAAGTCCCTATGACCTTCAGGAGCCGAAATACGAAAATCTCGTATACGCGACTGAGGGTAATTTAGAAAATTTGCCCTGTAGGGTTGTCTCTAGCGAAACAAATTGTGCACCCACACGATTTTGGTTAAGAATGACCTAACAAACAACCCTGTGTTGTCAGAAATAGTACACATCGAAGTGCACACTCAACTATTCCCTGCTACTAGAGTAATAGAGTTGTGTGCCGTACCAATGATCAGGAGGGTATCAAATTTTATTTATCATTTTCACCGCATAGTTGAGTTCAAAAGGTGTAAATTTAGACTTAATCAAATATCTATGAAACTACAGTGTAAGATTAGCTTTCACTAAATTATAAACTAATTTTTATTTTGTCCGGCTGTCATTCCAGAAATACAGATTTTCCTAAGATGTTCTACAAGCTTACAAGATATAATTTGGAATGCAACATTGCAACGGTTCATCCTAATACGCTTATATATAATATATAATATACATAATATAGCGACAGAATTCGATTATTACTAATTTGCTATCCCATAATACCGCAATTTGAAAACATAGCAAAAATTAAAGCTCCGCCAGTCACAGTACATCAAAAGATTCCACTGCTAAGTTTTCCAGGTTAAAACTGAACGCAGCATTTTCAAATCACGTCTCCCAAACACAACACAAATTGAAATAGTAACGACTTGCTCACAGACTATCACAGACTATCACAGACTTGCTGACAGACTATTTCTGTAGAATACCAGTAAAGACTGACCTTATCTGCTGCACTACCAGGGAGAGCCGTGAATATCTCCGCGTTCTCTGGTCCTTCAGTTTGGTCCCGAACCTCTCCTAGGAAGTATAAGTATCAGTTTGATGACATGGTTATAATGAACGTGGGTAAAAAGAGAATACCTCGCATCTTCATGTCATTACCCACGTATTACCCGTGTATTACCTGCGTATTACCCGCGTATTACCTGCGTATTACCCGCGTATTACCCGCGTATTACCCGCGTATTACCCGCGTATTACCCACGTATTACCCGCGTATTACCCGCGTATTACCCACGTATTACCCGCGTATTACCTATCATTACTCACTGCTATAAGCCTCGGTTCATGATAAACTGCATACGTAATTGTTTACAAAAAGAAAGAGCATATATTCTGACTAGTGTCTCATGAAAGAAGCGACTTCTGTTTAAGAGACATATTAGCATTTGTGTGATGACACTGTTTCTTTTTGAAGGCGTAAAGAGAGAGTTTTGTACTTTACAGTTCACCATGTTGAAGAGTGGATCTTAGTGAAGGACATTACTTATTATAGATGATTTTAGTTGGGAGGAGAGGAATATTTTTTGACGTGGGACAGTGATTCTGTGGTTTGGTTGGTTAATAGCGAATGATGATTTGCTAATTGCTGTCACGTGACAGGAAAATGTGCCTCACCTCCTAACCAGACTAATGTACAGACCTGTGAGTTTGATGATAAAGCGTTCACACTTATCTCATTAATCCGCTCTACATAAAATACAGTAAAACTTCTCTATACCGGGCCTCTCGGGGAAATGAAATTGCATGGTATACAAAAAACCCGGTATAGAAAAACCGGATATAGAGAGGTTCAAACGATCCTGTTCTCCAGTATCTATAGTCTCTGAAATAACCTGCTAAATAACCTGCTAAATAACCTGCTAAATAACCTGCTAAATAACCTGCTAAGCGTAACAGAGTCGATATATTTTAATGTTGCCATGGGGTGGCAAGTCACCATACATCGTGGTCCGATCACTCCGATAGTTTCATTGCGTCTTAATATACCCCATTATAAACTATTTTGCCCGTATTGTGTCGTATTGGGAAAAAGCTCCATAATGTGTAATCGTATCTCCACCAAATTAGATACGAGCTACGATGAAGTACATTTTTTGCACAAAACAAGCAAAGTAACTAAAGGTTTGATGGAACAGGCTACCGAGCTATCGAGCTATCGAGCTACTCTGTATAGAGCTGAGGTACTGTAGAGAAGTTCTACTGTATAATACATTTACAAGAAAGTTTCATAAAAACAAATCATTCCTCAACCTAAAGTATACTTATATATTCTTCAGAATTTTTGCAGCTTAATAATGTCAAAGTATTAAAGTATTAAAGAATCAAGCACATTTCAGTATAACTGGAGTGAACTTGACCCTAATTTATGTATGCTCAACGCTTAATCCATTTAAATGCAATTAGAACTAACTCAATTGATTACGGACATGACTTTTTAAGTTAGGGTGTAACTGTCAAAAACAATTTATCATATTCTTGAAATCTTCGTGAAATCTTGAAGCGGAGATTGGACAAATGTTCATTATTGATGACACAATTTCGTTAACATCTGAGTTTGCATACGGTATCAAATTGATTTTGACGTGGACCGATTGTGACGTAGCTTATACATACACTGTTTCAACTAATGGGAAATATACCAATCACAAAATTAAGTCATGAAAAAGTCATGAGTTTTCTAATATATACGTATAAACTAGTTGCAAAATTTACAACCATGTATGGAAGCTTTAATCGTCATTTCATGGATACATTGCTCATTCTTATTCACTATTAAGCAAAACAGTATACATATTATTGAAACCGTCCGGCAATGTAATACGATAAAATGGTTAGATGATTCGTCAAATCATTAAAATGATAATAAAAGAGTTTTTTACTTTTACCATTACACACCACTATGCTACATTTGCATTCTGCTCGCTGTTGTTGAATATACTTAATTTTCTGAAACTAGTAAGTCATACTATTATAAAACAAAAAAAGAGAAATGATCTGCTTATATATTATTCTGTATAAAAACTCAACTTGTCAGAGCGTCGAAATCGCCAAATAAATGGACAATATCTCATTGTTTTCACGAACTTTTCGCCGAATATAAAGGCCTCCACAGTTATATTCCATGTCAACGGCAATTTCATGAGACATTCCAGCTATAATTTATATATACCTATCAAAAAGTACATAAATATTGCAGAAAGTACGATCAAGACTATTGCACGACTAATTTGTTTGTACGAACTTAACAGAACTGTTCTATAGAAGCCGTTATAAAACTATATACATACTTATTATTTATTACATAAGATTCATAAATGAGCTATTATTAAAAGGTAACAATATTACTAGCAATTATTGGTGAGCTGGTGCTATATTTTCATAAACATTGACAGTACTGTATCATAATATTATTGCTCTGGCAAACTCTATAACAATATATTGAAGTTTTTACTATATAGTGATTATAAGCTTCCTCTGCTCGAACATTAAATAAATACAATTAGCAGAACATAGTATAGTGGCGTGTAATGGTACCTACTCTTATCTCATATTAGTGAATATATAGAATAGAAGTAAAGTGTACATTTTAGAGACAAAAATTCAGGGGTTCAGAAATGACCAAACATGGTTAATTTTAGTTTATTAGCTCAGTCAGACAATGTTTTCTATCCAAAGCGCTTATAAAGTTCTTCATTTTCACATTGGTGCGGTAGGCTAATAAATCGTGAGTAAATTACTGAGGGTAATATCTAAATATATCAGATCGGTCATCTTTGTCATAAACTAAGCACAAGCTACTGATCACTTATACAGATGATTTCTGAAAAAGTGCCGCCTAAAAGTTTGTACTTATCATAGTATACTTAAAAGTAAAATGAAGTAAATCACATTACGTTATTTGTGATCTAACACTTCATCATGTTATAGTGGATGGTGATCTTATTGCATGCTATAGAAAATTTAAGAAAATTAACAAATAAATTAAATAGAAAGTAAAAACACTTAGTTATTTATTCCAACGATTTCCTACTGACAGGAAGAGCAGACGCAGTAGACGAGAAAATCAAAATTCCCCTCATATCGTGGACAATACTGCTAATTGCCTTAATACACATAGTGACAATTTTGCCAGGATACTTCATCTCTACTATTCTGCCAACCCACCTGCCCCACCACTCAGCCCCCCAATAACAATTGGGCTTGCTCCTGTAAATGGAGTCAAGCAGTGTATAAGTAGTAAAAATGTAGCTTACCAAGAGCAACGGTGGCATCCTCACAAGCCATGACATATGAAGTAGAGACTTTGTCTTCAAGCAAGACGCTCCCTTTCACATCGAGAATGTCCCTTACAATCCACCATACCCTGTGTCTTGCTGTTTCGTCATCATCCCATGTGCCGTCTGATTCTTTGTTTTCCTCTGCAAAGTTAGTTAATTAATTAATTAATTTAATTGAGACAATAACCAAAATGAAGTATATTGGAGTGTTTAACTGTCTATAATTTACCTGATGCCTAATGGCTTACCTTATTATACAACCTTAACCTTTCTATTATGAATTAATGTTATTTCAATACATTGCAGTTCAAGAAAACTGGATACCACACAGTATAAAAGGTTTACTTATGAATTATTATCAGAGATGATCACAATGTTTCTTTGTGAGATTTCAGTCGCTGTTAAATACATCAAAACATACTGTATTCTCTGATTATATTTCTGTAAACATTTGTCATGCCGACTGAGCTATGTTGAATAAGTGCTAAATAGTAGGCAGTATAATAATTAATCCACAATAGCGTATCGATATTATTCTTTTGTAGAAGTAGATTTATCAGAATTAAAAATTCCATATTATCAAAACCTATTAGAGTCATGTAAATATCATAAAGAAAAAATAATCAGTAACCAAACCTTGCCTTTTTCTTTTTCTCTTCTTTTTCTCCCCTTTGAACTTTAACTTTGAAGACTTTACTGATTCATAGTTTGAAGACATCTTAAAAAGTGTGACAACAATTAATTAAAAATTATAGCAATGCATTTGAAGATTTCATATGATAAAAATGTAAACACTGTTAGAACCTATTATATATACCTCTATATTATAGATTTATAATCGTTATGGTTCCAGTTAAAGTAAGGTTTTAAATTAGGAGGGAACATTTTCGAAGTTCTAAAGTCTTGCATCCTAACTGTTTAAACATAGCTATAGCCAACTTAAATAATCTAATTTAATATAGTTTGTAATTAAATCTCAATCTCAATAATTCAGTGCACACACAATAAAGAGAGTTGTACACAGTATTACAAAATTTGCAGTAATAACAAATATACTTCCACAACCCCTGTTGATTGGTAGGTTTATGTGACACCCACTTTCTATAATGAGAAGATAGTTCTTACTAAGTAATTTGCAGAAGATGCAATTAATTTTCAAATAATAAAAAAAAAGGTAAGGTAGAAAAAAATAGAGCGAAGAGAAGTTTACAAATGTGATGTAAGCTCTGATATGTCCCATGAACATGCCCTGGTTTACTGTGGCCTCTGATTTACCACTGTTTTTACCTTTTCCCTAAACTCCACAATAAATTGGGACTCTACAGTACTATACCATGATTACTTTTCCTTAGACACATCTTGAGAGAATAAGCAACCAGTGAAATAACTCAGAAACCTGCCTGATGAATGTATATATGAGTAAAAGCAGTATCTAACACTTACACCCACTAAATATACAATACATGTAATACCTAAGAACATCTCCAATGAAATTAGCCAGGACGATGGTGTAAGCTATAGTAGAGTATGGCCTAATGTCGATGAAGTGCATTGTTCAATGAACTGAGCTGTATGAACCTTTTTTTTCCAGAGGTTTTTTTCCCATATATGGTAGCTTGCAACTGTCGTGAGTGCATACATACGTACATGCGTGCCGGCGTGCCAATATGTCGCTCACGTTCCTAACTAAACTGAGCAAAGTTTTTTTTAGCGATATCCTGAATTAAATAAGTGTTGACTCACGCTGAACTGACCAAATAAATTGTTAATTTTACCATGTACGGATCCCACTAGGCACTAATTGATAGCATATTATTATTCCGAGTTAGTATTACTATTTTTCACAGATCTGTGACAGGTTGCATAAACAATAAACATATGGTTACATAGAAATATACATGATTTTCAAATTCAATATGGAATTACATGGGTGGCGCTCAGCCTGTCACTCAGTGGCGTAACGTTGCCTGTTGGCGCCCCCCTGCCGAAAAAAGCGCCCCCCTGTTGGCGCCCCCTCCCCTTTTGGTGCCCCTCCCTAAAATTGAACAAATTAGGTGATTTTAAAGAATACGCCGGTAAAATCTCTAAAAAAGTGTGTATCCAGAGCAAAACGCGCAGTTTTGCTAGTACTTTAGTTAAGTTTTCGAAATTGTCCCACATTCAAATGACGATTTGGCGCCCCCCTGAGACGGCGCCCCCCTGCACAGCGGGGTCAGCAGGGCCTTTCGTTACGCCACTGCTGTCACTCCGCCATATTTGCATGCTTATAAACAGTAAAGACTGGGGTCCCCAGGTCTTTAAATATGCCTTCACGGATCGTAAATTGAGCGGCCATGCACAAAAAAAAGCGGCTGCGATTCTTGTTCTTCTTAAACTGTCAGCAATCAGCATGGCCAATGCAATAGTCATGGAAAATTATGATTTGTATTGTATTATTTCATTGTAAATAAAGGATATAATTTGTTTCTCTAATCATTTGTCATTGCATGGTATCAGGTGATTGGGCTGGCACTAGTTCCTTTCAGTGGGAAGCGTGCAGAATTGAAAGCTCAATAAGATGTCGTAGTATACGCTATGTCGCTATCACGTGATTGAAGTAAAGATGTAAGGATAAAACCAGCACTCCTGACAGTCCAACCAAGTTCATTCTCAAAGAAGACCAACACCAAGGATAAAGCCCGTCTTGATGTTGCAGCTGTCGGATTGTATGCACTCTTTGAAAGAACATTCTTTGACATCACGGTCACACATCCTAACTGTGTCACAAACACATTTAAGCCACTCGATAAGATCTGTAGAGCTCATGAGAAAGAAAAGAAAGATTTGTATGAAGAGAGTACTTCAGTCAGATATAGAATCATTTCTCCCCCTAGTCTTCACAACCTCCGGAGGTATGGGACCGCTCTGCACTTAATTTGTAGATCGTTTCTCGGAGATGATAGCTGACCACAAAAAAAAGCCATGAAGAGCCAAGTCAACAATCATATCAGAACACGATTCAGATTTGATCAGTTAAGAAGTACACTCACTGCACTGAATCAGAGGAAGATGAGCAGCCCAGCATCTTGAACTGTAAGACGTTTCCTTCAACCTCATCCCCCAGAAGACGAGCTTTGAGGTCTCCTAGATTTGTTTATGTAAACTTTGAAGATATTTTATTGTACTAGTTTATATTGTATACAATTTTACGGACGAAATGATCCCAGGGGGGGACTCCCAACCCACCGCTTCGGCGGGTAATCGATGCACCGTTCCAAGCAAGAGTCACTTTGGTCTACTTGCTGTGAGGTGTCTCAGCTACATGGGTAGGGGTCCCCCATTTTTCTTTTATCTTTTTTTTCCTTTTTTTCCTATCACATGATTACCCAATCAATTTTAATAATGAGACAAATAAATTAGCAAACGTGACCCTATGCCCTGTCAACTGCAGTATAACTGGTTTACAAAATTTATTATACGTTGTATGACCCGCCGCGCACGGGTGCGCTGCTCCACTGTATCGCGATATCGTAAAAATTCTACAGGTGAGAAAATCTGTACACTGTAGAGTTTCTGCGATACAGGGGAGCCGCGCACCCATTTGCAGCGGATCATACAACGTTGACAACGTTTGACAAAATAATATTCGTAAAATATTTGTTCCAAAAACCGTCGATGAATCCGACTTGTGATTTGGCGCGGCGCGCATTTAGTTATAACCTTGTACGGCACTCCTTTTGAGCTTGATCTAGTCTCGGATTGATGATAGGAGCGAACAATAAGCTAGCAAACTAAATAATTGTAAACCTATACTACAAATATATCCCTGATCCCGCAAATGCACACTTTCCAAATTGCGCGCATTGCAGTAACTTCTTTTAAAATTCCTGAATCGAGTTAAAATCTTGAAATGTATTTAAAATTAATTTATGCACTTATTATAAATCACTTGAAATACTTTTAAACATATTTGCTTTATTACTAAACTGCCCTGTAGCGTGATGCGTTACTGTGCCGCGCCGCGCACTCAATTATGCTTCTCGCAACCACTAAATCGGCGAAATGCGCTATGACATATTCAATTAAGCAGATTTACTTTCTTCATTCTTATCTCAGAAAATGTTCAAAATTTTACCAGAAATGAGAAAAGGAAATAAGTTCAGACTTACTGTTGATTCACGATGTCAATCCTTCGCATCTCGCCGATTTGCATACGATCTGTGGTTGCGAGAAGCATTATTGGATGCGCGCGCGCGACCCAGTAGTGCATCGCGCTACAAACTTACTGCTGACGTCCTTTTTATATACGCAACATTTTAGTCATGATACGGTCATATGATACGGTCATATGTTGTAGCGCGATGCACTACTGGGTCGCGCGCGCATTCAATAATGCTTCTCGCAACCACAGATCGGCGAGATGCGAAGGATTGACATCGTCAATCAAGGTCATACGTTGTATGACCCGCCGCGCACGAGTGCGCGGCTCCCCCTGTATCGTAAGAACGATAAAGTGAAACGACCGTGGGGGTAACGACGTGATACAATTAACATATCGAAACAGTTTTTTGCCAATATCTCGTCAGTTGATTGACGATGTCAACATTTCCATATCGCTGCTCTGCTCGATCTTCCGGATCGTTGCTCTGCGAAGCAAGAACTAACGGGTGATACTCGTAAAATATTTCATATTTGTTCCAAATTAGGACCGTCGACGAGTCCGACTCGGCGCGCGTCCTGGTAGGTTGTAAACCTACAAAGCAAGAATGCTAGTTTGTGCGGCCACAGGGGGAGCTGAAACCAGGTTTTCGATCAAACGCTGCCATGTGTAGTCAAACGTCGCCAAAAGTTGCTCTCGTCCAATGAAATCGATGCATTTTGTAAGCCAAGCTCCGCATATGAATATATGTAATTCAATTATGCATACTGACTTACAAAATGCAGCGATTTAATTGGACGAGAGCAACTGTTGGCGACGTTCGACTACAAATGGCAGCATTTTATCGAAAACCTGGTTTCAGCCCCCCTGAGCGGCGCGTCCTCCAACTCGTCAGGGGAGCATTTTAACCCTATGTCATTGGGGGCGATTCGGAATCAGCGTCCTAAAATACATCGATTTAGGTTGGTTTAAACAGTCAGAGGCCCTTTTCTTTTAGAACAATCTCGAAGATCGACTGTAGGTAGAGTGATCTAGCACGCTAGCTATACTATAAGTTAATTCGTGCAATCAAAATGTCGCCGCGCTTTATGGTTAAATCCCACAAAACGCGCGCGTTTGCGCGCAGCATTATTGTCGCTATTTGCATGGAACTATGTCTTCGCGTCTTCCATAGGTGCTCTAAAACAGGAACTACATTTCCGCTTTTTGTCGGAAATGTTAACGGAAAGACTGGTTGTCGAGAGAAAGTCTGCAGACCGGTTTCACCTGGAATCTAGAATTCAGTTATTAGTCAGTGATTTTATTCCATATCTCTCCTCTTGCATGTGATTGAAAGGCCGCTAAGTAAATTCGAGAGTAATGTTTTCTGAGATCGGAGTGATTTAAGGCCTCCATAATTTAATTACACTCCTACTTACCTATACTTACCACACTGAATAACCACCATGCCACACTCCTGAATGTAAGATAATAGAGATACAATATAACAACAGCCCATTTATTAAAGCTCTCACTCATGAACAAGACATAGACACAGCAGGAAGCTACCATGTTTATATTTCTACAGCTACCCTCATCCGCATAGCAATTAGTTGGGTGTATGTTGCAGTAGCAGCGGCTCTCACAGTGCAGCAATGATTGATCAGCAGAGCCTATCAGTGATCCGGAAATAATCACGTGACAGTTATTCAGCCACTAACAATGAGAGTGATTTCGTTAATTTACATTTTACAGAGCTATGATTGGGTGTGTACTGTGCTGCTGGTTGAATATACAGTTGAGGTGTAATCATTGTGTAAACAAACATGTTTAGTGACCAGAAGTAGGATACACTTTGACAGCTCAGTGACAATTTAGAGAAAAAATAGTGTCGGACAGTGTAGTTACAACAGGTTGTGACAGTTTTATTACATCTTTTTTTAAATAGGTCACGTTTTACACCCTTTACACCAATTATCAGCGACGGTGTGGCACCAACATTATTAAAATGATCTTAGACAAAAAACAAGCTAGTGTGTTATGTGACATTTACCGTAGACGTGACACATTTCTATTTGTAATACATGTTATATTTCTCAGGAAAAATACTTCGCATCTTAACACGTGGCACAATGAGTTAAACTGTGTTACCAGACAGCTACAGTTGTATGATACCAGGTTTAAACTTTTCTCGTGAATTAGTGCCGGTAACGACACCGCATTATTCAGCCCCATTTTAAACAATCTGCCGAGTAAAATTCAGTATCTTTATCGTTGAACAAAATGCACGATAATGAACAAGTTATACGGCGATCGACCGCTTATCTAAAAAAGATAAGAGGTTTATTACAATCTTATTCCAACACGTCTCATTTATTATTTCGATCGCTTTGAATTTGTCTCAAGAGGATTTCGCTACTTCTTGAAAATGCTGAGGGTAATAATTCTATTTAACATCATCCTGGTGAACCTTTCTGGCATTTTGGGACAAAGTTTCGGTGATACCATAAAAGCTAACCCAGTGATTGAGGTATAGTTTAATGTCACCAAGTTTAATTTAATTCAACAATTAATTTGTGTCGATAAAGAATAGAATACCGTGACATTTATCAGAAATACTTAGTAACATCATACAATCTCCCATTTCACTCTTTTAATCTCTAGCTAATGCCGGAAAAGTAGCGGGTCTATTTCGAAATGTAGATATTTCTATTAGATTTAAGTGATTTATTACTGCTCCCAAGATGCAATAAATGATTTTATCGTATAAAAAATGTATACTTAAATTTATAGTTCAAATACTGAGTATCAAGTCTAAAAACAAATGTGTTCTATTTTACGTTTCCTGATCACACAGTTCTAACCCCCCATCCTCAGATCGATGCAGGTCAACGACTACAGAACAGTTTAGTGAAAGTAACAGAGTTTGACATCTACCGAGAGGAGGATGAGGATGAAGATTATTTAGCTCTGACGGTCCAGGTCCCTGCTGAAGTAGACTCGTCTAATGTTAAGAATCTCTTTATTCTGGATTTCAGTGCGTACACTACTAAAGATAATCCTATCGGTAAGTTTAATTTGTCAGTCTCTTTATTTATACATTATAATATCGCTATAATTATATAAAGACTTATATCATATTACACTGAAAAGTCTCATACAGTGACGATTCGGCGATGTTAGGCTTGAAATCTCAATGTCATCATGGCACAAAGTCTTGGGCCCCTATCAAATTTGTGACATCAATAATCTGTATTATATCTCACCTTAAATCAGGGTTTACAAATGATTCGATGAATAATTGGATTTGGCCAGTGGTGTAACGAAGGGCCCCGCTGAGCGGGGGGGGGGGGGGGGGGGGGCACAATCTTAGGGGGGTGCAAAATCGTAGTTTGAATCTGGGACAGTTTTGATAAACTTAACTGAGGTACTAGCATGAGCAATACTGCGCATTTTGCTCTAGAAAGTAGAAACACACTTTTTTAGAGATTTTACCGGCGTATCCTCTAAAATCACCTAATTTGTTCAATTTTAGGGAGGCCGTGGGGCGCCAAAAAGGGAGGGGGCGCCAACAGGGGGCGCATTTTCGGCGGGGGCGTCAACAGGCAACGTTACGCCACTGGATTTGGCACTTAACGTCTGATAATACTATAATATATTAAGCTGAACTGAATACCGCAGAATTAATCTCGAGTAAAAGAATATTTCGCTTCTTCAATCATTTCCGAACAATCGTCCCAGTAGTCAATTTTTATCCCACTTAACATCCAATGATACTTTCAATGACACTTTTGCAATTGCCCCTCATTGCCTGTTAGTCACTCAACCTTGCACCCGGGTTTTCTTGTGGTCACAAGGCAGCTGTATTGTCGTGACGTCACTTATCTTAAAGTATCAAATTTTCTCACATTGAAAATATCAGATTTCACTACCTACAATGAAAATTGAAACCCCGCTAAAATTATGTAAAATTTAAGCCCGGTCGCGGTAAACTTCCTAAATTATTAACTGTGTTATCAGCCTTGAGCCTACAGATTAAATCGGAAAGGTAAATCAGCACGCTGATTTGACACTTGAAAAATTATCGATTATTATCCGAGAAATAAACAAATAAAAATCACACAGAAGAGCACGACGCAGGGTTTTTCCGTATTTATTGGTTAATTTGAGGTCATTTTGAGGTCAGCTTTAGGTAAAACCCGACCCTACCTACCCATGTGAACTGTGTTGAGTTTCGTCAAAACTTGACAGAGCCATCAAATCTTCTGACCACCCCATAGCGAAGTAAACTGTAAAGTATCACTCGTTGCGCCAGCACAGCAGAGAGTTCGTATTTTTGAGGAGATTCCCTAAGATTTAGCTTGGAGGGGGATTTGTTTTAAAACATATAAGAGATACGAAAAGTTTATTTTAGCAGGAGCTTTTAAATACATGTGTAAATCGTAAGATTTAGGTCAGAATCAACCGGGCGAGCTCCTTTCTGTCTGGATACATAATTAAATGAAGATTATCTGATAACATGTACTTATTCTTGATGTACGTAATATTGTTGCACGATATTGTATCATTGTTATTACGCTTCAGTTTTAAATCTGCACAATGTCAGTGATCAATATCATACATAGTCAACGTCACGTAACACGTTACATCACGAAATTCTGATCATGCAAATAAAACAGATATAATAAATCGAGAGGCTTGCATATAATGAACATATTGACACGGGTGCAGAGTTGAGTCTGTGCGGAACCTAGTAGTTTCAGATCCTTGTTTAACTTGCCGTACAGCAAGGTCATCCACTACTTTAGCCCGGCGAGGCACATAACTCCCTCTACAACTCCATATCAAATGTTTCATATATACTAGCCGAGTTTACAAGTTATATCCTTGTGTTTGAGAAGAGCTCGTTAGAACTGCTTCCTAATGCCTTTAAATTTTGCAAGATTTTGCAAGATGCAATTGTTAGCTGATTGACAAGCAAAATGCTGGTATCAGTTTTAAAATCCCTATTAGGTATTCCATAATTAAAACCCTAATTTTAACTCTAATGTAACCCTAACTCTAATAAACCTTTGCTCTAACGTCTGTTTCATAGTGTCCGCTCGGGCTACTTGGATACTGCAAAATAATTTATCTAATTTAAAACAATTTTTTTTTGCAGAGGGCGACTCGATCAACTCTAGTAGAATCTCCAACTGCTCCAACTACCAAGTCCAGGAACCTCAAACCCTGGCAGCACAGTTCGACCAATTTTCTGAGAACAATTTCCTGAGCCAGGATTTCTTCTCTGCCAATTTGACAGAGATAGGCGGTACCTATTTTTTGCAGTACATCTATAAAGGTTCACTCGAACGTTTCAGTAATTGTCAGGTAAATATGATTCCTTTAATTTAAAGTTTGTTTCGTTGTGTAAATTTCTGATTTCTTGCTTGAAATATTGTCCATCAAATATTTATAAGACACTTTGGCCGTAGGTGCAATTCTTTATTTAAATGTTGATTCGACACTTAATTCTACATGGCCTCGAATGATCCGATTCATATAATTATGAGGGAATGAAAATCGTATACTTAATACAATCCATCATCACAGGTATACGATCGTGATGAAGTTTGGTCAGTGTCGGAGAGCAACACAGGCAAAACCCAATACACGACAGTCCTAGCAATAAACCACATCAGGATCACCAAGCAAGAGATCGGCAACGAAACCATCTACCAACCCTCTTTCTTCTCAACAGCCTTCAAGTTATCATGGACCATCAGCCAGTACATATTTGTGAACGGAGTAGTGACGTCACAGAAGAGGGTAAAAGCGGAGGTTATCTTCGCCTCAGTGCAGCCCCTCTGGGAAAACGGTAAGATAACAGACAAGACCAGAGTTCACATTGGAGTCAGGACAATTCTAGAGAATGCCTACCACAGTCATCTGATGATGGTATTTGTCAAGGGCTCAGATAGTGGTACGTTTGCGGTTTTGGAAGACGGAGAAACCCCGATTGAGATCAACGCGGAAAAGCTTTCTTCAGGTACCGGCTTAGGGGACCAGGTGATGTGTGACCCTGTCCGAAACTGGGACTTGGCCGACGTTTTTGATGACAACTCCCAGAAATATCAAGACTGTCAGCAAACATGGGAGTTTAGCATAATGCTGCCACAGAACGTGACTGTCTACAACGAAATTGAAGGCCTATTCTCCTTCCGGCTCCAACTATACCAGTGTGACGACCTAAATCAAGTTCAACCTATCTGCGCCCCCGTAGAGGATATGTATGAGGAAATCCTGGCAAATGTCGCTCTGGACACTGTAGTGGAGATAACAGCAGAACAAGAGAACTCGCTGAAACTTGAAGTAACAGCCATCAAGAGTCAAGACAACTCAGCGGAATTTCTATCCAGCAGCACACTATCCAGAGGCATTTACCATGGAGAGGAGGTTGTAATCTACATACAACCTACCCAGAACATTAACAAGACACCGGGGGCTGATCTGATCAGCAAAAATGGGCTGGCTCTTAGTGCTTTCCTCATTTGCATTCAGAGCCAAATTCCTTTACAATCCAAACTAGGATGCCTGGACGTGGACCAGCAATATCGGTACATTCCGTGGATGGAGGATGACTTGAGCGTTTCACTTCACGGTAAAATCTACAAACGAGAAGATTTTGAATCGACGAAACAGGATCTAAATTCAACACAGCACAACTGGGACCCTGACACAGGATACTACACGATAAGGTTCCAGAACCTAGCCTTGTCTGCCCAAAGCAGACTCTACAGGTTCACCATGATCTTCAGAATAGACATCCTGGACAGCGACTCTGAAGGGGGCCGGAGAAGAAGAAGTGTTCTTCTATCACTATCAGATTCTTCCTTAGCGTACAGAAAGAAGAGAGCAACTAAAGTGGCATCAGAATCAGCAACCGTGGTATCTCCTGAAGAAGAACTGGCGCAGACTCCAGGACCAGGAGAAAAAGAACTGGCGCAGACTCCAGGACTAGGAGAAGAAGAACTGGCGCAGACTCCAGGACCAGTAGAAGAAGATTATGAAAGTGATAAGAACGACACTTCCGGATCTGAAGCTTCAGATGACTCAACTTCACTAGCTACAACTGAAGTCAGCGTTAAAGTTGAGGTCTGCCCTCCAGACTACGAATATATTTCTCAGGATGAACCGTGTCGACCAAAATTGAGGGAGAGTGTCGCATTCACAGTTCATTGCAACATCCTCATGCTACTTCTCTGCTTGGGTCTAGGCTTATAGTATCTTCACTATAAATGACCAACGTGATTTGTACATTTATTCATTAGCGTATTATTTTGAATTGAAAAACTATTGGTTTTTAAAATGAACTGAGGTATGATTGAATTTGAGGAGTTAAATTTTTGATTGTTATATGTTTTGATTGATTGAATACTTCTTACTTAACTTATTGAATTTCATGACAATAATAAATTTATTTTTAATTGGCATAATGATTCCAAAACTATTATTCTAGCTTTTATATTGTCAACAACACGCGACTGAAAATTAAAAATTATGGTAAAATTTGACATGAGAATTGGATTTATCATTAGTACGACAACCGTGCCATTTGACATCCGCATCATATAATATGCTATTTGAGGAAGGACCAACTAAACAGTGAACATACAAAGTTTACACCTTCATGCACATCTATATGATGCACTATGTACTTCAATTTACCCAGTTTGGCATGAATACAATTAGAAGCAGGAAAACTCGTGTAATTACGCTAATTAGTACCAATTACTGTTATAATGACCCGGTAGGTATATCGGTATGTACCAAGCCGTATTATAATATGAAAATCAATAAAAAACAGAAGTTTTCAAGTTATCCGCAAAATGATGTGGAGATTTTACCCGGTCAAGACCAAGTTTAACGATGATACCACTACCAGTTATAGTTGTTAAATATAAGGAAACATATCTCCAGGAGCGAGCGTTACAAATCACATTATGTTGTGCTCACTAACTACTAACCTATGTACCTGATAACAGATAATCATCCACCTGTAACATATCAGGGTGATATACTTCAATTTGATGGGCTGTGTAATTTACCTGATAATATTTGAGATCACCATGATTTATAACGAGAGTAATGATGAATAACCACATTAACTAGCAGGACAGTAACTTGAGAATCAACTCATATAATCACATATTGTAAAAAGGAACTAAAATGCAGTGAGATTCAGCATGTGCTTTACACTGTAAAGTTACAGTAATGTTTACAGTGATGCACCCATTTCATGACAGTTGCAATACAGCACTCTTATTACATTGCTCTTTTACTTCAACAAATCAACACGTGAAGACTGAAGAGTACGTGCGCAAAATGAGCACTTACTCTTGTAGAGTGCACCTACTCTACAAGTACAAGCTGCGTGCAGAGTGCACCTACTCTACAAGTACAAGCTGCGTGCAGAGTGCACCTACTCTACAAGGACAAGCTGCGTGCAGAGTGCACCTACTCTACAAGTACAAGCTGGGTGCAGAGTGCACCTACTCTACAAGTACAAGCTGGGTGCAGAGTGCACCTACTCTACAAGTACAAGCTGCGTGCAGAGTGCACCTACTCTACAAGTACAAGCTGCGTGCAGAGTGCACCTACTCTACAAGTACAAGCTGCGTGCAGAGTGCACCTACTCTACAAGTACAAGCTGCGTGCAGAGTGCACCTACTCTACAAGTACAAGCTGCGTGCAGAGTACACCTACTCTACAAGTACAAGCTGCGTGCAGAGTACACCTACTCTACAAGTACAAGCTGCGTGCAGAGTACACCTACTCTACAAGTACAAGCTGCGTGCAGAGTACACCTACTCTACAAGTACAAGCTGCGTGCAGAGTGCACCTACTCTACAAGTACAAGCTGCGTGCAGAGTGCACCTACTCTACAAGTACAAGCTGCGTGCAGAGTGCACCTACTCTACAAGTACAAGCTGCGTGCAGAGTACACCTACTCTACAAGTACAAGCTGCGTGCAGAGTACACCTACTCTACAAGTACAATTACAAGCTGCGTGCAGAGTGCACCTACTCTACAAGTACAAGCTGCGTGCAGAGTGCACTTACTCTACAAGTACAAGCTGCGTGCAGAGTGCATCTACTCTACAAGTACAAGCTGCGTGCAGAGTGCACCTACTCTACAAGTACAAGCTGCGTGCAGAGTGCACCTACTCTACAAGTACAAGCTGCGTGCAGAGTGCACCTACTCTACAAGTACAAGCTGCATGCAGAGTGCACCTACTCTACAAGTACAAGCTGCGTGCAGAGTGCACCTACTCTACAAGTACAAGCTGCGTGCAGAGTACACCTACTCTACAAGTACAAGCTGCATGCAGAGTGCACCTACTCTACAAGTACAAGCTGCATGCAGAGTGCACCTACTCTACAAGTACAAGCTGCGTGCAGAGTGCACCTACTCTACAAGTACAAGCTGCGTGCAGAGTGCACCTACTCTACAAGTACAAGCTGCATGCAGAGTGTACTTATTTGTTTTCCGCGCACAGTGAACACTTCTAGTCAACAGTCCGCACAGTGTACAGTGTACATCTATCGGTGTACAGTGTATTGCAATGTAGTTCAATAAATTATTTTATTCACTAATGTACTATTATATTAATAGAAAATATAAGTCTGCTGTTCCAGAGAAAATGGTACATAATAGCACTGCATCGAGTGAACCAAGTTCACGCTAATTTCATCAGCATTCAGAACCAGATGAGGAATTATCCTCAAATAATAACGCGGTGCCGGTGAATAAAGTAACTTCACACTCCCCCAGAGCCCACACACACACACACACACACACCTCACTTCAACACGCAGGCCGGCTAAGTTACATTTGACATTACAAAGGTTTCTAACTGTGTCGGATAATGACGCATACTTCGCTGAGCTGGTCCTTTAATTTTGGAGCACATATTAACATGACCTTATATGCATATGTTCCTGTTTTACAGAATTTATTTTAAGTATCAGCATAAGAAAAGTTGCACCACGGTGTTTTACTTTGATTGTAACTAAAATTAGAGTTCGATCTTTTTAGGCCAATGAGACACATTTATTTCCCTGCAAATTCTTTAAGTGCTTCGTAGATGTGGGTCGGAACTATCTTTTAATTTGATCTCCCTTCATAATATCGGCCATGATACTTGCCGGCCACTTTATCAACTTAATAACACCAGAATGTGTGTGTGTGTGTGTGTGTGTCTGTGTGTGTGTCTGTGTGTGTGTATTTTCCGAACAGTTATACAAAAAAAACGGTAATAGTTACGGGACTGGTTTTTTCGGTATAGTGCTGACAAAACTCTGACGAAGCCCATAAGCAAATTTTGTTAAAATCGGCCGGTGGTAAGTGGTTTAATTGATGATTTTGTTCCAGAAATGTGACATAAATGGATGGGAGAGAGAACGAGGAGGATAACATGTACCGTAATTAGTTTAGCCCCACGTAATACTATAAGCTTAGAGCTCACTCTTGCGGCCGCTTTGTTTCAACTGTAGGGAGATTTCATACTTTCATAAGACAGCGTTATGCGTGATATCAAATATATAATGCGGTTGTATACTTTTACATTGCAACTGTGACAGTAAAGTCCCGGCCGAAGGCACGGGTTACACTAGTATAAGTAGTCCAATAACTTGGATGTATCGGACATGGTAATGATATCAATAGTAATACAGATCTGTACGTAACATTAGACAGGCCTCTAACGCCATGAATAATGATGCTACGACGCGATGCATAGCATCATTTTAAAAGAAGTATGTTAATTTTACTGAACCATTAAAAATTTACTGAACCATTAAAATTCTCCTCCCACAGAATCATTGCCATAAATGGCCACGGGCGCATCGTATTTTTTAAATATCTGCAATTATTGCGTGGCCAATGACTAGTGTAGTGATCTGTTCAAAACGATCATTATGCCACTGCTAAAAGCGTTACCGTATATGGTGATGGAATGATGAGTGAAGTGAAATGAAAAGTTCGTGGTACGTCAAAACTGCGGCCACATCTCCTGCTTACATCTGACGCCTCATTAAAATCGGCGAATATCTAAACACAGAAATGCCCTTATATGGTCATGTTTTAGTACGAGTTTAAACCTTTGCAATCATCAGCAACGATACCTGAACTGTTTGTAACATCTAATCGAAAGCATTTAGCCTTTGTTGAAAGCGCGGCCTTATAAGGTTATGGAATTGCAAGTTATGGAATGGCAAGTGTAGAGGCTTTTAAAAATTTCGGAGGTGTACATTCTCCGAGAAATGGTGAAGAGATAGATGTGCAACTTGTATGATAAGGTGTTAAAAGATGGTGTGAGAGAGCGACACATGGTGTAATGTGCATATAACCCCATATATAGCCCCTTGACGTGTCATATGCTCTAATGCTCATATATTTTATATTTTAACCATGTACACTCGTACAGGTTCACTTATTATTATCACGGTCTGGTGATATTTAAAGGATCCCATTAGGTCAGCTTTTATTGTTCCGGATGTAATATCGTCACTTGCTCTCAGCGAGCATTAGCTCACGCTAAGAATATACAGTTACATCCACCAGCTCTCCCTGAAATCATACGTCCGGAATAGTGTCATCTGAACTGGGCCGGTGTTTACCATTTCGGTAGAATCACAAACACTCGACATTAATAACGTTCTCGGGAGAGAGAGAGAGTGTGCTCCAGAATATTCGACAGAGCCGGTAGAATATACGCAAATAGTTCCTGCAATATATATATATAGAGAGAGAGAGAGAGAGAGAGAGAGAGAGAGAGAGAGAGAGAGAGAGAGAGAGAGAGAGAGAGAGAGAGAGAGAGAGAGAGAGAGAGAGATATATCCTGCATACACAGACAATAAACGCTGTGTAACATAACCTTGCATAAAATATGTCAAGCGTCTCACCCCCACATAAATAATTCCTTCACTTTGACTTATAATATGCTCGCGAGTTTTTGTGCTATCATAAATATGTGATTGTCAGCGCACACCTTAAATGCGGCCACGATTACTCCCTTAAAATTACTAGACACAAAAATAATACCCTTGTTCTAGTGGATAGTTTAATGATGATAACTGCGAATAATAACAATCACTCCCATTTCTTGATAAATTTAAGGAGAGAGCAAGGTTGTACCGGGCTATCTGAGGTATCGCTACTCAAGAAACATATTGACCATTTGCATTAGTCATCGAACCTTGTGGCCTTGTGGTACAATACGATTGGTATATGACCATTGACCATATAAGGTCAGATAACCGGAGATTGAGCTATGTGGAGCTCATGTTCCCATATTATGTTCCTACATCATTCCCTCACACTGACCAGATGTGTTAATACACACAACACCATTCTAACGAATAGTATTCAACACGTACAGGACTTGTTGATGTGCGGGTATATAATATAGCTAGTTCTTCTTACAGCGGAGTACACTGTTCGGTTAAGTTTTGTCAAGGTGAGCAGCAGTAAACTTAGGGACAGTATTTCGTACTCAACATTTCTCTAATTCTCGAACAAGACAAATATTAATATGATATCGTATTCGTTAGAAAGCTGACAAAAGCACTTTTCTTGGAGGGGTACAGATAAAAAATGCCTCTATCTTATCTTTGGGACTATCAGTGTTATTAGCTTGAAACCCGAGTAACACCACCTCTTGGTCGAAACATTACGACCAATCAGCGAGAGGTACGTCAATCACGTGACACAACCCCACCAACCATGGAGTCGGAAGGGAAGCGGGCAGTGTAGAAGGGTTATTGAGTTACAGTAAAGATAAATACTGGGTCATATTACTGGTCCACAGTTGACGACAAGGCGTTACTCTCCAAGTAGCTCTCTCTCCCCCTCTCTCTCTCTCTCTCTCTCTCTCTCTCTCTCTCTCTCTCTCTCTCTCTCTCTCTCTCTCTCTCTCTCTCTCTCTCTCTCTCTCTCTCTCTCTCTCTCTCTCTCTCTCTCTCTCTCTCTCTCTCTCTCGCGACACTCAACAGTGTAATAACTGTGTGCACTGTGCAGCGTGTGAGCTATCGAGTACATTCTGTACATTATATCAACTTCCCTTTGCACATTTCTACAGATGCTGAAGCTTTACTAGTTTTAGCAGATAATGTTGGTGGGTTTCCTCACAACGGAATAAGGTTCAAACTTACAGCCAATCTGCCAGGTCAACGGTATTTTTGCAAAGCTTATGAACGTAAAGATGTATAACTGCAAAATGTCACAGGGTTGGTTCAATGCTAGTTGATCACTTTACAATCAATGATCGGTGAGATCTAGATTCTAGATCTGTATAATTTCAATACTTAAATGCTAGACATCTGCCTTATAAAGTGTAATATAACCGTTATCTAAGTGTTATATATGACTTGCAGCAAACTGTACAGTGTAATGATAACTTATTTCATAAATTGTATCAAAAACTGTAAAATGTACAGTTCGAGGAGTAGAGGCGAGCCCCATTGCATGTGCGATGTATAAATCTTGATATCTTATTTGTTACCGGAAACAATTGAATACGACTATTTCAGAATAGTAACAAATTGTGAAACATATATAAACTAATGGTAATGTTATCGCAATATTATTGTAATCAAAATAACTCATGTAATTTTAATCTAGATTGAAACGGAGTAAAAATCAAACAACGCGGCCTAAGGGCTGCACGAAAATTGTAAAAGATTATATAACTGTATTTAAAAAGTAACAAATATTAGGGATTGCGTTTCGACTTCAATATGAACGAGCTTGATGACTTGATAACTTGATGGCCATGTGTTGCAATTTTGTACAAAAAAAACATGAAATCACTATCAAATTTTTCCGAATCAATCCGTTCAAAGTTGAAAAGATAACCACCTCGTGTCTTTACAAAACAAAAAATCAAAAGCTAATCAATGAGCTCTCCCATGCTGAAAAGACATGTATTTTATATAACCAGGTGATAGGACCATGAGGGGCTCTTCACGTATTGAGATATATATGAAAAACTAGAATATCTATGTACGACGCGCAAGCCGATCATTCTGGTCGAGGTGGCGCCATGTAACCATGATGTTACTTCGTTACCCTCTATTTCAGTAATCCTTTCTCGAATCGTGGGAGGAGATCGTCGATTTCTTCTAATTCGTCAGCCTGCACGACCAACGCCTTGAAACCCTGAGGAGACGACCGAGATAAGAATAAAATATCAGATAATCCAGGGTTATTTGATTTAATCATTTTGTAACAATAATGCCTGTTTCACTCTTATAACAATAATTGATAAATATTTCTGATAGTTGGCCTGCTCTTTCTTGAGTTTCAATATTATATCTGTTTATTTATTTTTAAATATCCGACCGGAGCGGCTAAGTCAAGGATGCTATAAAATATCCATATAAAATTTCGTAATTACATGCCCGTAAGACTTACATCAAGAGCATCAACGAATCCTTTGGAAGATGAAGCAAATGTCATTCTAGACTTCACTTTCACTCCATCAGGGCACCATTTTATCAAGATTTCTTTTCCGGTAAGCCTACCGTCGATTTTATCGACATAATCGAAGTACATAATTATCCATCTCGGTTCATTCTTCTGGTTGTCATCAGCCAACTCTGAAAAATTAAGAAAAAATAAGAAAAAATAAGAACAAAATAAGAAAAAATAAGAAAAAATAAGAACAAGTTAGATATCTAGAAAAATGTTAGACAACCAAAACATTCAATAAATTCAGGAGATTAGGATAATCAACGAGGTCATTTGTATTATTAGTGTAACCCGACCTTCTGCCGGAATTGCCCAATCGCAGTTAAAACAGTCCGAAAGTATGATTTTTGGTTTTGGTTTTTGGAGCAAACTTGCCACATAAGTCCAGGATCGAAATCGAAGTATACATGGTGGCCCAGACTGATAATTAATATATATATAGAATGCTTTTATATGAATTTAAAAATAATTAAAGACAGTTCATACCTGCAGCGAGGAGTTCTTTAAGTGCTTTGATTGTTTCTTTCGTTTCTACAGCAGCTTCGTTTACATTGTAGTGGTGCATTGGTAGCTGCCATTTGTCAGCATCCGGGATGATTTTCTGAGAGCAAAACGTAATATTAACGTAATTAGATATACATTACACGAGCTTTTGAAATATCTTTTAACTGTTCGACTAACTTTAGCAAAGCAAATTTCTGACTGACACGTTCATCATCATCTCAAATTATTTGTTTCCTAGTAGTGATGAAAGTGTTAAATGTAGTATTAATGCTTTTCAAACAAAGTTACAACGAATTCTTCATGTAGTGCATCCTGGGTTTGGACAGGATATGCCCATTTAAAATATTTCCATCAAGTTACATTACATAATTCTCTATAAATGTAATAGATTTGTAGTGTTGTAATTAGTTTAAAACATAGTAGTCTTTAAAATTTTTAAAGTTCTTCCACATTTTATAATTAATAATCTTTCTAGGCACTAATTAGACATTTGAACCTGAGAGGAATATTTATGCTATTCTTAAGAAGATCTATAAATTAGATTAAATATTTAAGGGAATCGATTATTCAGTGAGGGTCTTTAAGTGGTGGATAATGGTTATTATATGTAGAATTCAAAGATGTTCTCTGAGAGAAGATCCTTTTCTAGACAAATTATTTGTCACAAATCCCACGAATTAAACAATAACTCCTTTCAAGCATCAAATTTAAATATCAAATTTGTAGTCCACATTCATAATCTAAAATAGTAAATTTCAGATGTTTAAAAATCAAGAAATAGGATTTCAAAATAACTTACTTGGTACTTATCATTGACGCGGAAGGTGATAACTCTTCTTGATTTTACTTTGCCACTATGGAACTCCAACCACATAGCATTACAACTCTCGTCAACAGCAACTCCAGAAGTCATGGCTTACAGTAGATGGATTACTTTCCTACTGATTTATTCGAAGGGTTAGTATTCAAATAATGTTTAAGGCAAGTTTTGATATTATGATTAATATACAATTTATTTCAAAGATATGTTCAATCGATTATGGGGAAACTAGAGAATTTGTGACATACATGGGGGACATTATGATGATGAAAATCTTTCAAAAATAACTGGTTACAATGAGCATTTTATTAACAATAAATAATAGAGATCAAAAACTTTAATTTCCAACAGAAAATTTAACATTAAACAACACAAAAATCATTAATTTGTTATTCTGAAATGATCACACCCCCAGCTCTGTCTGATTGGAGTCATTTTTCACCATCTTGGCAGTTCTAGAAGTTTTCGAAGCAAGCAGCTATACCATCGCACATATGAACTCCATGACTTTAGTTTATGGCTGTTACAGCAGATGATAAATTAAATTATTCGCTATTTTGATTTATTAATAATAATTACTTGAACTGTTTTCTTTCATCCCACTCTCTGCTATAGAGATAGTTTTAATACTTTCAACACTACTATATAACAATTAATTTGAGGCTCTAAAGATGTAGTTTATTTACAAAGGATTGAAGCCTAACATTGTGTGTTTCCCTTTGTGTCCGAATGCAATATAGGTTTAATATATCTTGGTTTGCTCTGACCAGATCAGAAACAGGACAGGATATATACAAAGATGTTGTGTACAGTGCTGGGTATCTCGTGGAAGGACAAATGCAAAGTCAGCAATGTTACTTTGTAAAATAAATATCTTTAACTATACAGTGCTAATTAAAATTTCTTTATACTTTGTTCTCAAATTAAATTTTTTAAATTCAAAAATATATGGTTCATAGCGGAGTGAGTTGTGTCCACCTTAACAACATTGGAAAAATAGACTTCAATTTGTTTATATAATTCATAAAATATAAAGCGTATATTATTGCCCACGTTAAGGGGCCTGTTAATAATTTATTAAATTATTAGCTATTTTAGATTTAATAATAATGTGTCCACCTGCACCCCCAGTACTTGCCTGGTTTTACAAAGCAGTCCAGCTTAATTTTATGTCGAGCATTCTCATGGAACAAATATGGAAACTCCCCGAGTACAGTGTGCTAAATCACTACTGCTATACACATTTAAAAGTTCAGCAATATTGGTAGCAATGGACCATCTCCCGATTGCAACACTCGATTTGATTGTGCTCTGCCAATAGTATTACTTGATTTAATTGGATGTATATATTGTTTGAATGACCTTTTTACTACAATACACCACTACTATACACTCGATCTTCGAGATTTTTCTAAAAGGGACAGACAGGGGATCGATGTGTTTTCAAACGCTGATTCCGAATCACCCCCACTTGACATAGAGTTACCAGCTCACAAAGGCTATGATGGTAATGAAAAGATAGACTCTCTTGCCAAAAAAGATTCTGATAACTTGGATTCTGCCCAAATGCCACTTCCAATCCCAAAATTATTATGGAAAGGAGCACTGTGGAGTATAAGTCTTCGAAAAATGAGGGAAAGGTGGATGACGTTGCCCAACACTTTCTTCAAACGAGTATGGAGAGACAAGTTCGCCAGCTCAATCCCGAAACTTGGTAAAGAGAGTACCAGAACAGCAGCAAAATTCCATACTGGACGCTGAATTAAACTACTATCTTAACAATTTCAAGCCGACAACTATCCCCAAAACTTGTCCACAACGTCTCATGGAAGAGGAGACAATGGACCACTTTATTGGTCAATGCCCGAAGAGAAGAAATAATTTCAAACAATATACACATAAGAAAAACTCGAGTTTTGTATGTTATTAAGGATCAGTGGGGCCCAATGGGCAAAGCCTTAAAATATGCAATACCCATCGATGCTCATGCCGATTTGACCAAAAATTGAAGAATAAACAGGCAAAAAACAAACAAAAGCTGTGGTCATACTTGTGCATGTAAGACTAGACTTAAAAAAGACCAGTCTTGGTTGAGCTGGATATAAAAAAAACATTATAGATAAATTCAAACAATATACACATAATATAGCAATGACCCTATATAAAAATTCTGTAAAAATGGTACAAATTTAAAAACTGAGGAAAAAATAAAACCCTTTGTAATAACATATAAAATCCACTAATTCACATCACAACAAAAGCAGTTTAGACCCCCATCCAACAAGCACTCCATGACCTTTTAGGGTTTAAGAGTGTTGATCAGGTTAAGGTCCAAATCACTTATTGCCGTGGGTGGAAGGGTTCTGGTACCTCTGTACCCCCTGATAGAGATTATACAGGTTCTGAGTAGATCAAAACGCAGTCTGCGTCTGACAAATGACATCACATCACAATACCGTTGGCTTTTCTTTAGGCTGATCTTTTCAGCGAGATGTTTTAGGAACTGTGAAGCCTCAGTTGCCATTCCTCCTGTATAGTAGTACTGAACACCAGTGGCGTGAAGGTAGCCTTTTCAACATGCTACTTCGTAGCACTTGCCATCGGGCCAACATTTCGAGAAGAAAGCGGCGCGCGCTACTTCGAAGAAATTTAGACGAGTAATAAAACAAATATTTAATAAAACAAATATTTATTTTTAAGGCACAATCAAACAATATCAATAATAAATAAATCAGGGGAGGTTTGAAGAGGTTTCAAGTGCCGAAGGCCACTGCTTATCTTTAGGATTTGAGAGTGACCTGTGCTTGAAACCCCCTCAACCATCCACTACGTCAATATAATACTTATTATACAAATATAGAAAAATATAATTATCTAAGCTAAAATTGCTTATTGGTCTAGTTTGGTGACATAGGAGAGCCCAGTTGAGTTTTAGTTTAGGTTTATGTTTTAAATCATAGTTTGAAAGGTTAGCCATGTTTCATGGCAGAGAGAGATATCATGTGTGCAGAGCCGTACCAGATGTAGAATTTAAGATATAATATAGATTAGTTACCATATATTAGGGTCACCTCGATTTTGGAGGGATAGCAAGTGCTTTTTAAGGTTAGATTTAATAATACCTGACGAGGCTGATAAGTCTGAATTTTTGGAAGAACCCGGGATTATTATCCCATCTACATTAGCATCACATATTTCGAATACATAGGGGATGAGATCATTCCATATTTCCGTAGAGGTGTACAAGAAGTTCTGTTGGGAGATATCTAACCTCAGTAATGGGACAATCAGACGAAGTTTTTCATTTCTAGGACAGAACTTGAAAAGATCTTTAATCGACTGGGGGACATCAAATTTAAGAATTTTGAATAGCTCCATAAATGTATGGTACATGTGCAGATTCTCCAGGTTCATAATTTTCTGCTCAGTGAATAGCGGTTTAGTGTGTTCAAGACAGTAGTTCTTTTTAGCCATATGTTCGTTATAAGTTCTTGAACGTGCACAGGTTAAGGAGTATACTTTATGATCAAAATTGGGAATGTTACCAAATAGCAGTCGTATACATCGTTTTTGAATAGCAAAGATTTTATTCAGCTTATGTTTAGGGATCCCACCCCAGCAATTTATACAATAGCTAAGATGTGACATAAAAAGAGCATTGTATAGTTTCAAATATTCAGATTTGGGAATGAATTTGCAAATTCTCTTAATCGATACAATACTGGAGTTCAGCTTTAAAGATAAATGATTAAGATGTGGTTCCCAACATAGCTGTTCGTCTATTATCACCCCAAGAAATTTTGTACATTGAACTTTTTCTAGCTTTTTGCCATCTATTGAAATCGTTAGATTCCTGTTAAAGTGCCGTGTTCTAGCACAGGTCTGTGTTGCTCTTGACAAACCTGGCTGAAAATGCATAAAACAACTTTTCCCTGCATTTATATGTAACTTGTTAGACTCCATATAGTTACTGACCTGTTTCATTACATGATTAGCTTTTTCAAAAGCTTCCTGTGCTGAACGACCTATCACAAAAATATTTGTATCATCAGCAAACAGGACGAATTCAGCCAAACTTGAGGAGCTCACAATATCATTTATATAAATCAGAAATAGTAGAGGTCCTAACACTGACCCCTGGGGTACACCGTACTCAACTGAACACTTGTCCGATTTTTCAGTTTGAAAAGAAGTTACTTGGCTACGGTTTGTTAGATAGCTAGAGAGTTTTTAGTGCAATACCTCTTACTCCATAGTGTTCAAGTTTATGCAGGAGTTTATCGTGCTCAATTGTGTCAAATGCTTTACTTAGATCAATAAATATTCCAATTACATGATTTTTCTGTTCAATCTCATTAAGTATTTTATTGACAGAATAGTTTACGGCATGAGATGTTGAGTGTTGTTTTCTAAAACCAAATTGTCGATCATAAATCACGTTCATAGCACTGAGGTAATTATATAACCTATTATAAATTATTTTTTCAAGTATTTTGCCAAATATCGGTAACATCCGTCAATCTACCTGTCATTCCGCCGAATTTTTATTCGGGCTGAGTGAATTACGACCTCCATCGCCCTTTAAAAAAACGTGCGAATGCTCATTGGATGTTCGAACGCACGTGACTAGCATTTACGTGATCATTCAGAACCAATTACAGCCGCGCAAAAGATCACGTGCACGCCAACTACCAATAAGAAGTAAAATAAAATTTTGCCTGGGGTCCCCAGGTAGTAAAACAAAACTTGTCCTTTACGCAATACATATATATAACTAGTGATCTATCAGAAATGTTTAGTGCACGCAGTGCAGGACAATATTGGCTTAACAAGTTTTGACACGAAGGTAAAAAGGGCTCTAGCCATCAACCCACCCAACGATTTTGGCACCACTTTACAGTGGTGCCAAAATTACCCGCGCTTTTGTCCTCATATGCGACGTGTGTAGCCTTTCAGACATTGATTGCGTAAACGGAGTGTCGTACGTCACCTCAAGATCGGGTGACAGGGGGCTGACCATGCCCGAACCTAATTGATCATTGATTGGGTCTGAGGTCACGTGATTATGAGCCTATGACTTCACCAGACCTTGTCCTCCGTTTCCCGCTCATTGAACCAGGTGAGCTTGCATGCTTGTTAATGTAGGTGTTGTCATACGTTGTATGACCCGCCTCGCACGAAGTGCGCGGCTCCCCCTGTAGCGTCGAAGACGCTACAGGGGGTCATAGCCGTTTTGCAAACAATAACAAACCAAAAGGGAACTCAGTCAGTTCCCTCCATAATAAAGCGCCGCGCCATACGTAGTTGCACTGAATATTTGTGTGCTGCTAATATGAATTGTTTGCGGAGGGTTGCTATAACCTTTTTAACTATGAAAGTATGTGGCCATTTATAATAGATCTATTTTATTTGTGTAGTGTTGCTAAGCTTTTAAAATATGAAATTATTTGGCCACATAAAGATCTATTTTAAAATGCTTGCGGTGTAAACGGAATGAATGTCACATTGATTTTTAAGTTAACAATAACAGTTAATTCGTCTAGTCTGCACTCATGTGTGATGACCATTATGTGTCTGCCTTGTCAGTTGTCATTAAGTTTTGCGTCGTAACTCGTGACCCTCTTCATCATTTCATTTAATAACTTCTGCAACTTCGGCCCTGCTTTAATAAATTGATACTGGTAATTTCGTTTGTCGAAAGTTTGGCATTCTCATCCTCGTTTTGGCTTAAACTGTAATTTAAAAGTATTAATTTCAGGAATTAATTTAAAGGCACCGTTCCGACTGGACCTGTTTCTCATCTTTACTGGCTACAGTGTCAGCTGTTGTATTACACTTACACTCCTCTATACACCCCTTATTTGTCTTAAACTTCTCCCGCATTTTAAACTCTGGTTACCATCATGGAGACAGCCTTAAGTAGAACATACGTTCGTGATTTCAGCAATTAATTTAAAGGCACCGTTCCGACTGGACCTGTTTTTATTACTATAAATGTAACTCTATGTAATATTTTTTGTTTACACTTGGTTTTGCTGTCATCTACCCGTACAATTAACGATTAATCCAAATATGGGCATGTCGTCCAGTGTCCACTATGTCTGTAGTCTGTACTTCAGTTATTTGTCCTCATCTTTACTGGCTGCAGTGTCAGCTGTTGTATTACACTTACACTCCTCTATAAACGAATGGGTCTTATTTGTCAAGTTTCCGACTCTTTCGCCCCAATTTTATTTGGAACTTCGTTCTTCTTAAAACTTCTCCTGGAGAAAGCCTTAAGTAGAACATACGTTCGTGATTTCAGCAATTAATTTAAAGGCACCGTTCCGACTGGACCTGTTTCTCATCTTTACTGGCTGCAGTGTCAGCTGTTGTATTACACTTGCACTCCTCTATACACCCCTTATTTGTCTTAAACTTCTCCCGAATTTTAAACTCTGGTTACCATCATGGAGACAGCCTTAAGTAGAACATACGTTCGTAATTTCAGCAATTAATTTAAAGGCACCGTTCCGACTGGACCTGTAACTCTATTACTATAAATATAACTCTATGTAATATTTTTTGTTTACACTTAGTTTTGCTGTCATCTACCCGTACAATTAACGATTAATCCAAATATGGGCATGTCGTCCAGTGTCCACTATGTCTGTACTTCAGTTATTTTGTCCTCATCTTTACTGGCTGCAGTGTAAGCTGTTGTATTACACTTACACTCCTCTATAAACGAATTGGTCTTATTTGTCAAGTTTCCGACTCTTTCGCCCCAATTTTATTTGGAACTTCGTTCTTCTTAAAACTTCTCCTGGAGAAAGCCTTAAGTAGAACATACGTTCGTGATTTCAGCAATTAATTTAAAGGCACCGTTCCGACTGGACCTGTTTTTATTACTATAAATGTAACTCTATGAAATATTTTTTGTTTACACTTGGTTTTGCTGTCATCTACCCGTACAATGTCCACTATGTCTGTACTTCAGTTATTTTGTCCTCATCTTTACTGGCTGCAGTGTCAGCTGTTGTATTACACTTACACTCCTCTATACACCCCTTATTTGTCTTAAACTTCTCCCGCATTTTAAACTCTGGTTACCATCATGGAGACAGCCTTAAGTAGAACATACGTTCGTGATTTCAGCAATTAATTTAAAGGCACCGTTCCGACTGGACCTGTAACTCTATTACTATAAATATAACTCTATGTAATATTTTTTGTTTACACTTAGTTTTGCTGTCATCTACCCGTACAATTAACGATTAATCCAAATATGGGCATGTCGTCCAGTGTCCACTATGTCTGTACTTCAGTTATTTGTCCTCATCTTTACTGGCTGCAGTGTAAGCTGTTGTATTACACTTACACTCCTCTATAAACGAATTGGTCTTATTTGTCAAGTTTCCGACTCTTTCGCCCCAATTTTATTTGGAACTTCTGTTCCAAATAAAATTATTATAGTGTCAAGTCAACACTGTTGACGTGACTATTATATTAATAAATTAATCGACTCTAGAGATTTTGCTTTTATATTTGAAACAACTACCGTCCACGAAGGATTATATTTATTGCTATTTTATTTTATACTTACCAGAATCTGATTTCTCTATTAGATGTGTTGAAGTCAAAGATAATACTGGATTTTTGTTCGACCTTATACTTTTCTGCTGAAGCTCCATAACGGTCAACACGTATAATACCTCTCTGGGAACCTATTTGTGCATTCATGAAGGATGAAACCCGAAGGTGAGTTATGGACTTATTCTAAATTCTAATATTCTCATAATATCTAACTGCTTCCCTACTTACCCCTAACTTGAGTGCTTGTGAACCACATCAAAACCCTGATTTATCATACACCACGATTAATCGCACAAGTTGTCTTTCCCTCAAACTGCAAACTGAGCAGTAAATCGTGGTGTTACTGTACATGGTTTGCCTGGTGAATACCATGATTACAATATTAAGTTATGATAACAATTCTTCTAACCCTTAACACATTACGCCCACTTTGCAGTTGACGAACAGAGAAAAAGTCATATCTTGGGATATGGACCGATACATCAGTTGATCTTTGAATAAGAGGTGAGAATTAATTTTAAATATATCGATTTTGTAGGGTTTAATTTTATTATGAGGTCCTATTATGCATCATATAATGGGTTCGGAATGATACTATCATGCCACACAAGTCAACATATCAGAACAAGTCAAGTTACACGGCCACAAAGATTTTCCAATTAGACAATGTACCAGTCCTGCTTGAGTTGATCGGATCTATATAATATATCAGATTTGTCCTAGTTTGTCGGTCAACTGCTGTCAGAATCAAGTTTCATGACCCCCCCCCCCCCTCGCACAGACAAATACTACTGATAAACATCCTGACTCATATACTGATGTAATCTAGCAGTTTGGCTAGAACTATGCCAACAATAATTGATAGGTGAACTGTGCTGAAACCGTGCCAGATTATCTGGCATTACTAAAATATTGCTTGTGATTGTTAATCAGTCACCCGTCTAATTGTAGATGATGGTTATCACTGTAATAGTCCGAAGGTCGCAAACTTGCTCTGTTCCTCAACCCATATCGTGGTTCTGGTTCCGGTATCTCTTGATCACTTGATGGTTCTGTTCTCCAGCATCCAGCTGATCTGTGCCTTTATCACTATAGTCTCACGATGCAAACGTTGAGTTTTTACTTTCCTGTTCTTCTAAAAATCCGCTCCATCGATCACTTTCTACTTTAATTATTTAATTCCGTTAGAGGAGTACTCCTTATTGATATGCAGTAGCTGATAGACTCGCAGTCCCTAGCCGTGTACTTGTCCGAGCAATTAAAATCAATTAGGGATTGTGCTGATAGGAGAATAATGATAGTGGGGAATGTGGCAGTGTAAATATGAACCTGGAATTTAGGATGTGTGGCTCATCCATTAATATTATTATTAGTTGCCGCTAGTCTGTGCCCAGTTTGTTCTGGCTTTTTTGTGTACAAGTATTATATACATATCATAGTTTATTTTTGTAATATCATATAATATATAGTACGTAATAATAACCATATCACTAATAACTAATTAACTAATTAACTAATTAACTAATTAACTAATTAACTAATTCACTAAACTAATAGGGGGGCAGTAATATGACCGTTATATCCATTAACTGTCAAACCCGTTGTTATCTTCTTAGTCCTGGAATATTATGTAATAGGAAACTGGGCCACGTGTCATTGTCATTTTCACTCTGCAGGTTCAAGAGCATGCGTTTTGTAGCCGATTTAAAAAGGTTTATGGAAAAAAGTTTGGGTAGGGCCGGGTGCTTACATTTGCATTTACAGCATAAATTGAGAGTAAAGGTTCTTTAAAGAACAAGCGAAAATCTGAAATATGTGGTGTTGCACTCGGCTAACCAGGAAGCTGCAGTCACGTGATCTGAGTTTGCAGAGGGTGCATTTTCTGGGATGGTCATACGGATTTGTTGAGTGACTGAGCTACGGAAGTGTTTGTTTCGGTGCATGAGAATTAGTGTGTTTTTTACAATAACACTGTGCACGGTGAGCATACCATTGTCATTGAAAAATTGTTTAGTGTGCTCTGGCAGTCGACCGTCTTTGTAAAAGTAATTAATGTAACCTGGCATTACTGCAGATGCAGATTGCAGCCTGATACCCTGTTTTTGTCGTGAGAAGAGTGATTCAGTATGATTTTTTGCTGCAAACCCCCATATAATTGAACAGAAGTTTAAATGCGATTGAACAAAACTTTGATATAAATGTCAATATGTTCATTATATGCAAGCCTCTTGATTTATAACTGTAGCCTTATTTGAATCGGTAGGTGATATAATTCCTACAGTAGGTGACATAATTCCATCATTTTTTCTAACAGCTGCGATATGCTTAGACCATGTTAATTTATCATCCATTATAACGCCAAGAAACCGTGCTTCCCTTTTACGATCTAATTGTGTGTCTGCAATATGAATATTTGGAGTATTGTCAGTATTTCTAACACCGAAAAGCATATAGCAGGTCTTTTTTAGATTAAGTGAAAGTCCATCACAGTCAACCCAGCGTACAAACTCGTGGGAGAATTGGTTGAATTTTGTATCGTGTGCATTTTTACCTTTTATTAGATGTTTAAAGACAAATACTACTGATAAACATCCTGACTCATATACTGATGTAATCTAGCAGCGTGGCTAGAACTATGCCAACAATAATTGATAGGTGAACTGTGCTCGGTTGGGCCTGGGTAACACTCAATCCCAGTCTTGAAACCGTGCCAGATTATCTGACATTACTAAAATATTGCTCGTGATTGTTAATCACCCGTCTAATTGTAGATGATGGTTATCACTGTAATAGTCTGGAGGTCGCAAACTTGCTCTGTTCCTCAACCCATATCGTGGTTCTGGTTCCGGTATCTCTTGATCACTTGATGGTTCTGTTCTCCAGCATCCAGCTGATCTGTGCCCAGTAATCGACCGGGATTCCCAGTACCGGGAATCCCGGTACCGGGATTGGCAATTATGAGCTATCCCGGTCCCGGTCAAATGCTGATTTATGATCTCGGTCCCGGTCCCGGTTAATTCAGGATTCTTGGTCCCGGTCAATCACTCAAATTTGCCGGGATTTTGGCCTGGATCTTTTACATAATTTTATTCACTGTGATTTTAAGTTTTTCCTTTCATTCATTTTGAATTTCATCTTTAAACATCCTCTGAGCCAAATAAAACAATGTTTAAAATTGCTAAACAAGTTTGAGTAATAAATTATGATCATGAATTAACCAGTAATCGGCCGGAATTCCCGGTACTGGGAATCCCGGTACCGAGATTGGCAATTTTGAGCTATCCCAGTCCCGGTCCCGGTCCCGGTCAAGTCACATTTTTCATCCCGGTCCTGGTCCCGGTCAAATTATGCGGATCCCCCAGACAACCATAACACGAGGTTAACGAAAATATGGAATATAATAACCCCTAACTTAAAAATATTTGATTATTCTGTTAGTATTTCTTGCCTGAAATCCACTTGCCAACCAGCATTGTCATGCCGTGCCAACCAGCATTGTCATGCCGTGTATGACTGGACAAATACAGATTTTGATATTATTAACCTTAAAATTTCGTAGGCTCCTGTAGGGATTCCACCTGACCTCCAAAATTTCATGACCAAATCGACTTACTCTGCCAGCTAAGCGTATTCCAGTTGAATGTGATGTGTGAGTGAGTAAGTGTAGTGTAAAGAGATCCTATTTTTGTATCCAATTTGAATTCTAATAAAGACCCTAAGCATTATGATCAAATTTTTAGTACAATAGTTATATCAGGGTTGACATCTATGATTAATATTATAACCCAACATTCATTTTTTTCTCCCCTAAATTTAAACCCCCGGCCCCCACTTAAGACATTTAGCCATGATTTAACACCCAAAATACTTACCGTCCTTAATAATTGTAAAGACCATTTGTTACAAAATAGCTTATGTCCCTAGAAGGGTGTTCTGCTAACAGTTTTCGACTGACTTGAATGTCCTGCACAGCAGATTGAAGCTTCTTAAATTATTTTTTATTCTTATTGTATTGCTGTGTAAATTTGATTCTAATTCTAATTCTAATTCTAATAGCTGCTAGAATAGTACATGCCAAATATTCCCTCTTACACCCACAAATTATAATGCCTTCCTATCAACCAGACTAGCGTTCTGGTGTGTTCAAAAGCTACCAGCCAGTACATTCCTTGCCCCGCTAGTTGATTGTCAAAAAACCATACAGCTCAGAACAAATGGCCATTTACTACTAAGAGCATTATATGTTTTCATTTGTTTACATTTTATGCTGTTTACTCTCCTGTACTTCTAAAAAACCGCTCCATCGATCACTTTCTACTTTAATTATTTAATTCCGTTAGAGGAGTACTCGCAGTCCCTAGCCGTGTACTTGTTAGAGCAGTTTATTAGAGAAACAGGTAACATTGCATAGTTTATAGTGTGTGTCACTGATAAAATCAGTGATATTTACGGCAGATGCCAGATCCTGTAATAAAACGGAATCATAGCTTATAATATTTTTTATAGATTACAGCGGCTACACTCCTAAATTTGCTTCGCACACACCATACACATTTGTACATTCTAATTTCCATTGATAGATATATTCGCACGTGTGCGCGGCTCTGATCACGCCACAGCCCACAATTAATTGGCAAATATCATATTAGAGACACACCGAATTATAGACCAAAATGTGTCTAAGAGTTTTATGTAAACCACACTTGCTTCAGCATTTCTGCCAAAATTTGAGTGTGCATCACCGGAACTTCGAGATTTGCGTGAATTGTCGAGTTGTACAGACAGATCCGTCTGATAAAATCGATCTGCCGACACACAAAGCTTACAAAAGATTTGTGTCTTAATATATAGGGTGGGCCAAAAGTCAGTGGGCATACGTTGGCCTTAATAGCTCCGCTGTGTTTTATATTTTAGAGCTGTTGCTTTGCAGATGGCATACTGTACTTACTGGTTCGAGGATTTCGTCGTCAAAATTTGAAAATTCGAATATTTTAGACCACGCCCATTCAATATTAAAACACCTATATTGTTTTCTCTGAACATGCTGAACGCCTATTTTTTCAGAGACGGTAGATTATTAAATGTTGCATATGATCCGAAAACATGAGGCAAAACGGATTAGAAATGACCAAGTTATCAAGCATTTTCTGTATCTTGTTAACAATATTGACTGGGTGATTATGTGACACCGTGACACGACACCTTAATTGGGCACCCTTAACAATTCCCATAATGTTTAACGGGGTGGTTAACGGGGGTCACCTAATCACGTGATTAGGTAAACCAATCTCCTGATCACACGTAATGAATAAACTCGTTATGCTTCATATCTCTGTCATCTAAGAAGTTACAGTTCTAATTTTTTCAGGACAAACGTAATTCGAATGGCCAAACACAATTCAATAAAATTTAGCTCGATTCGACTATCAAAACTATTATATAAAAACTATATCAAATTAATGCAAAAATGAACCTTCATTTGAAAAAATTGAACTCTAATATTTATCGATTTGACAAATTCCTCGAACTAGTGGTGGTAGTAAGTCATACCAGAAAGAATTATTTCAATTGGGCACTCAGTGATTGAGCTATTAAGGCCACCCTGTATATATATAAGGCCACTTTTTGCCACTTAACCGCTTTTCTTGTTTGTCAAATAACTTTAGTTGTGAACATCGTTAAAGGTTGCAGATTTATCGAGGGTGTTCATATAATCAGGAAGACAATTTTACGTAAGATAATCAGTTAATTGGATAATAAGCAATAAGCTAATGAGCAAAAATTTAAAAACTTTTTTATAGGCTCAAAATGATTGGAATAGCTTAAAACACGGAGAAAAGTAGTTTTTAGTTATCAGGAATTACTAAGTCGAAAGGGCTGAAACTGAAAAACGTTAACCACAGGGTATTAGAGTTTCATAATTAATTTATATTAACTAATAAAGAATGGCTATTCTATAATAGACACCAGATACACCACATTTTACTAGCTCTAATATTGTTCAGATACACCAGACTTTATTAGCTCTACTATTATAATTGTGGAGTTATACCAGACGTAGACGTCACTAGTTCTTATATTGTTAATATACACCATACTTCACTAGTATTTATATTGTTACGATACACCAGACTTTAGTAGCTCTAATGTTGTTCAGATACACCAGAATAGCTCTAATATTATAGATATACTAGGAATAATAGAGGGGGCCAAAAGTCCCGTTACACACGTGTTTAATATTTATAACTATTCATTCGAGAAGTCTGTCGTCAACATTCGAAAATTCGAATATTTCAGACAATATTAAATCCCAATAATGTTTTATAATGATTTATTTTTCAGAAACTCAGCAACCGCTGCAAGAATTGAAATGCCGAAAATCATTTGAAAATTCTCGTCGATTATATGTTGGGCCATGCGTTTGATCATCTATGGAGATTGGAGGTCACTCTGATTTAGTTATTGAAAAGGAAATGTAAAACCAAGGTATGTGATATATGTTGCAAGTGACCATGTGGTCAAGTATTCATTTCTAACCTCCGGTTTGTGCTACCAAGCATTGATTCAGTCGATATTGGTCGCTCTGCATGTTGTTTTAAGTTACTTTTCAAATAGATCCAATGCTGGATTATATTAATGAGCTATTAATATAAAATAAATCCTTTTGGGTATGCTTAAACAAATCTTTACGTATCATGAATAATCTAATGTGACATAATATATTTCAGGAGACTGAAGAAATCCAAAGATAGAGCCAAAAAAGACAGTCAGAGGACCAATTTGATTAACCTTAACAAGAAGAAGGCCGAGCTGGATGAACAGATATTGCTCCGCAGCTCGTTTCCTAGACCCTACTTCATAAAAGTATCCCCATCCTCAACAGATCCTCAACATACAGCAGAACCTCAACCTCCAGCAGAGAAAGACAATTTTAAGTATTCCCGACGAAAATGGTCAATTCTCAGATTCAAAAATTCTCAACAATAGTCATGATCACCCAGATGTTCTGCCTAGGGTGAATGTTAAGACCACTAAGTATTCCGAAATGTGTTCTATGAATAAGCTAGATGGTATATTTAAATTGTCTTGGTAAGAACGTGCCAGTAACTGAGCCGCATATTTTAAAGGGATTAGATTTATCTATGTTTTGTCTTAAAGAACCATTTACTTCTGAGCTGCCCTGTCAAAATTAAAAGGGCGTATAGGTTGTTTCGGCAAAAGTTTCCTTAAATTATTGATGGACGATGTTAAAGATCGTAATTTGGTTATGAATACTTCCGAAGAATTGAGTGATTATGAAATAAAGGATATTGCCCGCTGTAGACAATGTTGGAGTATCCTTTAAATGTAGTTTTTTTTGCACATTTTACGGTTTGAAGATGTTTTAACCATGGTAAATTAGGTACACGTACTCAAGTTCGACACGCACTGTAGTTCGTCACTTATACTGTAGTTCGACAAACCCTAAGATTCGACTCTGTCGAACTCGAACCAAAGTGCTCTATCTGGACTCAAGTTCGACACTCACTTAAGTTCGACAAGAGAACTTAGACTGTCGGACTAAGGTTTTGAAATCTCCAATATCAAGCAACGATCCGTTATGAGCTTGAAATCTATTCGTTTGTTTGTTCTCCGCTTGTCTCATGCTGTTCAATTATGTTTGAATGTAATTTCTATAATCCACATCTGTGGACATTAATTAATTGACCTCATACTCAATTGTTAGTTAGCGGAGTTGTAGGCTTAACGGAGAGATAAAAGAGTAACGTGGTAACTCTTACTTCGTTTTATAGATCTAGACTCTAGAGTATGCTATGTAAATACAAGGGTCGACCTCGGCCTCGGTTTTACCGAGGAATAGCGATTTTTCCTCGGCCTTGGTCAGGAGGACAATTCCTCGGTTTGCCTCTGTTTTTTATCAAAGACCCTCGTATAAATATCTAACACATACCACACTTTATGTATTGTCACAAATGACTAGTAGTAGTAAGCGAGTACCGGAGACCAGTCCAGAGATTTGGCTGCTGAACCGGAAACCGTCTGATATCAATCTTTTTTCTTTGAAGCACTGATCTATGTTAATTTATATTGCAGATGAATTTTAGTTGTGTTATACATTAATATAAGGATACCAATAATACAATTTTGAGTTATATGAGGTGAGTTTTGTAAATCGTAAATATCGTGACTAAAATTCTGGCTTTACTGATTGAATTTGGAATATTTTTTCTGATTAAAATGCCGGATTAACTTATTTAATTTGAAAGATGCTTTCTCGTCTTATCCAAGTATCGACATTTCAAAAATAATCAATCTACCGAGACTTCAGTGTTCATACTAAAATAAGAATAAGAAGGAGAAAGTGTTGCTAGTTAGAAAATTGTAAAAAGTAAGGGTTTAGCTTTCAGTCAACGATCACGTCATCAAAGAATTTAACATGTAACTTCAAAATCAAATAGTCTAGAACCTTCTGAGATGACTCTCCCGTACACGCGGTAACAATTTAGTACTGAGTCTACTGCCCCGCGCACGCGAGTTCTTCTCGTCCAGTTGCACCTGAGATTTCTCGCGAATCTCGCAATTCGGATGACACCCACTATAGTGAAGCGACCGTGGGGGTCACCACGTGATACAATGTAGGTGTAAGTACAGCTGTACTGTAGTTTATACCTAATTAACCCCTATACACTTAGGGCATGTCGTGATATCATGGATCGCTTAGGTTCCACCAGGATCTGGTAGTCCTCATAATTCTGCGGCCTCTATGTATCGTCATCTCGTACACAGTATACACTGTCACTATGCACTATAGAAACCTGAAAAGTGGTAACTGCATACTGGAGGGAGAAGTGCCAAGACTACATGCGCTACATAGACGCTGTTGTCAACACTGCGCACGCGCGCACGAACCTTCCCATCGGGGTTCGTGGATAGGTGCTTTTCTTGACTTGTGAAACAAGCACGCCCGAAGTGGCGCGAAAGCACATGGTTAGGTGAAACACGAAGCAACGTGTGCGTTTTGCTTTTACCAGAGCCCTTAACTTGCGCTTGCAGTTGCTCTATCATATATCCAGATTTCTTGCGCTTGCAGTAGCGCTTGCATGCTTCCCGGCGGTTCTTTACTTGTGAAACATCAAACATGAAACAGCGGCGCAAAAATATATGGTCAAGTAAACACTTGCAGTATTTGCAGTATTTACTTGTATTTATTTGTGATTAACGCGTCACGTTATATATGCGTTAGCACAAATCATAATGAATGCGCGTTAGCGGTTAAATATATTTATGTTATTGTTTAAAAAATATAGTTACTGTTATGTCTTATACCTCTGCTGTAAATTTTAAAATGTTTAATAATTAACAGACCAATTTAAAGAAGGTGCAGTTTATATTTTTCCCTCGAAAGCACACTCCCCAAATTGCGCGCATTGTAGTTCTAGTTACTTCTTTCATGAAACTTCGTGAATCGAAATTAAATCTTTTACAATGTCAAATGTACTAATATACAATATAAGAATCAATTTTTAGAATGAAATTAATAAGTCCAGAAACGCTACTGTCTCATTTATCTGTGAAAAGCTCAATAGCCTAAGTACATTTTGTTACAAAAAATTATTTAAAAAATTCAATTAGAAGGATTTAAGAAAGATATGATTTCTAAAAGTATTACAAATGATTGTTTCTTTGGAATGTTTAGCTATGATATATTCTTAATCAAATATTAAGTATGGCCAAGCTATGTAGGGTTTTTTTATCTGAACGATGTCAACAATCACATTGCGAGTCGTTTGCAACTCTCCGAACGTCTCTAAAACCATCATAGCACACAGACAAAAAACTGCATACATATTAATAACCATTAATAATAATACCTGTTTCTGGTATCAGAACCTTGTATTACGTAATTTAAACCGAAAAAGTCACATGCCCCACAGAAGCATGGTTTCATGCCCCTCAAAAGCTGTCCAAATTAGACTTGACATATCTCAGCATTTTCATGTGACTTGTACATTGTAAGGTTTGATATGTTTTGAAGGATAGGATATTGACCCACCATTCCACCATGGACCAAAATTATTGCTAATCTTTACTTGGAGCCACAAGGCCAAGGGTAATTTTTGATTTTTTAGGAAACTTTTTTAATTCTTAAAGGGTAGATTTTATATAGGGTCATTGCTATATTATGTGTACAAGCAGGAACCCGTCTAACCCTAAAGTGGTGTCAAGACTCGAGAGACTAAAATAATTATTACCTATTTAATTCGCGTTTTTGACACCACTTGGGAGTCCAAATTTCGGGCACTAAAATTATTATTCCTTGGTCAATTTTTTATTTTTTCATACTGATTCTACATTAATGACTTTTCATCTCTCCTGAAATCTGTTGGTGACTATCCAGTTCTTGCTGACGTTCTGATATCACATCTGCTGTGGGCTGACGATCTTGTCCTTCTTGCTCTAAGTCCCGAGGCCTTGCAAGTCAATATCAACATTCTATTTGATTTCTGTAACTCCATGGGCCTTGAAGTAAATATTAAGAAAACTAAGATTGTAATATTCAGCCCTCCCAAACGAAAGCAGTCCTATGAAACATTCACATTGGGAGGTCAGCCCATCCAGCACACCGATAATTACTGCTATCTTGGCATAATATTCCACAGAAATGGATCGTTTACAGCAGCAAATACTGAGCTGAGGGCCAAGGCTCTCCGTGCTCTCTATGGCCTCAAAGGCAAAATAGTTAAGGATGCCCTCTCACACCGTGCCCTTAATATTCTATTTGACTCCTTAATAAAACCAATCCTGCTTTATGGCTGTCAAGTCTTATGCCCCCACTCAAAAACCATGAGATACCTTTCAAAAATAGATGACAAAGCCAACCCCCAGCATACCTTGAAATACATTGCACAAGACCACTATGAAAAATTCCACCTAAAGTTTATCAAGTGGTCTTTATCTGTACATTCAAAAGCATCAAATATAGGTTGCTGGGGCGAAAGCGGGCGCCACCCCCTATTCTTTGAAGCCTGCAAACTTGCAATAGATTACTATAGTCGCCTTGAAAACACTGAAAACGAACTACTCTGTGCTGCATTTCACGAACAAATCATGTTGGGACTTCCTTGGTATACCAACATCTCAAAGCTTCTCACCAAATACAACTTCACCCCCTCATCTTCCTCAAAATCTAAGCTCTCCACCCAAATCAGTCATAACATGAGGGAAGAATTCGTGAATACCTGGAAAGCTGCCAAGGCCTCCTCGCCAAAACTAGAATTCTATAACTTAATTAAACATGATTTCGAACCAGAGGCATATCTACGAATTATCAAAATACCTGATGTTCGAAAAAGTCTGACAAGGTTTCGTATCAGCTGCCACAACCTCTACATCGAAAGGGGCAGATACGAAACCCCCCTTGTACCAAGAGAAGAACGTTGGTGCACCTACTGCTTTCTCAGCAAAGGGCTCAAGCCTATTGAGGACGAAAGTCACGTATTGATTGACTGTTTGCTCTACTCCTCAGTTAGGGAAAAATTCAATTTCCATCCCCTAAACATTACTGACCTAGTCGGTTTGCTCTCCAACAAAACTCTAGATCCTACCACACTCACTGCCACAGCAAGAGCAATCCATTCAATTCTCTCTGTGAACGAAAATTATACAGCCTATTATAAGAGCCCAGATTTCCACTCAAATACTGGCAAGTGCATAATGCTATAGGACCTTAAAATAAGATTGAACCATACAAACTCGATTTATCTATTTTTCTAAAACTAGCATTATATAACATTTCTAAATTATCCCTACACACTTGTAAATAATTAGAATTGTGTAACTTAAATTATTTCAGAATTACAACTATTGTGTACTCAATAAAGTAATTATCACTTTTGTATCCTTGTATCCTTGTATCCTTGTATCCTTTGAAGGCCATTAAAGCATTTGACCCAGTCAAAAAAGTTTCAGTTGTATATCTTTTACGGTTTTTGCGGAAAGTTGCGTTAAAGTTGATGCCGTGGTGTCAGTAAAATGGCACGGATAAATAAATATATATCAGTTTTAAACTAATTACAACACTACAAATCTATTACATTTATTGAGGATGACTGTAAAGGTACATTTTACCGACATTTGAAGTCAAGGCGTTGTTTTACTGATAGTTGTGGCT